AAATCTGATCTTCCAAAAGCCAAACATAAAAAGAGAATATCAACAAAGTATTCAGAACAGGAGAAGCCATACTGACATTTTTATTGATCGTTTACAGTTGTATCCAGATTTTTCTGGATACAGTGGCTGCCAACCTTTTCAGCTTTATGGACCAGCCCGGGGGGGGGGGAGAGAAGATGGTTCCACACAAGCAGTGGGCAAGCATGTGCAGATCCATTTGTACAAGTGGTGGACATGTGCGTCCACCACTTGTGCAAATGGAGCGTGCACACCCACGCTTGTTGTCCACTACTTACATGGCTCAGTTATAAAGGGTTTAAGGCCCAATAGTGGGCCATGGCCTGGGGTTTGGGGACCCCTGTTCTAGACTATCATATGTTGAGGCCAGTTACTCAAACACTGGAAGGTGGAACTCAAATTTAGAGCTCATGGTTATTCCTTTCACAGAGAAGTAGCTATTTGAGGAGTTGATTCATTCCTTGTAGAAAACAAAGATAAAAAGAAATCCTTTTCTTCAGCCCTGAAGAATGATAAGAACTTGTGTATGAGAAAACCACATTTATCATTTGATTCTATATCCCAATTTTTGGGGGGCGAAAAAAAGTGAATCAGCCACTGGAGTTACCAAGCCTGTCAACATAGATAGCCTAACCAACAAGGTGGAAGAACCAAGGAGAATGCCCCTCAGATGCCAGTATCTGCCAAGTGGCAAAACATTTGGTGCAAGTGGAAACACACGTACAAATGTGTTTTGGAAACAGGGGAGGATATGTTTCTATAACAAGAAAACTACCTGATTAATTCCTATAATCGCCCCATATCTCAAAACAAGGAGAAGCCGCTCAGGCTGAAGGAAGCAAGAAGTTTTTTTAAAGGTCAGAAAGTTTTTCAGATTTGAATATCTGAATAAATAATTAATAAATAAATAAACTGTTTCCGTTCAGTGCTTCCTGTTTAGATGGGCCTCCATATCAAAGAGATGGCAGCAAGGATGTTCATAACTAAAGCTAAAGATGAATCCAGAAGAGAGTCTTCAGAAAGAGGCTATATAATTAAAAGATAAGAATGGAGAAACTATAGGTAGTCCCCAACTTTTGACTGGTTGTTTAATGACCATTTGAAAATAGAGTGGTTTCGGAAAGGGTGTGTTATGGCACCTCAAGCTGTTGTAGAACATTGTGCTGTCCCTAATTGAAATCTGGTCCTTGGCAATCTGTTCAGACTTATGACCAGTTTCAAGAGTCCCTGTGATCACCCTGTGATCACCATTTGCAATATTCTCTGCCAGATTTTCAAGAAAGCCAATTCGGAATCTAGCAGGGAAGATAGCTGCTGCTTGCCGAGAGGGCTTTCTCTTGCCTCTGGGAGTTGACTGAAAGAGCTGCCTACCAGAAGGAGCTGAACTCCTTTAGCAAGGTGCAAAAACGAAGCTCAGATCCTGATGATTCAAATTGATTTTGCACCCTACTGAAGGCATTCCCTTCTATGTATGGAGGAGAGATTTCGTTCTCCTGCAGGATGCAGAAATGGAGCTCAGATCCTGGCAATTTGAGGTCCTGCATCTCATGAAAGGAGTTGCCTTCCACATATGGTTCCCGCTGAAGAAGTTCCCTTCCGTGAACGGAGGAAAGATGATATCCTTCAGCAGGCAGCAGCTCTTTCAGCCAGCCCGTAGAGACAAGAGTGAGCCAAAATCCAGTTAGCAAGCAGCAAGGCAGTACAATAAGATAAGCAGCATGGGGTGCCGTATGCATATGCCTTTCTCCCTTGGGGAGGGGGGAGGGAGGGAGGGGCTGAAAATCCTGCTTGGATTTAGCAGATGGCACACAGAGCCATATCAGTGGGCACACGAGCTCAGCTTCCGTGCACATGTGCATGCTGGGCAGCTGATTTTCGGGCCTTCTGGGTCCCCTGGAAGTTGGCAAACAGGCCGTTTCTGGCCTCTGGGGGGGGGGGGGGAAGGCTGTTTTCACCCTCCCCAGGCTCCTAGAAAGGCTCTGGAGCCTGAGGAGGGTGAAAAACAGGTCTACTGGGCCCACCGTACCATCGCATACCAAAAGCGGGGGAAGCGCGGGGGTGTTCGCTCACACATGCGTGGGGGCGTGGTGCATAGAATTATGGGTGTGGGCATGTATGCATGCGACCCCCCTGCGCTCCCCCCGCTTTTGGCACACGATGGCAAAAAGGTTAGCCATCACTGGTATAGGGTTTCCTGCTTGAACGGGGCTGGACTAGAAGACCTCCAGGTTCCCTTCCAACCCTGTTATTCTGATATTCAGCAAGATGGGTAGGTCCTTTAGTCAACCCGGGACAGTGGACAGTTGTCTGAAGCACATCTTCCAGTTTTTGAACAAGAGCCAAGAGAGCAATTGACAATCTTCTGTAGTTGGAAAGATGCTGTGTGCTTACACAAAATGATGATCTTCAGTTGTCCAATTCTGCCTCAAAAGATTCTAGTTCTCTAACCAAGTGTTAAAAACTGAGATGCTCATATAATGTCTCACAAAATGCCTTGACTGGCTAAGTCTTGCAACCTGGAAATTGAACGGAAACATCTCTTGAACTCCTTGCCTCCAGCAGAGTTTTTATCAGTCAGGTATATCATTCAGTAAACATAAGCTACACTTAGTTGGAGTCGGTGTAGGTGACTGAAACAAAGAATTTCCTCCAAGTCACAGGAAGAAATGTTAATCCTTAAGTGTTAAGCCTTTTAATTAGAAGGTATGGAGTTAACCCTTCCCTATGGGATCTGTTCTTTGATTATCAGACTCTTTACAGAGAGATCCTTTCCAGCCAGCATTTGTACTTCTTAAAGAAAACTTTTTTTCTCTTTCCTTTCCTTCTTTGTCTTTTCCTTTGTTCATCTCCATCCAGTTATTTTTCCTTTCTTTCTCAATTTACCTACTCTACTTCTTCCTCTTACCTTCAACCTGTTTTGATTCTCCATTTTTGTTCTTCGCATGAGGGAATAGTTTATGTAGATGGAGATTGTTCAGGGACTTCCTGAGCAAGTCCACACAGTTTTCTTGAAAATGTTTTCAGAAGTGGGTTATCATTATTTTCTTCCCAAGGCTAGAAGAGAGCAAGTAATACAAAGTTACTCAACTGGCTTTGCCTAAGGCAGGACTAGAACTCACAGCCTCCTGTTTTTAGCCTGGTATCTAATTCAAATAATATTTATTTTTATCTTGTCTTTGACTTTTTTTGGGTGGATGGGAGAAATAAGACTTTTCCACCTCTACAAAGATAAAACACTTACATGTACATATTCATTCCTAAATACGTACAAGTTTATGGTGGGATGAAGAAAACTTCAAGATTAATTTCAGCTGCAGTCAACTGTCCTAGTTTAATAACATAGGAAAACTTATAGGGCTCTAGAGGGAAATAATGTTTAGAAATTTTTCCAAGCAACTCTTACTCTTCCTTCTTTTTGGGGGGGTTGTCATAAATTCAGAATTATTTTCCTTTTAGGTAAATGTGGTAATTGAGTGATAAGAGTTTCTTAATAATTGAAGTATGAATTTCTAATGATATATAGCTGTATGTATTTTATGTTATTTAAATAATAATGCATGTCTGGGGGGTGAAATTGGAAAATGAATATACATCAAGATATCAAGTTCTTGATTGTTTTTTTGAGAGAGATCAGTACTTTCACAGTACAGCATATTTTTATTTGAATATTATATGAAGAAAATATATTTTGTTTTTGTTTATGTATAAATAGTATTCAAGCATATAGATTTATAATAAACTAAATTGAATTACAAATAACACTTCATTGGAGAAGTTTTCTATTCCCGCCTCTCTTGCAACTGTCCTAGCAGTAGCTTTGAGTGGAAAACAACCATTCAAACTGTAATGAATAGCTTGTACAAATGGGAAAAGAAGAAAGATTGGGAACTTAGCTTGCATAAATAGTTTGGTTATGCAAACTTTGTCTCTACTATATTAAGTCTGTAACATGTTTCATTTATATGAACATATATGGATACTTTCATTAAATACAAGAACTTCTGTTTTTATAATAACATTTTCTTATCTGTACAGTGATGCTTTCAGCCAGAATAAGTTAACATGGTGTAATTTCACACATTTTGCCACTACGGAAAAGGAAAATTAAGTATTTCTAAAGCTGTAGCTTTTTTGCAAAACAGAAAATATTTTTTACATTTGGATATAATTGTTCTCATTGTCTAAATAAACAGTATTGTCTTACAATGAAAAGAAGAGTTATCAAATTAATTTTTGTTCCATTTTATATTTTTCCAGTTACGGTAATAGATTCTGCAGAATTTTATTGAAAGCTCTTACTCTTTGAATCAGTAATCCAAACAGTCTACGCCCAAACTTAATAGTATTCTTCTTTTGAGAATGATTGATAACTTTTCCTGTAACATCTTCCCAATTGTACTTCACTGCAAAGGGATCACAGAGATATACCATTCATAGCAGGAGTGAAATCCAGCAGGTTCTGACAGGTTCTGGAGAACCGGTAGCGGAAATTTTGAGTAGTTCGGAGAACCGGCAAATACCACTTCTGGCTGGCCCCAGAGTGGGGAGGGAATGGGGATTTTGCAGTATCCTTCCCCTGGGTGGGGTGGGAATGGAGATTTTGCAATATCCTTCCCCCAGGAGTGGGGTGGAAATGGAGATTTTGCAATATCCTTCCCCCAGGAGTGGGGAGGGAATGGGGATTTTGCAGTATCCTTCCCCTGGAGCGTGGTGGAAATGGAGATTTTGCAGTATCCATCCTCTATCACACCACACCCACCAAGCCACACCCACAGAACCGGTAGTAAAAGAAAAAAAGAATTTCACCACTGATTCATAGTGCCAAACATTGCACAATATAGGAGAAATACAGACTTGTTTATGGAAGCAGAGCATGTTTATAGGTTATTCCAGGCATTTTTGAGAGCTATTCCTATTTCTTGCATTTATATTGTATGTTACAGTCCACATGCTTTATCTGGATTATTCTGAATTCCTTGCAGATCAGAGATGTCTATCCACATGCTATGCAGTGATATGCTACTCATGTTGAAAAGGAAATTTAATATGGTCTAGTAGAATTGACCATTGAAGAGCTTATGATGTCCACAGGTACAAGTGGGAAAAAATCCCATCAGGCTGTGAGCCTAGAAGGAGTTGACCCAGAAACATGCATGATAGTATTTAAAACCCACTGGGCACAGGTAATGGAGCTCCGAGAACTTTTCTTCTTTTTCTCTTTATTATTGATTGAATTGTTAGGAACCCATTTGAACTATCAGGTATTTGCTTGTATTGTCAAGAGTTCAAGCCATATTGTATAATACTGACACCAAGTGTATTTTTATTGACTTTTGAAGAACTGTATAACTTACTGCTTTTAAAAAAACCATCTTATATTAGGGATATAACAACCAATTGAATAAACTCATATTCTAATTAAGATTGCTAGGCTCTATTGCAAATGAAGTAAAGTCCTTTTAAAATAATTGTATTTTGAATCTTCATGGACAGTTCACTTCTTTGCCGGGTTATATTTCTTAAATCCACCAAAACACTTCCTATGCTGAAAGGCTGCATTACTATATTTAGAGTATGCAATACATTATTTCTATGCAATATATTATTTCTGAATCCTGTATGGTTCATTTTTAATTGGTGTTGTCTAATGCCCACATATATCTGCCAATAGAGCCCCTTCCAATGTGGGCATTAGTATCAATCTAGTATTTTTATATCTTCTATTTCAGCTATTGAACTTTTACTTTTTAAATGTACTTGCCCATAAATGAAGCTAGGAAGATATTGGTTATTAAAATTCAGGTGACTAAGAACATTCTTAGTTGCTCAACATGGTCCTATGTTGGTGAGTAGACTGAGTCATGTGCTGCTCTTCTTAAGTAGCACAATTGATTAGATTAGCCATTTGGGGTGAGATATTTCAGATAAGGAATGCATAGGCTGTTTCTACTCATCAAAGCGCTCCATGGCTTAGGGCCCAGTTATTTACGAGACCACCTTCTGCCACCGATAACCTCCCACCGGCCAATACGCTCCCACAGAGAGGGTCTCCTCAGGGTGCTGTCGGTCAGGCAATGTCGACTGTGGGGGCACCTGCCCTCTGGAATGAGCTACCACCAGGGATACGACTGATCCCGGACCTCCGAACCTTTCGCCGGGCTCTGAAAACGTTTCTATTTCGGCAAGCCGGGCTGGCTTAAAAATTTTTATTGGTGAATTTTATGGGTAAGGGGTTTTAAATTGGGGAAAGCCATTATGGATTTAATTTTGTTTTAAATGTATTTTAATGTTTATATTGTATGTTTTTTAATCTTGGCTGTTCACCACCCCGAGTCCTTCAGGAGAGGGGGCGGTATAAAAATTAAATAAATAAATAAATAAATAAATAAATAAATAAATAAATAAATAAATAAATAAATAAATCCATAGCTTGCCTCTTATGATCCATTTGGAATGTACTGAACTATTATGAAGATATTTGTTCATAAATTCAATTTTTCATAATTAAAGATTGCAAGAGTGAGCCCATATTTTAATGCCTATTGTATGATCGAATATTTTTTATTTAATTTTCCATAGGTTGTAAAAATTTTAGAGACGCATGACCCTTTAAAAAATATTCAAGCAAAATATGGGACAATTTCTCCAGATGAGGCCAGCACTGTGCAGAACTATGTAGAGCACATGCTCTTCCTTTTAATTGAAGAGCAGGCAAAAGATGCAGCAATGGGACCTATCCTGGAGTTTGTGGTTACAGAGAATATCATGGAAAAGCTCTTTCTTTGGAGTCTCAGGCGGGAATTCACTGATGAGATGAAAATTGAGCAACTGAAAATGTATGAAATGCTTGTCACACAGTCTCATCAGCAGCTGCTACATCACAAACCCATCCTAAAACCATTAATGATGTTGCTGAGTTCTTGCTCAGGAACTACCACACCAGCTGTTGAAGTAGAGCTGGTGGTTCTTCTCAACCAGCTATGCTCAATCCTAGCCAAAGATCCGTCCATCTTGGAACTTTTTTTCCATACCAGTGAGGACCAAGGAGCTGCAAACTTTCTAATCTTTTCTCTCTTGATTCCTTTTATCCATCGGGAAGGGACTGTTGGCCAACAGGCTCGTGATGCACTACTTTTTATAATGTCTCTTTCTTCAGAAAGTTGTGTGGTTGCTTATCACATAGTAGAGAATACTTATTTTTGTCCGGTAAGTTTTTTTCTAGCTACTCATTCATATCTTCCAAATATGGATTCTTTTGTAAATGAATATTCAAATTAAGATTTTGCACAAAGGAGAATTAAATTTACCTGATGAATTGTAATTTTATTATGGCTATGTAGAATTCTAAATGGTATAATTGGGAAAAATGGAACTTCTTCAGAAAGCCCATCACATTGAATTCAGAAGGGAATTTGTTGTCTTAACTTAAACATTCAGCTTAATATTGAACATTCTAAGAATAATGCAAATCGAAAGCTAAACTTGTATATTAAATTGTGGTTGTAATCTGGATCCTCATTTTACCAACCTTGAAAGGATGGAAGGCTGAATCAACCTTGAGCTGGTCAGGATCGAATTCCAGGATGTGGGTAGAGTTAGCTTGGCAGTGCTGCATTTTAACCACTGCACCAAGGGGTTGTGATAATCTGGATAATGGTAGAATAAAACACTAAATTGAAATATATCCAGTTGCCTTTGGCAAGATCTTGCAGATAATCTATATCTTCCTGGTAAACTTACTTTGATGGAGGAGATACAATTCTGTGATGGCTTGTCACAAAACTTTGATATATGCTCCTTCACTTGTACATGGTCAGAGTATTTACATTAGATTTATTTCCAATCGGGATGAAGTGACTGGTGTTCTTAGCGTGATGTGATGTTCTTCCTGGAGAAAAAAGTTGATTTTATGGAACAAAGATGATAAATATTAGGAATTAATTATGTTTTCTTTTTAGTACATTGGTGGCTATTACACACTTGCACTCATTTTAGTAGAAATTGCAGACCAGACAAGATATTTGGAGCAGTCCTCTTTTTTTTCCCAGGAACATATTTCAGACATTATACTGTAAATAGGTCCAGATTCAGGATCTTATATGTTATTCTTACATCGATTTGTCTTTTTTAATCTTCCCATCCCAAGGTTTGTTTTGAACAATGAAATTGAGTAAGTTGAGAATAATTTTATTGATAAAAGATGTCATAATCCTAAACATTAGTATAATGTTGACTTTGCATGTAATCATGAGGTTAGAAAGGACCATTTAGACAGGGAGCCTAACCCCAAACTAAGGGCAACAATCCAAGAGCAAGCATTGACCACAGATGCTGCCTATTCGCTGCTTGAACTGATGGGAAATGATGACATCTCCAGGAAATTGTTCCACTTTCAAATTGTTCTTAGTGGTAGAAGTTTTTTTCTTACAATAACCAAATCTGCCTTCCTGTAACTTAAATTAATTATATTAATGTCTTGCCTTCTGAAATGATGGAGAATAGGTCTTGATTGGCTAATATATTGCCTTCTTTTAGATATTTGAAAAGTATGTATTATATACCGCCTCAGTCTTTTTAAAGCAGGAGTCAGCAACCCGCAGCTCCGGAGCCACAAGTGGCTCTTTGGGCCCTCTGCCGTGGCTCCCTGTCCCATCACTGGTTGGCCCCACCCCTCATTTCTTTTTTGGATTCCAGCCCGAAGCGGCAGGAAGCAAAGACTGCCTTACGCGCAAATGTGGCATGAAGGCAGGTACAGGGCAGCTTCGCTCCTGCATTTTCCTCCCCCACTCCACTCGTAACCCCCTGGCTGGCTGTGGCTGAGCCGGGAGTGTGCGCACGTGCGGAGAGACCCTCCTTAAGTGAGCTACTGCCCGCCCCCCGCATGCCTTTCCTGAGCTTTGGCGCTCACTTGAGGAGGGTCTCCCCACACGTGCGCACACTCCCGGCTCAGCCACAGCCGGCCAGGGAGTTACGAGACGATGGGGGGAGAAGAAAGACGGTTGGCCGAAGGGAGGGGGAGAGAGAGACACACACACATACAGAGAGAGAGAGAGACATAGAGAGAAACACACAGAGTGATACACAGAGAAGAGGTGAGAGAGGGGAAGAGAGGGAGAGATACAGAGGGAGAGAGACACAGAGTGGGGAGAGAGGGGAAGATAGGGAGGGGGACAGACACAGAGATACAGAAAGAAGGGGGAGAGGAGGAGAGAGACATAGAGAATAGTTTTGTGGCTGGGTAGGCATGGCTAGGTGGTCATGTGACTGGGTGGGAGTGAGTGACATCGAGTTGGCCACGCCACCCAGGTTTTGTGGCTCCCAGTGTGTTTTTTTTCTGTAGGAAACGGGTCCAAGTGGCTCTTTGAATGTTTAAGGTTGCCGACCCCAGTTTTAAAGAATCCCAGTTCCTTCAGGCATAGGACTCAATTTGTAGTACCCCTTACATCCTTATTTCCTTTCTCTGATCCATCTTCCAAAATGTCATAAAATGCAGAATAAATTGGAACCATTATCCTTCCAATCCCCAATGCCATTCTCCATAAATAGAATAGATTTTTTATTGGCCAAGTGTGATTGGACACACAAGGAATCTGAAATAAAGATATATCCAGCCTAGAGAAACCTTGTTGGTTTCATTTAAATGAATACATATAGAAAGTACTTATTTTAAAAAAGGTATTTTCATGATAAATACTTTTATTATATCCATGCCTTTGTGTACAAGCCTACATTTGCCAATTAACTTTTAGGAAGACTTTTTACTTAGAAGATTAAAGCTAAATGTGTTAACCTTCAAACAGTAGGGGCCATTATTGTCAAAATACATTACTAATTAGAATAATTGTTTTAGGATGTTGGAGTGAGAAAAGCAATAAAGGTAGCAAACCCGAGGCTATAATAAAAAGAACACAGACCATTCCTGAGGGCTGTTCAATTGTTAAATATCTCTAATATGCAGCCTTTATAAGAATGATATTTCCAGTTTGGGAAGCTTTGGTCTCCCCTTGAGGAAACTCAGAATGATGCCTCAGATTTTGGGTTTCTTATCATTTCCCAATGGATGCAACTGAATAATCTAATTCTGATTAAAGTGAAGTAATTCTTGTTAAATGTTACACTGTATGTAATATTTCTTTATAATTAAAAAAAAAAAAAAAAACCAGAATGGAGCAAATTGTTCCCGACTGTATCCTTCAACTTAGAATTATGCTGTTATATTTAACATGTTTGGTGGGATTTATTTAGGATATACATGCCATTTTAGAAGTTGAAGACTTTCTCCTCAAAACAGACATGCATTTTTAAAATTTGCATGGAAGATTCAGACCAATAAAATGTTTGATTTTTAAGTGGCAGTTTATGGGAATCCATTTACTGTGATTTATACAATGTGGTTTATAGCTTAGCATATTGTATGAACCTAGACAATTGTGATTCATCTAATAAACTGTGGTTAATCAAACCAGACACAGCACAGTATTTGAATTCTGTCGATAATGTTTCTATGGGAGTTACTTCTATTTGGCAAACATGTCATGCCCTGGCTATAATGTTCTCTGACTTCATAAATATGTTCTGCCTCTGGAAACAGTTAGCAATTATGAAGATCCATGCTCACATATATAAGAAGCAATGCTAGATATTATAATTAGGGTTTAGAGAATTGACCTTGGAAATGTCATCCCACCAGGAAGTTTAAAATAGTAAATTGTCCTCCCACAAGTGCAGTTTATAGCTGTGATTTGCATGCAAAATACCTCCCAAATCTATTTTGCTGCTGGCAAAGTTAAACAGCACTGGTTTCAATAGATGAATTGGGAATTGCCTTCAGTGACTTGGAAGCAAAGCACGACCAGTATCAATAAATAAATTTATTTATTGTATCAAGCAATAAATTCAAGATTTTAATTAAACTACATCAAGTTTTGCTATACAATATCTGAGCATAGTAGCACTTTAAAAGTAGTCAATAGCATTATTTTAGTATACTTTGGCAGATTTTTTGAACATGCAGCAGTATTGCAGCTGTGCAAAATTGTTGTGGCCCATGGCAGCATATTATTAGATAATATTTTTCCACTGTGTGTTCTTTATCAGCTATGATGATCTCACATGGAATCTTTCTAACATTCAGCAAAATTAATTTGCATGGAGCTGAATTTCCCCAGTTGTCATCTTCATCCATTGTGGCTATTGTAGAATTAGAAGAATTGTGTTCACTGAATCTTAAGAGTAAACTTTTTCCCCACTTCCCATATCCTAAAATGCGATGAGGAATCTTCAGACCCACTTCTGTTGTGACCCATGTCGGTTGAGCTTGGCGACCCAGTATATAGTCAAATCCTATTAATTCTCAGAGGGAAGAGCTACCTTGAACTTGTGGTAGCTAGAAAAATGAAAATAGAGTGGAAGGTCTGGGTTTACATTTCTTTTTAATGTTACCTATGTCAATTGGGAAAGAAAAATAATGAAGTGGGGAAGATCCTTCTTTTTGTACATTCTTCTGTTGCTCAGTTTTATTTATTGAAATAAAGATGATTGGAAGGACAGCTTTTAGGAATAATTGCCTGCTGGAAAGAGGTAGCTGCTAAATTAACACATTCGCAAAATAAATTGGTGGGAAGCTAATGTCTTTATTTATGTGACTAGAATACATCAAACCTAGAGATATAGTGTCAAATTAACATTTCTGAAACATTAACCTGACAGGCTAGAACTTATTTTCCTTCCACCTCAGTTTGGTTAATGGTAACTTAGGTACTGGAATAAGTTTGTAAGCACTTTTCCAAGCAAATGCACAAAAATTGAGAATTGGCAAGATATTTTGTTTTTACATGAATTAATACTTCATTTTGACTCCTGTGGAAAAACAAACCTGCTCTTTTAACTACTCCAAATGAATCATAGCTAGTTCTTACAAAATTGAAATTTTATGAGTTAGGGTTTTTATTTTTGTTTTGTCTCCAAAATTGTATGCGTATGGATGGGTAGATAACTAATAGATACCAATTTTTCTCTCTCACTTATATGCATGTGTGTGTTTGTGTGTTTAAAAAAACAGTAATTATTTTCACTGCTCCTGTCAAGATTATTTTAATTTAAATATGCATTTGTAAATCTTAGAACTCTACAGATAGTCCGTGATGCACGCAAGAAGCCTACTAATTACAGTCATAAGTCAAGACAGTTGTAAAATGGGTCTTGATGTGACTGACCTGATTTTATGACAGTTTTTGTGGTGGTCATTAAGCAAAAGACCATGGATGTTAGGTTAATCTTTGTTGTTAAGCAAATGCCGTGGTGATTCAAACCTATTGGCATTTTTGCTGAAAAGTCTTACAAATGTTTTCAGCAAAAACATCATAAATCATGGCCACACGATTGCAGGATGCTCTAAACGATAGACAGTTTCCAAGGGCCCCAAATGTGAACACAGGAGGGCTCCGGCCATTGGAACCTGGATAGAAGTAGGTTGTAAGTACCTTTGGGAGGGGAGGTCCTACGGTAACTTTGAATGATCACTAAGTCATGGGTTATAAGTCAAGGACTACCTATGCCTAGTACTCTTTCATGAAACTTTTCTTGCATTGATGCCCAGTTTAAATCATGTGAATTTAATCTATCCCTTGCCTTCCATAGATTTTTTTTAGCTACTATAAAGATGGCATCTTTTTAATATAGGCAGATTCAGTGGGGGGGTTGCTCCCAGTTCTGTCCGGTTCTTTAGAACCGGTAGTAAAAGCGGCGGAAGGCTCCGTCCAGATGTCATAATTGATGATCTGAGCAACTACCTATTGCGAACCGGGAGTAAAGGTAAGTACAACCAACCCCTGGGCAGATTGTTGGATGAGTGAATCCCATTTTAAAAGACTTATAGCCTATTATTTAGAAATAAAGAGATACGTAAAAATGTAAATTGTGGGAGAAAATTGTCAAAATTTAGAAAAAAAGATTTCCACATTCTATGCTTTCCATATGTGATGTCTTTCCTGGATAATATGGTTGTTTACAAAGCTAAACATTAAGAAATATGAATCAGATCAACTGCTATTTAAATGTATAATCCAGTTATCAAAACTATGGAAATGTTGTAACACGAAGGTTATAGCCACTAAGCCCCATTGCTTGATACAGAGCACTTTTCTGTTTTCAATAAAAAACTGCAAGCTGTTGATTATTTATTTTGCAAATATTTCAAGTGGGAAAGTTCTCTTTGCTTTAATTTGTTTGGAAATACTTTATGTGATAACAATAAGTACATACAAATCTGCCATTAACCTAAATTCAGATGCTATTCAACAGCATAATAGCAATTATTGGGAGGGAATATTTTAGATTACGGGAATTAACCTTCCACAAACTGAAAGCATGTTTCTATCCTTATAACAAAATGCTAATGCTTTTTTTTTAAACAAAACAAAAATCTGTATTTCTCTTTTCTTTCTCTTTCATCTTGCAGGTGCTAGCAACAGGCTTAAGTGGTTTATATTCATCTTTGCCTACAAAGCTGGAAGATAATGGAGAAGAATGGCACTGTCTTCTCAAAGACGACTGTTTACTTTCTCCAGCTCTTGTACAATTTATGAATTCTTTTGAATTCTGCAATGCAGTAATTCAGGTACTGGGCCAGAGAAAAGACTTACAAATGGAAGTAGTATTTTAAAACAGTAGTATACAATTTTATGGATATTTAGAAAAAAAAAATATTGGGGTGTTTATTTTATATGTGTGATATACTATTTTTTTTTAAATGAATATCAGCATAAGTTATATTTTCTTAATATAAAAGTGAAATACAAGTTTATTTAGAGGAGTCCTGGTGGAGCAGTGGTTAGAATGCAGTATTGTGATATATAAGTCTGAGTGCTATTGCTATCATTGTTACAAAATTTAACAATTTGCATGTATTTGTAAAGCAACTTTTATTGCAAACCAATTGATTTAGTTTTTGGAGGAAAATACTGTGCTTATTTGTGGTACAGGCAGTGCTTGACTTATAACCCTAATTGGGACTGGAACTTTCGTTGCTAAACGATGTGGTCATTAAGGGAATCAAAATCAGAATAGGGTTGGAAGGGACTTTGGAGGTGTTCTTGTCCAGCAGCCTGCTCAAGCAGGAGATCCTATACCAGTGATGGCTAACCTTTTTGCCACTGCATGCCAGAAGTGGGGGAGGGTCGCACGGTGGATCGCATGCACATGCCCACACCCATAATTCAATCCCCCATGCCCTGCCCCTTGCTCATGCATGCGCGACCCTCCCCGGGCCCCATTTTTGGCCTAGCAGGTTTCCCTGAAGCCTCCGGAAGCTGGAAACAACCCATTTCCCGACTTCTGTTGGAACCAGAAGGCCCGTTTTTCACCCTCCCCAGGCTCCAGAAGCTTTCTTGGAGCCTGGGGAGGGCAAAAACGGCCTCCTCCACCACCTCCCGGAGGCCCTCCAGAGGCCGAAAACGCCCTCCCAGAGCCTCCGTGCGAGCCCTGTACTTACCTGGCATCCAAAACGGGGCGCGTGGAGACTCCTGGGAGGGGAGAGGCAGCCAAAAATCAGTTGGCTGGCGTACACGTGCACTTTGGAGCTGAACTAGGGCAACGGCTTGTGTGCCCACAGATATGGCTCCGCATGCCACCTGTGGCACGCGTGCCATAGGTTCGCCATCATAGTCCTATACCATTTCAGACAACTGATTGTCCAGTCTCTTCTTAAAAACCTCCAGCAATGAAGCAACTACAACATCTGAAGGCAAACTGTTCTACCGGTTAATTGTCCTTGCTGTTAGGAAGTTTCTCCTTAATTCCAGGTTGCTTCTCTCCTTGATTAGTTTCCATCCATTGTTTCTTGTCTTGCCTTCTGGTGCTTTGGAAAATAAATTGACCCCCTCCTCTTGCAGCCATTTTTACAACCTTTTTTTTTGCCATGGCCATTAAACAAATCACACAGCCATTAAGTGAATCCAGATTGCCTCATTGACTTTGCTTGGTGGAAGCCACCTGGCATAAATGGTGATCATGTGATCCTCGGACAGTGCAACTGTTGTAAATACATGCCAGTTGCCAAGAGTCCAAATTTTGATCATGTAACCGAGGGGATGCAGCAACGGTCATAAGTGTGATTACTTTTTACAGCATCATTGTAACTTTGAAAGGTCACTAAACAAATGATCATAAGTCAAGGATTACCTGTAATTACATTTTGCTTTATGATAATAGAATATACTGTGTATATGTAGATGGTTTTGATTTGTTCAGTATTTAAAATTATTCTGTTTTTTTCATATTCATTGCTTTGGTTAGTAATTAGGGATTTTTGTCCATTCTGCTTCTTGTTCCTCATCTGTCTAATGATAAGATTATACATTATACCACTTTGATGCTGTATTCAGGATTTTATTGCATCTACACGAAGGGTGTCAAACTCAAGGCCTGGGGCCCGGATCTGTGTGCGGGGTACTTAGATTTGGCCCCCGGGGCTGCCCTGGAAACAGCGAAGGACCAGCCCGCGGTACTTCTGCCAGCAAAAATGCTCCCGAGCTCCGTTTTCGGCTACCACAGCACCCAACGGCACATGGCCCTCCTGGGTTGCAGGAAGCTGTGGCAGCTGAAAATGGATCTCCGCAGCCCGTTTTTGCTGGCAGAGCGCTCAGGCCACCACAGGCATCCCCGACAGGAGTGATGTCGAGCTGGCCATGCCCCACCAGTCACGCCCCCTGACCCCCGAGGTGAAACACAACCCTGATGCGGCCCTCAATGAAATCAATTTGACACCCTTGATCTACACCTTTGATTTGATTTGTGCAGGCTTTATTAGTTACAGAAACTCAGTACAGTAGTTTTTCCAGAATGCAAGACTTTGTATGAGAGGTTTTTGCCAAAGGAATCTCTGTCTGTTGTGTTTAAAAAGGTTGTGTATTTATTCTGTATACCTGCACATTCTAAATATAGAATAATTTCTAAATGTGAGAGCCATTCTTATGAGCCAAAGGCTATGTCTTCTGCTGAGTGGAACACTCTTAAAAAATAGCAGATAAATCCATTCATTTATATTTAATTATAAAACATGCTATTTGTTACTTTGAAGTCATGTATTAAATGTTGTTTGCTACTTTTAACTGAAAGATATAATGTGGTACTTTGTAAGGTCCCGCAAGATCATATCCAACATTTTATGTCAACATTATGATACTTCAGGCTTACCTAGCCCAACATATTTTATGAAATGGCCAAAATAGAATAAATAAAATAATACTCTCCAGGTCATGGTTACTGATGATTGGTATTTGGAGGCATACTTCAGTAGACAAAACAAATAAGCTACAGTTTCTAGTGGTGATTAATATCTTTATGTTTCATGAAACATGAAGTATCAGAGGCCTTCATAACTTGCCATTAATTTATGGCTTTGGATGGCATAGTGCAAAAAAGTACTAAATGGTTAAGGATGAATTTAATTAACTTTAAACTTAAAGTTTAAATTAAAATCATTTCTTATCTGGCCTCTGGTGACTTTTTTGGAGAAGTTTCTTCCTTGGTTCAAAAAAGTTTTACATTCCTGTTTTAAACTTCCAAGTTAATGACTGACAGTTTATGTTGGTGAGAAAAATTGCTGATATTTTGCTGTTAGGATTTAATTGGCTGTTCTCGTATTATGGAAGTAAATATTTTCCTATTTAAATTATCCAGAGCACATCTTTGGATGTCGGAGATGAACAGGCTAAGCCCAAGGGTGGGAGTCAAGATGTCAGTTTAGAGTTGCTATGCTCCCACAAATGAATTAAGTCCATCCCCCCATGAATTCTGTTGAGTCTTACCTAGGGCCAATTTACCTTGACCATTAGTAGATCAGATTTTTGTGTATAGGTAGCATGAAATAAACTTGTAGTACTTTTGAACTCTATCCCGGCTCTGGATTCTTGCACCTGAAACTGTTCCATTTTATCTACCTTTTCAATAGTTAAAATGTATTGACTTTTTAAAAACAATTTTGATATTCAAGTTTGATGATTTATTTTTTAACTTTTGTGATAAATTCAGAGATAAAGAAAAATATAACAAATACTTATTGCATAGCTTACAATTCATTATCAGTAAAATATTAAATTCAGTGTTCGGAGGTCATGAATGTTGTAGTGATTTTCGTAACATTAAACTGGTTAAGATTTAGTAGGCAGTTTTATGTGCAAGTTTCTTAGCCTTGAACTTACATCTTCATAGTGAAAGGCAGTAATAATAGCACTTAGATTTATATATCGCTTTACAGTGCTTTACACCATCTCTAAGCAGTTTGTAGAGTCAGCATATTGCCCACAACAATTTGGATCCTCATTTTACCCACCTCGGAAGGATGGAAGGCTGAGTCAACCTTGAGCCTGGTGAGATTTGAACTGCCAAATTGCAGGCAGCTGGCAGGCAGAAGAAGTAGCTTGCAGTATTGCACTCTAACCGCTGCGCCAACATGGCTCATTGTAATAGTTAAAAATGTATGCAAAACTGCTTGAATTGAAATGATTTTGATGGAGTTTTTAAAAAAAATGTTTTATGTATTTTTATTTTGTCAATGCTGAAGAAATAGCCTGTAATAGAGATAGTGGAAAGTCCTTAAATGATTTATAGACTGAAGTAAGGCATGTTGGGAAGGATATTTTAGAGATCTGTAGGGAAACGAGAGTGACAAACTGCAGATTAGAATTTAAAAACCTGCTAAAAGCCTTTATTTCCAATTAAAAATAATTAAAAAATTGCTTGGGCTGCACAGAGGGGCACATAGCTACGGAGTTGGTGGGTGCCCTGAAATCCATCCTCCGTTTTTTAATTTTTAATTTTAATACTTTTTGTTTCTAATTGCTTTTTATTAAAATGTTTATATATAACTTTTATGCTTTTATGTATATTTGTACACTGATTGGAGTAACTCTCTGAGGGAGATGAGCAGTTTCTAAATGTGTTGTAAAATTTCTGGAAAATGTTACTTTTGCAAATGCAGATGTTGGACCCAGAGAAAATTTAAAATATGGATGTTGTTTACTCATCAAGTTCAGCTTCTTTAAATATATGTTTAAATTGCAGTGGGAAAGTAAGTGCTTATTTATTATTTCAGGTATATCCTTCTCTTTCTCTTTCCATTTTTAGGTGGCACATTCTTTGATTCGTAACCAGCTTGTGAATTACATTTACAATGGATTTTTGGTCCCAGTTATGGCCCCAGCTCTCCATAAGGTTAGTGATAAATAATACATTTTAGTCAATGAATCATAAAGCTAAATTAATATAAATTCAACATTTGGGCTTTGAATTTGGTGGAGAATACAAAAGCAGAGAATCAGTTTGGTGTAGTGGTCATGCATGAGGTTAGAAACCAGGAGACTGTGAGTTCTAGCCCTGCCTTGCTCACAAAGCCTGCTTGGCTGATCTTGGCCTATCATTTTCTCTCAGCCCTAGAACAGGAGTGTCAAACTTGATTTCATTGAGGGCCGCATCAGGGTTGTGTTTGACCTCGGGGGTGGGTGGGTGTGTTTGGCCAGCTTGAGGTCACTCATGTCGGAGGTGCCTATGATGGTACTCTGTCAGCGAAAATGGGCTCCCGAGCTCTGTTTTCAGCCACGACAAACTCCTGCAGCCCTCTGTGTGTGCATGTGGTTTCCCCAAGCTCAGTTTTCACTGGCAGAGGACTGCAGGAGGCCATCGTGACCGAAAATGGAGTTGGCAGAGGCACTACGTGCCGTTCCTTTGCTGTTTCTAGGGCAGCCCCATGGGCCAGATCTAAGCAAACCCCTTGAGTTTGACACCCCTGACCTAGAAAGAAGGCAATGGAAAACCTTGCTAAAAAAATTGCAGAGACTTGCCCAGGCAGTCTCCAAGAACCTGACGCAATTGAATGGAAGGGGAAAAAAAACAAAAGCAAAAAGTGACTTCTCTTCAGTAAAACAAAGTATTCTTTTAAAATTTGATGAATGAGATGTCAAGTAGATAATATCCCAATTCATAAGCTGGCATGTTTTTAATACAGAGGCTTTTAATATATTTTTTGGCAACAATGCAGGTATACTGCATTATAGCAGTAATGTGTAAATTTCATTATGCAAGAGGCTTGACTAACACAACCTGGATTACAGGAGTAAGAAAAAAAATGAACCTAATATGAAAAGTTTGTTCATACATAGGTTCATAATTCTACTTCTGGTCCTGATATTTCCCTGATATGTTGAACTAAGGACAAATGTTTGTTTCACTTGAAGAATTTAATAAAACAGGCATTCACTTTTAGCTGAACGTCTCCATTTATATGCAGAACTTTCATTAGCTCTTGATTATTGTGTAGTCTTTTATTCACTATAAGGGTAGTAAAACCTTTCTTTGTTCCTAATAAAGCCTTTTTTTATATTTAGAAAAAGGTATGTGGGTAAGTAATTCCCTCTGCCTTCTCTCTTTTAGTATTGTAAATCTTTTGTATACTTTTTTAAAGACTTGAAATAAATGAAAAATCATTTTAATAACTCGAATAATTAATTTTAAAATATATGGATCTTCTTGACAAAGGATTTCTTGACAAACTTCATTGTTAATTATGTTCTCATCTTTTTTCTCAACATGTTTTGAATCTATTGCCTAAATAAACATGTTGATCTCCAGATGGCGACCCATAAACATAACAAGATAGATGGGAAATTTAAATTAGAACTTAGCAGTTACCTCAAATGTAGATTGGTATTTCAAAATGTATTCTTGTAGCATAAGCACTTTAGCTATTAAATGATGGAATATTATAACAACTTATGAAAATATTTCGGGATAACTTGCTAGTGAGAACATTAATAAAAATCTTAATTTTGCTTATCTTACCTTCTAATTCTCAAAATCTGCTCTGACATCCACTTATTAATTACTTTTTGTGGTCCTATTGTAATTGTAAGCCTATCGGATCCAAATAGATTGCATGCTTGTGTGCCTCCTAACACTGTCATGCCTGCAGTCCAAACTTAATTTCTAGCCACACGTGACCAAATAAGTAAAATTTAATTAGTGGAAAAACTTAGGTTTTTTGCTCCAATAACCAGAAAGGACTTAATATATATGAGCAGTATTTCAGAAATATTTGTAGAACATTTTTTATTTTATATATAACATATAAAGAAAGAATAAAATTTATGTTCCAATAGGTGGAATACAGAGGTTCGCGGTAGTTCAGTGGCTAAGATGCTGAGCTTGTCGATAGAAAGGTCGGCAGTTCAGCGATTCGAATCCCTAGTACCGCGTAATGGGGTGAGCTCCCGTTACTTGTCCCAGCTTCTGCCAACCTAGCAGTTTGAAAGCACATAAAAAATGCAAGTAGAAAAATAGGGACCATCTTTGGTGGGAAGGTAACAGCATTCTGTGCGCCTTTGGCATTGAATCATGCTGGCCACATGACCACGAAGACATATTTGGACAGCGCTGACTCTTCGGCTTTGAAACGGAGATAAGCACCACCCCCTAGAGTCAGGAACAACTAGCACATATGTGTGACGAGAACTTTTACCTTGACCTTTAGGTGGAATACCTTTTGTTCATCATTTCATTCTAGGAAAGTCAAATTACAAGTGAAATTACCAAGAAAGAAAAAACATACCAGCATTTTTTACATATAAAACTTTCTAAATTCAGAATATTATAAAACTTAAAGTTCCCTGTATGAAATATTTTCACATCTTTAAAATGTCTTAATATGGGGTAGAAGTGTATAACAAACCAGAGATGAGTGGTGTATGTGTGTGTATGTATGTATGCATGTACGTATCACACCTTTATTAAGTGACGAACTACTGATAGGTGGTAAATATATCTAATACTCCATCCTCCTCCTCTTTTCTCCAGAAGAGGGGAGAAGGGGTTGGGCTTGAGACACACCAAGTGGCCCAAGGTCACCCAACCGGCTTTTGTGACTTAAGGCAGGATTAGAACTCACAATCTCCTGGTTTCTAACCTGATACTGTAACCACTAGACCAAACTGCCTCTTTTATCAGTTTGCCCCCATAGTAAAGGTACTGATTCACTGATATCGGTAGAGAGGATTTGTAGGAAGTGAAAGGGGTTTTGTAGCAATGGTGGGATTCAAATTTTTTTACTACCGGTTCTGTGGGTGTGGCTTGGGGGGCATGGCATGGCTTGATGGGCATGGCGTGGTGGGCGTGGCAGGGGAAGGATACTGTAAAATCTCCATTCCCACCCCACTCCATGGGAAGGATACTGTAAAATCCCCATTTCTTCCCCATTAGCTGGGACTTGGGAAGCAGAGAATAGATGGGGCGGGCCAGTCAGAGGTGGTATTTACCAATTCTCCGAACTACTCAAAATTTCCACTACTGGTTCTCCAGAACTGGTCAGAACCTGCTGAAACCCACCTCTATTTTGTAGATGAAAAAAGTGTATTCAGAGTAGCTACTACTAAGAGATTTTAATAAAAGTGATATGATTGCAATCTTACATTTTCCCCCCACACAAAATAGATAATACAATTTTCAGGGCTATTAACCTCTAATAATTTATTAAATAAAAAGTGGTCTCAGTTTATTATTTCCACACTCAGAGCAATTTTGAATGCACACTAGCTTTTATCATTAATTTTCTCTTTAAATACATTAGCTAGATAAGGTGAGTTTCTGCCACCTAGTGGACTTGAAGAAGAGCCACGTTACAGCCCTGAACCCCAGGATTAAGATTATGTTTACTAAAGTAAGAATATAGATCTTCCTTTTTTGTTTAGTCCTTCTCCCCCAAATATTAATTAAAATCTACTCTGTCCTGGTGAGAGCCCAATAAAGTCTGTTTCAAGTTCTGGATGCAAAAACAAAAATCAACAAATAAAAGTAAACTTCTGATTATTACTGCTCAGAAAGGATAATGACAGTAGTAGGAAGTTTAAAGGATAGCTCCCAAATTAGTAAAAGATCTGAAATCCAAGGAATTGTTAAAGGATCTTTGTCTATTAAGCCTACAAAAAAAAAAGCTGATGTAGCAGTCTTCAAATATCTTACAACAAGCAGGGATGGATTCTACTTACCTTTACTATCAGTTCGCATCGTGCCTACGCATGCGCAGATTGCTTCTGATGACGGGTCAGTGGGCGGAGCATCCTGCCAGTTTTACTACTGGTTCTATAGAACCAGTCCAAACCAGGGGCAACCCACCACTGACAAGGGTTGATATAAAGAAGGGGGAATGAATGAGGGAACATATTTGAGGGTCAGAATCAGGATTGATATAGACATTTATAGAAACAATGGGAGAGAATGGGCAGGTTGTCAGCCCCTGAATCAGGCAGTTACAGTATATGATGTGAGGAAACGTCTTTTGCTAGGAGTCTCAAACAGAACCAGAATAGTCATCTTTCTGTGCAATCTTTTACTCAGCATGGGGCTGGACTAGATTATTCTAGTGACATCTGAAAGACAACTTTTGGGATAGATCGCTTCTCTCTAACCTGTCCCCACGTGCTACAAAACTTTATTATAAAGGCATTTCTGATCAGTAATCCAAGCTGAGTCACTGTTGTCTCTGGCTAGCGCTTGTACATATGTATATTTTTAAAGATTTATTTCTCTGTTTTGGTCTGTCATGTCAACTAACTTAAATGAAAGAACACTTTAATATTGTGCTAATTTGAATAGAATTGTATGCCCCAGAAAGTGATGATGTAACAAGAAATTACTGACAATTATAGAAATCTTTTTTTCATTAACTGTTAGAATTTTTGCTTGCTGAGAAATTTTTTCTGATACAGTGCAAGCTCAATTTAACTCAAAGGACAAACTGTCCATTATTCCCAGTTATTTGTTAAGTATGAAGTTACATCTTCATCTCTGTTTTCACCATTGTGTAAATGTAAATTCTTCTTTACCGAATAATTCTTTAATAGAAAAATGTAAATTCCTTCTTCTACTAATATATAGAATTTATGTAAATACATTATTATACAAATTATATAAATTAATATAAATGTTACTATTGCTGTATTTAATTTACATCACTATGGAAATTATGTAAATCATTACAGTTAAAGTATATTTCTAGGTAGTTCTGGACTTACAATCGGCAATTGGGGCCAGATTTCTGGTCGTAAGTTTTTTTATTCATAAGTCAAGGCCCAATTTTAAGACATTTTTTGCAGCACCTGTTATTGATTAATTTTATATATTGCTTTAAGAAACATGTATTTGACCATTGTTTTTCAAAGATATAGAAAGATATAGAAAGGTGTCTCTGGATTTTTTCATAAATTATTTCTACATTTTTATTTCTTGACTTTCCTTCTGATGATAATCAGGGCCTTGTAATCTTTGTAGTGAAATAGATTTTTCAGATGACGTTCTTCCTATTTGATTTGTTGGTTTGTAATATAACATATTACCTTCAATATTACTAGATCTTAAAGCCTCATACAAATTGCAACTATGCAGATACAGAATATTCCACGAGGAATATTTTTACATATTTTTAATAAGACTTCATTGGCAAAGATAACGGTTTATTCTCTAAGCTAAATTTAAATGCATATCCAAGCACCATGCAGTCCCAAGTAATTTTGCAAGAATGAAGTAAAAGCATTTTTTTTCTGCTGTACATTCTGTGCTATACCTCAGCAGTTGCTCCACTGCTAAAATGCTTATTGCATAAGTGTTTACTCTGTTAGCAAGATTTTTAGGCACTGAGCTTCTACAAGTAATCTTATAAAATAATATATTTCCTGCAGAGAACATACTGTGCAGAACTTAAGTTAATGCTCCGCTGGTAAAATCTTTAAACTTCTATATCTTGGTGAATCTACTTATAAAGGAGGTTTAAACAGAAGTTTTAAAAGGTCTGTAATTGGCAATATTTGCATGAGACCATAGTTTCTTTTGAATCTGAGGACTTGATTTCTGAACTTTTCATATGAGCATATCATTTGTATTTTTAATGAAGATAATGTCACAAAGATCAGTTCCAAAATTTAGCTTAGTTTACTTCACTAACTGCACTTTACGTGGCTTAGAAGCCTTTTCAGTTGAGCAGGGTACCCGTTTTAGCTCCTGATACCTCTTCATAATAATTTTAACTTGTTGCAAAATAACATATTTTTTTACTACAAGCATGAACATCTACCACATGCGAATGAAATATATTAAGACGCGTATAAAATAGATACATTTCTGTGGCATTTCCCTGCGGACATTTGAGTCTTGAGATTCAAAAGTGTCTAAATAGCGAATAGATCTTGGTATCTAAATAGCCAATATATTTATGTTCCACTATAGATAACTACTTTCTATCAATTGGCATATAGTGTATCAATGAAATGGTAGAATAAAGTGATGTAATTCATTTTTTCTAGATTTGCATTGCACTGGTGGATCCTTTAGACCCGAGTTCCCCAACTTTTCTAGCTTTGCGGACTGCTGGGTGGGTGAGAGAGGGGATAGTTCCACGTGCGTGGTGGGTAAGCGCAATGTGTGCTGCTCCATTTGTAGGAGCGGTGGGCACGTGCCTGTTGCTCACGCAAATAGAGCACACAGGCAAATGCTAGACTGCTGCTTATGGGAGTGGGGATGTGCGTGCATGCGCACGCGCGCGCTCGCACACACACACACACACACACACACTCGCCATTTCCGTTGCCCGGTTTTAAAAAGCTCAAGGTCTGGTAGTGGCTCAAGGTCAACCCGGGAGTTGAGGACCCCTGCTTTAGCCAAAGGAAGAAATCAATGTATATATGTATTTTTAATTTAAAATCTGTGAGTTTATAAGAACTTCTTCTAGTTGTTAAATAATAGTTGGCTACATAGGGGCCAGAAAAATAAAGTAGGTTTTCATAAATTCCAATATTTAGACTTTTCAAATAGCAAATATAAGTTTGTTGGAGATGTGGAAAGCCTACCATAATATATTCTGTGGGCCAAACTGATTTGATCATTCCAGCAATCAATTGATGGCTTTTGAGAAGATTTTATATATAATATATTATATATAATCTTGCACAATATGTTTAATAGTTTGCATATCAGCACCACAAATCTTTTCAGAAGAGCCACATTGTCATGATTTAGAAGGGAAAGTTTGAGAGTTTTGTAGAATATACTGTTTCTGAGACAATCATCAGGCTAATGAATAGCAGTTCCAAAATGGAATTTTTAAAGGATCCCCAATTTATTTGCGACATGACTTTCATTCTTGATTTTCTAGCACAGTAATAAGGCCTTTTCGTTTTCATTTTTTAAATTTTATTTTTATGACTTTATAATCCCTTATTTTGGGGCAGCTGAATGGAGCTGAGCATTTATTGGCTGGGTTAAGTCATCACAATAAATAACCACACACTTGCTACAATGTAAAAAAGCTATATATCAGTGGTGGGTACCTCCCGGTTCGGTCCGGTTTGGCTGAGCCGGTAGTGGTGACGATATGACGTCACCGAACCGGTTCTTCCCCCCACGCCCTCCCACCCCCCACATTATTCTTACCTTTTATTTGGTCCCACCCCCAATCTGTTGCTGCCTCCTGAGTCCCAGCTGATGACTAGAGGGAAAAAAACTGTTTAAACTCTTGCTGTGGGACTTCAAAGGGCCATCTTACAACTGATCAGTGTTAAAAGCAAACAAATGAGTCGGGTCGTAAGTGCGAGGACTGGTCGTAAGTGCGAGGACCTTCCAGAAATGACTGACCAGCTAGCCACACCCACCTAGTCACATGACCTCCAAGCCACACCCACAAAATAAGCCACGCCCACAGAACTAGTAGTAAAAAAATTTAGAACCCACCCCTGCTATATATACTGTTGTTATGACTGTGCTGTTACTGCTGTTTTTATCTTAGTGATATTCCTATGTTTATTTGTGTTATATTGTTTTTGTAATTTGTTTTACATACTACTTTTTAAATTAATTTGTCAAGCACTCAGGATATTCCACAAATTTAAACAAGGCTGAATTTTGGTCTAGATTATAGTAATTATTCATTTTTAGGTGACAGTGGAAGAAGTGATGGCTACAACTGCATACCTAGATCTCTTTTTGCGGAGCGTTTCTGAGCCAGCCTTACTCAAGATATTTCTTCGTTTCATCCTTCTGCACCGTCATGAGAATGTACATATCTTGGACACTCTTGCAAGCCGGATAAATACTCCATTTCAGGTGAGCGGCTGGGGTGTCTAGTCCACTCTTTCTTCTTGTTGTTACTGAAATTGTTTTAGATATATATGCAACTTATAAACATTGATAAAGGAAATTTTTGAAAAACCCAAATGAAATCCATGTTTTCAGGACAACAATCTCACGCTACACAAGAAAAAAGGGAAGCAAAAGGAAAAAATAAATTGAAATCTTATCACTTATATAATGAGTGTAACTCTGGTTTCATATAGATAAAATTTGGTATTAATATAGATAACAGGCCATTCACTGAAATTGAGTAAGTACCTATTATTTTCTGTTGCTTTCTGCTACCTGTTCTATTAGTGCCCCCCTCATACAGGTTTAACAGCACAATTTGTACTCTGGCTTCTGCTAAACTACACTTATAACTAGTCCAGCATTTTGTTTCTTATAGCCAACTATTACTGTATTATGATCTGGAAACAGTCTTGTTTTAACAGAACCGAAAGTGTGGATAAATAACTCCTGTGTATATTATTTCTTAATTCTTGCATACTGGTTCCTTTTTAGAACTCTGAATGGCTTATGAAAAGGTCCCAATAGCCTTTCATACAAAGGTTAATCCTTACACAAACTCACATATAGCACTTCTCAATTTCAGTTAGGCCAGGGGTGGGCAACTATGGCCCTTTTATGACTTGTGGACTTCAACTCCCAGAATTCATGAGCCAGCCATGTTAGCTCAGGAATTCTGGGAATTGAAGTCCACAAGTCATAAAAGGGCCATAGTTGCCCACCTCTGAGTTAGGCCATGGCATTTTTTGAATGAGTATTTATTTTGAAAGAACTAAAAAACATAATGAGATACTAGGCAGTTCAGTTGCCTCGTTTAGTTTTCCTTTGGTGAAATGAATTTATGTTAGTTAAGAAAATGGCATTGTTCATAGTTGTTTGTTCTTAGTCTTTATTTCTGATCTTTTACTTACTTAGTAAAGTGGCAGTTCATTTGCAATCATGGAAAATGTCTAGATCAGGGCTGTCAAACTCCCGACCCATGGGCCTGATGCGTCACGCACTGGCCACGCCCACAGTTGGTTTAATAAAGGGGGGGAAGTCCCAATACATCACATGATGCCGACGTGACGATGTGAGCTTGACACCCTAGGTCTAGATCATTTCTTAGCCTCAGCAAGTTTAAGATGTGTGAACTTCCAGTTCCCCAGCCAGAATCTTAAAGTTGCTGAGGTTCAGAAAAACTGTTCTAGATGGCTGCCATTTGGCAGTGGTAATTCCCCCCACCCCCCTTTATATATCCTAACTGTTGCCAATGAAATCAGGAGTTCAAATGAATATAAAAGTTTATTGCAAGCTTATGCTCTCTATGAGAATCCGAATTACTAACAGTCAAAGCAAATTGGCTGTAGACAAGAATCAACAAAATTCAAGGTCGGCTGGACTGAGATCTCTTTTGAGTGCGAAGGGACTCAAGACTGATGGTGCATTTGATCCCTCCCTCAGGCTTAGCCTGGTCATCTTCTACAATATTAGGACAACTGGTTCTTTTTCAGAATGGCCCTGAAAGATGAAAGCATTTGAGCAAACATAGTTACAGCGTCCAGAAGAGTATTAAGATAACTTTGCTGCTGAAAATGATTTGAAATTCAGAATAGTTGTACATGAAAAATAAATTTGAATAACAAGAAGATGACCTGCATGAATATAACTGAAATAAATGAGTAATTATAGAATAGGCTGTTTAATCTGATTCTAACCATACAAAATGTTTATAAACTATTTTTCTCTAAGTGACATTGAACATTTATCAAAATTCCAGATTTACAATGAATATTTTTAGACAGGGATGAGAAGCCTACAAGCTAAAGTCTAAATTTCCAACTTCCCATTTTGTGGCCTGACAAACAATAATCAATAATCACCATCAAAATTTGGCAGCTAGACCAGTTCCTTTCAGTGCTATAATTTGCTGTATTTGTTTTCTTTTTGCATTTAATAGGTTAAATATGGATATATCAAGCTTCTGTTAGGTTTGGTGCCTGTTTCTAATCTTGAAATTCTTCCAGCTCTCCTCATCTCAAAACTCAAATCTGCCAATAAAACAATATCATTTATACCACTGGCCATGAAAGAATGTGAATCATATCTAAAATTATGTTATTCTTTTTTCTTCTGTCTTTCTACACCTCTTCCCAAGTATATTTGAACCACACAAATTCATGCTTAAAAGTGTTTCCTGCCTCAGTTTCCCCTTGTCTTTGATTCTGGTGGGAAGTTGCTGAGAGATTTCTGTTTATTGCCTCTAGTCCAATCAAATTCAGTGCAAACCTATTTTACATACTGCAGCCCTGTGTTTTAAAAAGTTCTTAATTTCAAGGGAAACTTGTTCAGAGATTTAACCTCTTTTAACTCTAATTCTAAATTTAAGCTAGGATGCTCAGGCATGGTATTTTGCATCTATTTGTAAAGTTTTTATGATACTGTTTATTTTATTATTTATTTAGCCTTGTGTCCAATTATTTTACTTACATCAAATCCTAAACTCTTCTTCCTTTCAATGAAAATAACCATAGAAATACAATAAACTTTAATTGTATAAATAATTAAAACAACCAAACAATTAATTCAACCAACAATACAATCACAAGTTGGCAATAAAATCAGCCATTCAGCAGTATAAAACTGATTTATTTTTTTTGTTACTTCATTAGACCATTTTGGGGCGGGGGGGTGTTTATAGCCGTTAAATACATAACACAGAATATATGTGGTTGCATAAAACACTAATGATACTGATTTTTTAAAAGTTTGAAATTATCTATATAATTTTTTTCACTAACCCAATTTTAGAAAAATAGATCTGAACTCTGAAGCTGACCTGACTGAAGCCATTTTGAGGCTTCAGTGTTGCCACACTGGAGCTGAGGGATAGGGGAGCGGGGAATAGAGATAGATGGGGTTTTGTAGCCAAAACAAAATACTTTCTCCTGGGAACCAAGGACTTCTCACAGCTGGTCCAAGAGAGGAGGAGTGATATTACCAGGCAACTGGATGGCACCTTAATTGGACCATGTGATTATTTTGGGGAAGGGGAATTTTTTTTTACTTCTAATTAGGTGAAAACTGCGGTAACCTTCAGAGTTGGTTTTCACAAGAACCCTGACATTAGAATTAAGTGGTCCATTTTCATGAAACCAAACACTTGTTTAGTATAATGTTGTTTGATCCAGTGTCATCAGTAATAATAATATCCACATGACCAGCTTGATTACTTCATTGGATTGCCAGTATAAATAGAAATACAAGATATTACATCATCATCATCATCATCATCATCATCATCATCATCATCATCATCATTTTATTTCTATACCGCCCTTCTCCCGAAGAACTCAGGGCGGTGTACAGCCTATTAAAAGCACAAAGACAGACATCAATTTAAAAATAATTAAAATTATTAAATAATTTCATCTCAGATTTAAAACCCAAATTTAAAACACCCAATTTAAAATCATTACATTGATAGCCCAGCCTGGTGGTACAGTAGGGTCTTGAGGGCACAGCGGAATACACAGAGGTCGGAGATCTTACGCATTTCCGGGGGCAGTTCATTCCACAGGGCAAGGGCTCCCACAGAGAAGGCCTTCCCCCTGGGTGTTGCCTCTTCTGAGTAATTGTGGTATGTTACTTATGCCCCCAAAATAGCTAACATGGTAGCAGATTCCAATAGGATTCTGAAGCAGTAAATAAAAACATTTGCTTCAGTCTGCATTCCTGCCTCTCCCCTTGACACTTTATTTTGGGCAAAATAAATATGATTGAGGGTGGTATGTATGCACATACATATTCTGCAATGATTCCAGTTCCAAAGCAGATTTACTCTAAAACTCTCAGTTTCAACAGCCAAATTGCCAGTGTTGTCTTTGTTGAACTGTGTTGGTTTGATAAATAGTTTGGGTGTTATGAAGTATTGTCCTTTGGAATCATGCCGTAATAAATAAATGATGCTAAATGACTTGTTTGTTGTATAACTTAACCACAGGATTTATTTCTATGAATAGTTAACAGCAGAGATACCCAGGATTATGCTCATCCGTTGCCACATAAGCTGATTTATGTGGTAATTTTGGACCAGTCATTCTTTCTTGGTCCAATCTTAGCTGACTAGATGGCTTTCAGGAAACATTAGATGGAGTCCAGCCCAGAATATGGGTGTGGCCCTTTTTTGTTTTTTCCATTCAGTCATGTCTGTTTTTCAGAGACTGCCATATTATGTTGCTTCAGTTATTTTGGCAAATTATTGCAGAAGTGGTTTGCCATTGCCTGAATCCTAGGGATGGGAGAAAATAACTGCTACAAGGTCATTCAGTTGGCATTACCCATTACACCCACTAACTAAACTGGCTTTTTAAGATGACCTGTAATTTTGATTAAATAAAATAGATATATACTGTCTACTATTAACATAGTTTTTCATATTAGAAATAACAGCCATTTTCAGTTTAAGATCCATATTTAAACAGGGCAAAATTGTCATGCAAATGTTCCAGCATATTGAACTTAATTACAGTTTAATTCTCTTTCAAATCATATCTCAGTTCTTTTCTTTTTCTTGCCCTTAGAATTATTTTTCCCATATCCCAGCATATATCTCTCTTTATCTTTGGTTTATGCTGTTAGGAGTACTAATTTAATTGTTCTGGAGATATGTAACAAAGTAAAACATTTATATAATTCCTTTCAAATGTACTGCAATTCAGTTTGGGTGCTATTTGCATGTATGGTTTTTTTCTTTTTTTACCTTGGAAAGGATGAAAAATCATGCATTCATATTGTGCTTGTCGTTTCCTAGCTTTGTGTGGTGTCCTTGGCATTGTTCAAAACACTTATCAGTTTGCATTGTGAAGATGTGATGTTGCAGCTAGTTTTAAGGTAAAGTCAAACTTTCCTTTCTGATATTACAGTGCAAATTACTGTGAAAATTGATATCTTGGGGTTACTTAATATATATATTGTTTGTTTGTTTGATTGATTCATTTTCTATAGCCACCCATCTCAGCCACATGACTTGGCTTACAATTCTAAAACAATAAGAGTTAAAACAACTAAAACACCTAAAACAATAAGACCAACAACAAAAACTACATACAACATCTGAGGTAGTTAACTAAGTAGCAGTAAAGCCCTTAGTTAATGGGGCCCTTAATACATTCCATGCCCCAGGCCTGGGTAACATCTAAGTTTTTAAAGCTTATGAAAGACCGACAGGGTTGGGGCCATTATAAACTCTGAGGAGAGAATATTCCACAAAACAAGGGTTCCAGCAGAGAAGGCCTACCTTCTAATGATCAATTATACCATAGGCATAAATGCAGAATTCAGTATGTAGAAAAAAGGGGAATTTATTTAAAAACAGGACCTCTTAACTGGCTGAAAGAGGCTTATCAGAAATTTAAGAGAAGGGCAGGAAAGCATTGTTAGAAATTAAGTGACAAGGTTGAAAAGTTACATTTTCCTAAATTCACATAGCTGTTGAATGACCCAATTCACCTTTGTATGTACAGTAGGCAATATGTAATCTCATGTTTTAGTCCTTGTGCCTTCCAAAAGGAAAATGAGGTATCACTTACGTCCAGTCTTCATGCAGTTTTTCCTCCTGAGTTGGCCAGTTTTTGAAATTGGAGACACTATCTTCAGAAAGATGGGGGTGATTAATGGAAGGAACATATTTTAGAAGAGATTGGGAATCTGTTCTTCTCCTAATACTTTATGCTTTCCAGCCCATCTCCAGCTCAGGAAATACCTTGGCAGCACAAGAAGATGTTCCTTCGTCATCCGTCCATTTGATTGTCTATATAAGCTGGTGAAACAAAGCATTCCGCTTTTATTTTTGTCAACCCAATTGATTTGCAGTGATTAGCTAAATGGACACCATATATCTGGTTTTTTTCCAGGCCATGTTAAAGCTAATTAATTAGGTGGCATAATAATTACTCCAAGTTTGCAATCTTTTCCTGAAAAGATGAATAGGAGTTAGTGGATGAATAGGAACTATTCTGGATAACGTTAATCCTCTCCTCTTTGTTGCCTCGTCATGACCATAATGCCAAGTGAGACGTGATGCACCTGTTGCATTGAAACCACTGTCTTCAACCACAGTACAAGTTTCTTTTGATGCTCATCTTCCTGGCTGAGAGAAGTCATGGAAAATTCTCTAAAACCCATGTCCAAAGTCTATCTTGAATAGCTGCTTCACTTGGCCCACTATTAACGACTCAGGAAGTCACAGTATCCTGATACTTCTACCACCAAAAATGCAGTCTTTTATTTTATTTTTACATATTACAGGCATAGCATCTGCTCAGCAGCCTAATCTTTAGCTATTCTGTAAAAAAATGGTTTTGGGTGTATTTTAATCTAAATAACAAATAAGGCACCCTTGACACTTTTTCTCTTTCTCTCTGCTATTTTAGTTTGATGATAGCCTCTTGTTGTTCTAGGTACCTGATACCCTGCAATCACATCATGATCAGCCAGAGACGAGCTGTGAAAGAGAGAGATTGGTATTCTGTATCTGCTGCTAAGCTGCTTGCCTTGACTCCTGTCTGTTGTTCAAGTGGCATTACTCTGACTTTTGAAAAGCAAGAAAAAGATTATATTCTCTGGAAAAAAAATAATCATGGGGAAGGTAAACATTGATCTGTTTTCTAAAAACACAGTCCTTATATTAAGTTGAATTTGATTTTTTTCCACACCAATATTCATATTTGGAAATGTTGTAGAAAATTAGTTTAGTCTACAAAGGAATTTGATTTACAAATTTAAGTAAAGGTAGTAATCAAACCCCTCTTAAAATGTATGCTGTATCTAGATAATCAATGGTAATTATACTTTTTTGGGGGGGGGTTTACGTGATTCACAAATCTTAAATGTAAAGATTTTAAATCTTATTTGTCTTATGCCTAGATTGGGATTAGTACTGCCCAGAACATGCCCCATTATTAGATACTTAATGTGAAAAACTCAAGCAACTATTTCTGGGGTCATAAAAGAACAATAAAGAGCTTATTTTAGTCAAGGAAAGGAAGACATATTTGTGGTCATTGTTGTTTTTGATTGACTTTTACACCTAAGAAAAGAATCATTTCATGTTCTATAACACATAGCAGAATAACTTGTCAGTCCCAAATTCTATTTAATGTGGGCTAAAAATACTTTCTTACCATATTTGTTTGCCATACAACACTAATTATTACTTTACAGAAAAAGAAACTTGTCCAAGAATTGATAACATTAAGAATGCCAAAAAATGGGCGAGAAGTTGTGTCATGTTTGATAGTCCAGATCCAGTGCTCTGTATTCCAATAATTCAGTATTTATGTATTGCCTCAATACACATGGATTCTGAGCTTTGCACAAGAACTCCAACTCGAAACCACATTAAAACATATAATGCTAATAAACATGGTTGCCTATAACCACAGAAAAGGTCCAGTAAAATGGCTTTTGGAACAAAAGAACTAGAGTTTATGTAACATTTGAGTTCATCCTTGAGAAAGTATACCTGGGTGGTTGCTAAGAGTCGGCATTGATTTAATGGCAAATAATATTTGGACTGAATCATGTCAAATTGTGCTATTGCATATTTGTGTGATTTTTGAGGCACTGCATAGATTATAGAATACATGTCTCTGAGGATGGGAAAGAGTACATTTTTAAGGACGCTGTTTCATTTTGCAGGACACACGAAAAAAAAAGCAATCATAAATGTGCCACTGTATTTATTATCTGTTGTTTTTCCGTGGAACCATAGTTCCAGTGCTTTGTCACAAACATCTGATAGCATTATAGAGAGCTGAATGGCTAGCATTTCCATTCAGCTTAACTTGCCTGTCTGGGTTTATTCTGATCATTAATGAAGATAGAAATATATGGGTTCTCAAGTTGAAAAATGGCACCTAAACAGAAAGATGTAAATCTCCTTTTCTGACTTAAGAAAAATGCAGCCATTTCCCTATGACAAAAAAAAAAAAAAATCTCACCCATGCAAACCAATAAAACTCAAGCCAGTTGCTTGAAGCTTTCATATTTATTCTACAAGGGCGTCATAAATATCTCAGGACAACTTGGTCATAGGTCGGCTGAAATAATTTATGGAAGTTTGTTGGAAATTTCCTGTATAGTGACTAGTGCATGAACTTTAACTTCTCATTGTTTTGTGTTTATGGTTTGACAATTCAGTCAGACAAAGGAAGCATTACAATGCTAGTGGAGATAAAAAAAGAAATATTTCTTTATGATGAAAAATAATTCACTGAGTTTATTTAATGTCAGCAGTAAATGTTCTGGAGCTATCCAGTCATTCCACACCACAAAAGTATATTTTCTTTTGCCAGTATGCAAAACCTAATGACCTTTTATATTTTTATTAAATTTCATTTATTCCCTACAAAACAAAAGCAATTATTCTTGTTATACTTTGAGACTTATTGAGTCATTACACTTAAATAAGATTAAAGTTAGGATCATAAAAATTGATGTGCCACTTGGGCACTGCTCTACCATGCAATTCTTCTATATTGTATCATGTTAAATACAGTAACTTATATAACAATGTTTTCCAAACTAGCCCCCTGCCAGAAGATTAGATTTTAACATTAGAATCCCACCATTGGATGCCCATTGTCAAGAATTTTGTAAGTAGAAATTGTCTCATATGCAGAGGTCCAGGTGAGACCTAAAGGGCTTATCCCTAGATAGGTAATAATAAACCTTAGAAAATAGAATTGGGTTCTTTTTATTTTGTCTCTTTCAGAAAAAAAAAAAAAGGCAAATGCCTCATTTTTCCAGCGGTAGGATGTGTTTTTGTAGCAGAAATACAGACCAGGATTTTATATTAATACACCACAAGGATTTTGATATGCAGGAGTTGACCTGCTGGCAATGCAAACTATTGGGGTAATTTGTTGAAAACCATATTTTGCAAAGGATACATTTGCAAGTATAAGTAATAAGCAAAAATATAATAACCACAGTGCAAAACAAATAGGGAGAGGTTAGCAAACTTAGAGACAGTGTGACAGTTAATATTCTCTCTTTGAGCTCATTCAAATGCTTAGCATCAATTCTGCATCTTGTTTAATTATACTATTTATTGATGTGATTTACAGCTGTGATACCCACGTAAACAGATGATTAATAATTATGTCTGAATGAAGATTAGTATTTCCCCTTAGTTCCCTGTAACTTTTTTGTTGCTGCATTGCAGATTCCACCGAAGAGCCCTCTAGGAAGAGCATTGCAGATTCCGCATGTATTGTGAAATATGGGAAAACTATTGATATCAGTTACCTGCAGTACCTTTGGGATGCTCAAACTCTCATACTGCACTGTATGAAAGATTGTGAAGTTTGGTCTGCTCCATATGATGGGGAAAATCCCAATCCATATACCTTTATCCAAGCTTTGGTTGAAGAAGATGGTAAAAGCCTAGCTCAGCCTATTTTCCAACTGCAACACAGAACACCTAGTAATCATGTCTCTTCTCAGGTGAGACCACTGAGAGAAAAGACACAACTGGAGCTGGAATGGGATGATAGCTATGATACTGGGATCTCTCCAGATTCTGATACAGGATCTCCCCAGCATAATGATGAGTTTAATACCCAACCTCCTGCAGAACCCCCAAAGCATATTCAAGAAATGAAGAAAAATGCTATCATGTTGATCAAAGGATCATACATAGAAGAATCAGACTTTCAGGATGATGTCATGGTTTATAGGCTATGCGCTGAAAAGGATGCACAGGAAGCAGACCGCTTAAAGGAGAAACCTTTAATATCAGAAGCTGCAGATGTAGACAATCCAGATGCTATCTCTACCAATGGTCCTCTAGAAAGTCCCACATCGGATTTAAACTTGGAGGAGCGCAATATGAAAAATTTAAATATGATCCAACAAGCAAAAGATGAAACCCAAGGCAGCATTGACGAAACGACTCTGCAACCTGATTTGGAGCAGACATTGTCTTCCCCGGAAGGAGATCATAACACTAACATGAAGTTGTTGAGTCCTGACAGTGAAGATTTTATTTCCGAATGTGATAACATCATTAAAGAATTGGACTCAAACTCCTCAGGCTTGGTAGAACTGAAACTGCTGATTCCTGATCCAGTATCCCCTATTGAAGAGGAAGAAGATTTTGAAAACTTTTCAGCAGATACTCCATCAGCAGAAAGTGTGCCCTCTCCCTTTGGGGTAAAAGATGCCTGGCCCAGCAACCCTGCAAGAGTCCAGAATATCCCATTTACAGGTACAGTTTTCTAATTTATTAAGCCAATCACGCTATCTAAAATTCTAGATATGAATAACAGGTGTTGCTATATTATTTTGCATGCATACATTTTATTGTTCTCTTTGTTTAAAATAGAGATAGTCTTCGACTTACGACCACAGTTGAGCCCAAAATTTTTGTTGCTAAATGAGTTTTGTCCCATTTTATGACTTTTCTTGCCGCATTTGTTAAGTGAATCACTGCAGTTGTTAAATTAGTAACACGGTTGTTAAATTAAACTGGTCTCCCCAATGACTTTGCTTGTCAGAAGGTTACAAAAGGTGATCACATGACCTCAGGACACTGCAACTGTCATAATTGTGAATCAGTTGTCAAGCATCCAAATATAAATCACATAACCATAGGGATGCTGCAACGGTCATAAGTGTGAAAAATGGTCCCAGGTCACTTTTCAGTGCCGTTGTAACTTTGAACGGTCACTAAGTGAATTGTTGTAAATCGAGGACTACCTGCAGTCTACTTAATCAGCTTGGATTTATATTTCCTGTATAGAAAATCTCTAATGGTGACATCATTTCGGGCTGTAGGCCTACATACTTTAAAAGAAAGACACATTTAATTATTAGTCTTAAATTATATGTTACATGTTCATAAGGAGAAATTGCTACAGAAAAAAACAGATTCTTAATTTAACAATTACTCCTCAAAGTATTAAATAGAAATTGAAAGAAGAAATTGTTTTTGCGTTCATGTTTTAGCACTAGATGGCAGCTCTGTTACCATGTGGTCAGCATTTGCCACAATCACCTCCACAGGGATTATGCTTTATCAGTGTGAATATTCTGTAGCAGGGGTGTGAAACTCAAGGTCCGCAAATCTAGCCCATGGGGTGCTTAGATCTGGCCCGTGGGGCCACCCTGGAAACAGCAAGGGACTGGCCTGCGGTGCCCATGTCAGTGAAAACAGAGCTCGCACTCTGTTTTCGCTGGCAGAGGGTTGCAGGAGGCTGTCGCGGCTGAAACGAGCTCAGGAGCCCGTTTTCACTGGCAGAACGCTTAGGCGCCCCCAACACGAGTGATGTTGAACTGGCCATGCCCACCCTGGCCCCCTGAGGTCAAACAAAACCCTGATGTGGCCCTCAATAAAATCGAGTTTGACACCCGTTCTGTAGGATTGCAGAATATTCCATCTGCTTTCAAGTGACACATATCTTTCTTTCATAATGCAGCAAGTCACTTTGTAGCATCAGAAAGCATTTTTTAAATAGATTTTATAAGTTCTTGGAAAATACTCCAATATGAATGCCTCAAATCCTAGAGTTTAGATCTGTGATGTAAAACTCACCCAATGAAACCAGCAACTGGAGAGAATTCCAGGCAGTCTTTTTCTTCACAGGTCACTAGATTCTTGCATCCATATGAGCCAAGAGCAGGGCTGTCAAACTCAATTTTGTTGAGGGTAGCATCAGGCCTGTGGTTAACTCTGGGGGGGGGTCAGGCAAGTGTGGCCAACTGGGTGGGCGTGGTCAGCTTGCCGCCACTCCCCAAATTGCTGGCATGTTTCCTCTTCACATTGGATAGACTGGGCTGAAGCCACGCTGGCCCAATGTTTCCTCTTCGCACTGGGTAGACTGGGTTGAAGTGACGCAGGCCGGCTCCTTACATTTTCCAGGATGGCTGCGCGGGTCTTGTGTTTGATACCCCTGGCCAAGAGCTTCTGTATGTTGATCAAAGATACTTAAGCAAATATACCGTCTGCCTTAGTTTAAAAATAAGTTTATACCCTGTTTCCCCAAAAATAAGACATCCCCTGATAATAAGACCAATCGAGCTTTTGAGCACATGCGCTAAAATAAGCCCCTCCCTGAAAATATTTAAATGCATGCACAGCCGGTCTCCACCATTTCCTCTGATTTCCTCCACGTGTCCCAAAATAATAAGACCTCCCAGAAAATAAGGCTCAGTTCTTATTTCGGGTTCAAACAATTATAAGACAGGATCTTATTTTCGGGGAAACACGGTAATTACTTTTTAACTGTAACAGTAACAGAGTTGGAAGGGTCCTTGCAGGTCATCTAGTCCAACCCCCTGCTCTAGGGACATAGATGTTTGTGAAATGTTTGTTGAGGTGTGACATGGTAGTTTTGAAATATGACTTATGGCAATGCTCTGATTGTTATTCTAGCAACCTTGTACTGTATGTTATTGCAAGGACAAAAAGATAAAAGGAACAAACAAATCTGGATGCATCCTTGAATCTTGTTTTGTTCCAAGGCATGAACGTTATAACCAACTAATCACCAACAGGAATAGATTGGCACACTTTAAAAAAAAAGGAAAAAATTATTGAGAAGTAAAGAGACACAGTAAGGGAATGATGTACAGTATTATATTACAGTGCTATCAGCAAGCATGTACTTCTGTTGTTGATTTCCATAATCTATTCAACCTGAATTTTTATTTCAACTTTCATAGATTCTATTAATCTTCACCCATTAGAGAAAACAGAAAGCAAACAGTAATTTTAATTTTTATAATGGTAGTAGATGGGTTGATTTTACAAACCTTAATTCAGTTATGACAAGAGTATAATGTGGAAAGATTTCTTTGTATTGTATGACAAGTTTGTTATCTTTCTTTGATGTGTTCTAATAGTTGTTTTAAAATCTGCATTTATTCTATTCATCCTCTTTTTGGGCAATATATGGCAAGGCATTTTCTAATGACTATTCATCTATAAAATATGAATAAAAATAAAACTGTCTGCTAGTTTTATGGCAGAGCACAGGCACAATGGAGAGGATTCATTGTTCCTTTTCCACAGGAGTATAATGTGGAAATAGAATTTGTCGGTCGGGGAATAAGCAGCAAGTATGGAATTGAGTGGACACGAATGCTTTCTATGTTTTGACTAATATAACATCTATGCTTTTAATTATTTATAAAGTAATGCTCATTGCTCACTTACTATCAACAAGGGCACAATTATCATTATAAAATGGGAATGTAATGTAACAAATACAACTTTTACTATGAATAGGAACCAAATAAGTTTTAAGACTGTATGGTGAGTTGTGGGTAACATTTTTTTTAATCTAATTTACTTTTTATTGCAAAAAGTACAAAACCTATAAATCTCTTTTGTCACAATTGCTGGAAATTAGATTAATAATAGGCTATTTGTATGTATCATAGTACAGGTAGTCCTCAACTTACGACAGTTTGTTTAGTGACTGTTCAAATTTACAACAACAACACTGAAAAAAGTGATTTATGACCATTTTTCACACTTACGACTATTGCAGCACCCCTACGGTCACTTGAATAAAATTCGGATGCTTGACAACTGACTCATATTTATGACGGTTGCAGTGTCCCGGGGTCATGCAATCCCTTTTTGCAACCTTCTGACAAACAAAGTCAACGAGGAAAACAGATTCACTTAACAACTGTGGTACTAATTTAATAGTGATTCCCTTAACAAATGTGGCAAGAAAAGTCGTAAAATGGGGCAAAACTCAGTTAACAAATTTCTCACTTAACAACTTAAATTTTGGGCTCAGTTGTGGTCTTAAATCAAGGACTACCTGTAAATTTCTTCAGAAGCATTCCCATTCTGTCTGCAATCATTCGTTCAGTGATCAAAGTTACATTGACACTGAATGAATGATGGTTATGACCAATCCTCAAAGGCAGAGCAGTTCCAGCTTCCCTGCAGTCAAGTGATTGTGATCTGGGTGCTTAGCAACAGCCTTACCCTTAGGATTAATTGCAGCACCCCTCAATCACGTGATCGCCATTTGTGACTTTCCCTGCCAATTTCCCCAGAAAGTCAATGGAGAAGCAGGAAACAAGGTTGCAAGTCACTGGGTTAAGTCTTCCCCACCTGTCCATCTCCCATACTTTTATGCTCACCACACTGCTTCACACTGTTGCACGTACCCTCTGGAGCTTCACTGCACCACCTTTATCCCCCCCCCCGCTGCCCCCTTCCCCGATCATTGTAACACCTCCTATGCAGTGGTGGGTTTCTACCGGTTTGCCCCGGTTCAGGAGAACCGGTAGTGGTGGCGGCGGGAGGCTCTGCCAACCCGCTCAGACATCATCATGGATGCTCTGCGTATGCACAGAAGGTTCTGCGCATGCACAGAAGCACCGTGTGCGAGCAAAACAAATGTGCGCATGTGCACACTCCCAGTTCCGAACCGATAGCAAAGATAAGTGAAACCCATTACTGCCTGTGCATCTTTGCACGTCCTCCCTGACCTTTGCCACGGTGGCACAGTGGTTAAAGTGCAGTTTTGCAGGCTGTTTCTGCTGACTGCTGGCTGCCTGCAATTTGGTAGTTCAAATCTCACCACGGCTCAAGGTTGACTCAGCCTTCCAACCTTCCGAGGTGGGTAAAATGAGGACCCAGATTGTTGGGGGCAATATGCTGACTCTGTAAACCGCTTAGAGAGGGCTGTAAAGCACAATGAAGCGGTATATAAGTCTAAGTGCTATTGCTAATTTTGGGCCTTAAAAATAAGAGTCTCTGTTGGAAGTTTGCACTGTTTACTTTGTCAAGAGACAAACATCACTTTTATGCTCTTGTCCAGGTCAGATTTTAAAATGGCTTAGAAATACTACCAGCTATCTATATCTGTATTTGATATGTAATACATTTATTTTGGTCATGAGTTTTATAGCAATAGCAATAGCACTTAGACTTATATACCGCTTCACAGTGCTTTCCAACCCTCTCTAAGCGGTTTACAGAGTCAGCATATTGCCCCCAACAATCTGGGTCCTCATTTTACCGACCTCGGAAGGATGGAAGGCTGAGTCAACCTTGAGCCTGAGATTCGATCAGCCAATGATCAGCTGGCAGCCTGTGACCAGCAGAAGTAGCCTGCAGTACTGCACTCTAACCACTGTACCACTGCAGCTCATTTATGACTAGTATGTACTATCAATCAATCAATCAATCAATCAATCAATCAATCAGAATAATGGGAATGGGATACTAAATGATACAAAACAATACTAAAGCACATATACTATGTATAATGTTAACCAAGTAATGTTAAATGTCCCTAAACATTAATCTTTGATTTGAGAATTACATAGAACAAAAATGAAGGATTCGTTTTTGTCCTTTACTGTCACCTACATACTGATTTTGTTTATGTGGTTTTACAATTTCACTGAACATATGTAGCTCAAGTTGGAATACTACACTGTTGCTATTATCTGAGGATGGTTTTGGGAATGCAGATTTCCCTTCTGGGTAACAGGATGTATGAATGTATGAATTCATGTAATGTATGAATTAGGAGAAGTGAGTTCAGTTGATTTGTTGATTGGTCTTTCTCTCCGGCCTGCTTTGCATGTGCTCCAATGCAATGATTTTATTGGTCGATATTGTTTTGCAAGTGATTGATGCGTTCTTGTAGATTTTTTTTTTTTTTGCCTGATAAGATGATGCTCCAATCTGTGTTGATTGCTTCCAATCTGTGTGATTGACAGTGTTGATTTCTGTATGATGGAATTGTTTGCTGGGAGGATATTGTTCCATTTTTGTGACTGTTGAATTGTAATGTTTTTCTGTTATTAGATATGAAAAGTGCGAGAGCACTTTTAGAAAGAATGACAGTCTAGCCAAACAGTGATCCATAGATATAAAGACTTAAAACCTGTTTATAGGCCTATCTGAAAACATATCCAAAGACCCAGAAGTAGTGCATGGAGCAACCCTCAATATTTTCCCCTTATCACAAAGTAATCAACTAATTCTGATATTAATAGATAGATCCATTTTATGGAATCAGTAATAAAAACCTAAACAAATTCAACAATCACAGGGAAAGAAAATAGCCTCTCAGTGAGCCATCCCATCAAAAAAAAAAGCTGATTTCACAGACAAGACAAAGATGTCATCTTGCAAGTCAGAATCTACCAACAAGACATCATTCAGTTGAAGAACAGCGTTCACTTGTAGCACCATGCAAGCAGCAAGACAGATGCATGCATAATCTCTGCCAATCTCACTTCCTCAAATTTTTTCCACTGATAATGTTGTCTTGCATAGTAACAAAACATCTGTAACCCAAAACCAATCTTGGCTAGTTCCATCAATGCAATATGCCAATCCTGAGTGACATTTGTAAAGTATGGCAAACTATAGGAAGATAAAAGGAGAGTGGGATTACTTTGCCCCATTCCATTCTGTGAAAAATAACAGTATAGGCCCGTGATGGTGAACTTATGGCATGCATGCCAGAAGTGGCACACAGAGCCATCTTTCTGGGCATCCAAGCCATCGCCCGTTGTTCTTCCAGATTCCAAACACCGGGCAGCTGGTCTTCATGCACGCGGGAGCGCAGGAAACTGGAAAAGCAGCTGCCTGGTGCACATGTGTGCACCCGAAAATGATCGTCTGGCTTCCAGCGCACGCATGTGCCCCGGCTAGCTGGTCTTCGCACATGCATGTGAGCCAGAAACTGGAAGATCAGGTGGCCAGTGCGCATGTGCGTGCAAGAAACTGGAAGATCATCTTCCCGGTGTGCACATGCTGCTGTTCTTCTAGTTTCTGGCTAGCACATGCGCACTGGCCAGTTCATCTTCATGCGTGCATACGCACCAGAAGCAGGAAGATCAGATGGCCAGTGTGCATGCGCGCACCGGAAACTGGAAGATCATCTTCCCAATGTGCACATGCATTCAGTGCCGAAAAGATTCGCCAACACTGGTATAGGCCAAGCTATAATTTACTTTATCTCTTTGAAAGCTATATTTTCCAGGGGCAACAATTACTTGGAATGCGTGGGAAGACAACGGGAGAAGAGACCTCGATTTGGAGGGTTGCTAAATTCAGAATGTCACTGATACTTCAACTCCTGAGAAATAGGATAGGAGGATTTCTCTCTCCCTCCCGCCCCCCCTCCATTTAAAATCTGGAGGAAAATAAAGGGGAAATTACAACAGTATTGGAATTCTCCGTCTCTTTATAAATATTTCTTTTCTTTTCTTTTCTTTTTTTTCTTTTTGTTTTTTATTTTTGGAGCAGCTGTGCTTATTGCGAAATCATATTGTTGTACACTGGGACAGGCAACATGTTGTATGGGTATACTGTGTATACACATACAATGACAATAAAGTTATGATGATGATGATGATTATACACTGTTCAGTATATGCTCCCTATCCTCTGCCCAGGCATAAGTATTCCATATTAGCCTTAAATGTACCAGTTGTAATGCCATCAGTTCCTGTCTTTTTGTTGAAAAAGAGAAATGCAGAATACCCGATGGCTGTGGTTCTTAATCCAATTTTTAATATCAGAGCTCCTGTAACAGCATGTCACACCCTAGGGCTGTCTGTTATCCTGTCTTACATTCACCCAAAGAAATTCATTGGGTAACATCTTTTCTCACCGAAAAAGATCAGCTGCTGTGCCGGCAAAAGGAAGGAGGGAACCAGGGACATAAGACTTTTTGGAAACGCCCAGAGGAATGACTGCCAACCCTCCCCCACCCCCAATAGATTCTAGACAATATTGGCTGCTGAAGGATCCTTGGTTTCAGGAGGACCCAGATGTTCTGACCTAGGCTTTCTTAAAAAGCAGGAAGCAGAGTTTTGGTTCCGACAAAACCTCTTTTATTTACGCGACTGCAAATTACTGTCATTCACAGTCAGCAATGCTTTTTCAAACAGTTTTTCAAAGGAATATTTATCAACACACCTTATCTCACTTGGCAAGCTGTCACGTAACTTGTTTTCAAATGCAGAGTAAGGCAAAATTTGGCACAGAGTCTCTAAGAGTCACGAACAGAATTTTCCACTGTTGAAATGACCGAACGAATTGTTTCCTGCAAAAAACCCCTTCCCATTCGCTCCTCTTTAGTTTCCTATGGGAGGAGCCAATCATCTCCAAGGTGTGTCTTTACTCCCAAGTCGACCCTGCTTTCTGAGTTGTTCTTGTCTTATGGCAGCTCTGCACATGCGCATACTGGGAACGGGCTCCAGCTGTTCCTCTGCCTTGCTGCTGTCTATCTCCCTCTCTGCCTCCGACTCAGAGCCCTCATCTGAGCTATCCCCAACCTCCAGGACTGGCCCATGTTCCTCCCCAACCTCCTCACTGTCTGACTCTGCTGCCAGCTCCACTGGCCATTGGTGGGCCACAACACCAGGCTAGACAAGGGTTGATTGGGGGTTTCAGGACTGAAGGTGAAGTACCAATGAGGGATGCTTCTACTCCTTGCATATGGCTTCTGTGGAAAGTGGGGTAAGGGAGAAATCATATCCTGCCAGCTTGAGAGAGACGATGCCAGCCAATACCAGTCAATGCTTCTTTTTTTAACACTAAGAAGGAGTCTAGAAATAGCAATGCATACATTTTGTTAATGCACTGGGCTGCACTCCTATCCAGTGGAAAGGCAATTCATTTTAAAAATGCTTGGCCAGATGCTAATAAATCAAGCCTCTTTTTCTTGCAGTTCTACTCCTTAGCGGAAGAAGAGGCAAGAGAGCTGAAAGAAAGGAATGCAGCCTGATTAACGGTTGCTTACCTGCTGTAATTACTGTTTGAATTTGGACGCCTGCAAACGAAACTAATAACTGGCCTAATGCTGCTAATTTTAAATAAAATCATAAAATATGTTGATGCTATGAGTTGGATCAGATCTCACAAACTCCCTTTTCCTTTTCTTCTCCTTTCTTAACGATTCAAAAACCTGCTTTGTTTTGATTTTGCTTTTTAAATCTGCAGGCCCGTTTATCAGCGTGGTGCTATCAAAACTGGAAAACATGTTGGAAAACTCCTTGCATGTGAATTTGCTGCTCATTGGAATAATTACTCACCTAGCCAGTTACCCACAACCTCTTCTTCGTTCCTTTTTGCTCAATACAAATATGGTATTTCAGCCTAGTGTGCGGTCTCTGTACCAGGTACTATTTAATACTAAAAAGAAATCTTTTAAAACTCACTTTAAAGTGCAGCAGTTATCATTTTTTAAAAAATTTAAGTTTTTCCTTCAGTTTTTGAAGAGCGATATCTTAATATTGATTTGTTAAAATGTAATTGTTTAAATCAAGAGAATGTAAAATATCACAGTATGATGAGTTATTAAGGACAAAGTACATAATTCAGTCATAATTTAGTAAATAAATGTATTTGTAGCTGTACAGGTGCTATTTATTTATTTTACTTTATTCTTGGTCAGGTGCTGGCATCTATAAAGAATAAAATTGAGCAGTTTGCTTCCATTGAAAAAGATTTCCCTGCTCTCTTGATACAAGCACAAAAGTACCTGCTTTTACGAGTAGATGCCCTGGATGTTCCTTTAGAATCATTAAATAAAGGTAATAATCATTCCTGATCAATTAAACATTTTTTTTCTGGCTTTAATAAGAATTGAATAAATGGAAAATAAACTATATACAGTGCAAGGTTATTCTAGATAATTGTTAGGATTAATTTTGTGAATTTTCCTACCCACCATTCTTTTTAGGTAAAGATAGTTGGCATTGTTTACCAATCTAGTGTTCGGTTCATCTTGATCAGGGTTGGTTCTACTTACCTTTAATACCGGTTTGCAATGGGGCTGCCCTCGCGTGCTTGCTTCACCAGCCCCAACATCATCAGGAAGCTTCTGCAAGCATACACAGAAGCTTCCTGATGATGTTGGGGCTGGTGGGCGGAGCCTCCCGCCAGTTTTAGTACCGGTTCTATAGAACCGGTCCAAACCGGGGCAACCCACCACTGATCTTGACCAGAGCTGGCAGGTAAATTAGATGGCTAGGACGTGTGTCAGCTTGAACTATCAGTTTATCTTAATGGTGGAAAATCAGAGAATAATCCTTTTTTCTTGAGTTCCCTAATATTTTCTAACTGCTTAGAAATGGTGGCATAATTTTCCAACTGTTGAGCTACATAACTAAAGTATGTAGAGCTACATAAAACCTGTATCATAAACCCTAAAGTAGGTTTAGCATAGTTGAATGTTCACTGCTATACCCATATGTCCCAAAGAAACTAGAGCAGAAAAAACAACAACCGGTAACTCTCAGTCCTCATGAACGACAAAGTGCTGAAACTTTGTATATGCAAAATAAATGTGCAACTTAGCTGTAGTCTTACCTTTCCTGATACCCTACTTTTCTCTCAAGAAGGTAAGACCATTATACACCTATAATTTTATTTATTTATGCAATGGATTGCATTTATTTATGCAAGACTGCTATTATTGTTGTTATTTTAAAATGGCACAGCTTTTTCAAAATAATTCCCATCTATAGGTGTAACAGCCATTATTATAATATTGTTTTAAGTCGCTTTATTTTTAGCAAGGCTATATGATGGGCAGAGCAGTTCCAAACGTTCATTTGGAAATTCTAGTAGTAAAAGGTTCTGCAGTTTATGCATTGTTGTCAGAGATGAGCAAATCTAACATCTCATGAATGCACTTTGTCAAGTGGAATGATCTGTGATAAAAATAAATCTAGCTATAAACACTTTAGGGCAGAAAAGGTTAGGTGATTTCATATGAGACAACATTTTCCTATTGCAGCTGCCTTTTGATTATACTGTTGTCAATTCTAGCATATTAGTCAACTTTTATGGCAACAATTTGTAGGCTAATAAAACAAAAAATGCATTGCTCTAGGGAGAAGATAATCATCGTTTTCCGCATCCCCACTTTGACCTGGGATACTTGCATAAAATGACTGGATAATTTTATGTAAATAATGCTATTGTGAATATTGCTCAAGAGTTGTTTAACAGTAATTCAGGAAGAAAAAAAAATCTCCGTATAAGCTAGTGGTTTATTTCTTTTAGGATCTCTTGTACCAAACTGTTTTTTGAACTTTGGTTTATAGGATTTTGTTACATCATTATTTATTTGACAAATGACTGGTTTATAATTTGTAATTGAAATTGAGATGCCATATGTAAACATTTTACATGATTATCTAATTTTCTAAGCATCTTCTTGATCCTCTTTCTAACCATTCCTTAATATACTGGGAGTGTTGTTCCTTTTCATGTTTCATTGTAATGTTTGACAAACATGTTTTCAGTATATCTGGCTACATATGGAGTATTATATCTGCTCTAATTTTAATCCCACAGCAAACCTAGGCATGTGGTTGCTGTTGCACTAGATCAGCTGCTTACCATGTATGCTCCCCTAGTGATAAAATGTAAATACTTCAATGGCCATGGAATGAGCTTAAAAGAAGAAGGCCAATTAGCACAGATGTGAAAGAAGTAAATGGAATGCAATTCACATACTATTTATATGAATGGAATTGTCAGTTTTGTATGTAAATTGGAGTAGGTCAGGAAGCTTCTATTGACTCTCATACATCTTCCATATAGAGCATATCTTAGTGGTAACTCAACCCTAATTTTTAACGAACCCACTTTAATCTGAAAAGTCATGTCCCAAATTATAAATTGCTTTATGAAATTCAGCTGAATTTTTAATATAGAAGACAAAAACAGGGAAATGATTCCAATTATAAAGGCTGGAAGAGTTAATTAAAAGTTGGATTTAATTCCTATCATTGCTGCTGTTTGGTTCATTATAGGTTAAGAATAAACAATTCTGTGCAGATGAAATTACTTTCATAAAATGTAATAATATATTACCTTTAATCAAATTCATGAAAAGACAGGGTGAATAAAGGGAGCTTCCCTGTTCAGGGCCATGGATATTAAGATTAAAAGAGTTGGAAGGGACCTTGTAGGTCATCTAATCCACCCCCCTTCCCAAGCAAGAGACCCTACATTATTTCTGACAGATGGCAGTTCAGTCTCTTCTTGAAAGCCTCCAGTGCTGAAGTTCCCACAGCTTCTGAAGGCAAACTGTTCCATTGGTTGATTGTTCTCACTGTCAGAATATTTCTAGGTTGAATCTCTCCTTGATCAGTTTCTATCCATTATACCTTGTCTGGCCTTCAGGTGCTTTGGAAAATAGCTTGACCCCCTCCTCTTTGAGACAACCCCTCAAATATTGGAACGCTGATCTGAAAAAGTCTCTAAAATATGTTCCAAGGGAATTGATACTGAGGAGTCTTTTAGAAAAATAGCATACTTGCATTCTGTGGACCGAAGTTTATGTGTTCTGATTTCAGAATTAACTTTTTTAACCCTACCAAGCCTTGATTAGCATTCTGCTAGAATCTTTGTGTCAGAGGATTGTTCTTCTATAGCTGTTGTAGATAGGAATTTTCATTAGTGGCTGCGTTCAGGGATAAGGGGACTTTTCAGAATCTGATGAGAACAGTAACCATAGTGACTAATTGCTTAACAGTAGAACTGGTAAAGTGGTTTCTTTATTTTTTTCCAGAATAGTCTACCTTTTTTTTTTGCTCCTTGATTTCATTGTAAGCTTTGCTTCAGTGTTAATAAGAAGCAGTTGGGATCTTCTTTCTTTCCTTCCTTCCAATTTTAATTTAAATACTTCTTCATTTCTGATTGCCCTCCTAATATCTTCTGGTACCTTTTATAACCATTGTCTAATCCACATAATTAGTGAATCATGTGAAATATACATTAAGTAACTGGCTGCTAGGAGATATGGTAGTTGTTCCCTGGAGTTTGAATTTAAAACCCAACATATGGAGACTAGGATTCAAACAAATCTGGTTTCAGTAGGCTGAGTTAACCAGAAGATTTTTGACATCATATTATAGTTTTCAGAACTATTTTGCAAGACTTCTAAAGTCTTCTGTGAAAGAAAAATAGATGCCTAATGCCTTTCCTTTGAATTGTGGCCACTCTTTTTATGTGTCCCCCAAGGCATGGACCAAATGCTTGCTTTGATATATTTAGCCCTGCTTCATCTATCTCCAAAATATTTAACACATGCAGTATGAACAACCCCCAACATCCAGTGAATTTGTCAGGCAGTTTGGATTATTTTTCCCTTTAAAATATTCAAGCTATTTTAAACAGGAACATATTTTTAATTCCAGCTACATATACTTTTATTGTAGCCTTGATCATTTGTCTTCCCTGATTTTTCTGGTCAATCTGCAAGCTGAATCTCTTTTTGCTGCTCACACTCTCATTTTGTAGCAGCTTTTTAGGAATCACTGACTAATGCCTAATAGTTACAACTTACAATACCTATAGCCAGATGTCATCAACACAGATTGTACCAATTAGGAGATAATTAATTTGTCACAAGACTGTGCCTAGAAATCGGACAACCATTTGTAGATATTAGGCAACCATTTGTCTGATATGGTATAGGGTTCTTCCTCGAGCAGGAGGTTGGATTAGAAGACCTCCCAAAGTTCCTTCCAACTCTTTATTTTGTTAAGACTGTTTGTAATGACCATAAAGTTATCATGAGGTGATCATTTTTATCAGGAAAATGAATTTTTTCTTTCCCAAACGATCAATTTTGTATATAAATATAAAAGATTTATATTTCATGTTCATGTCACTAATTTAAGTTGCAGGACACAAGAGCAGAACTACATGAAATGCACCTGTTAGGACCCTGAAAAATTCCCACTACATAGCCCTAAATAATATCCAGAATTAGAATGGCTGCTTCATGTTATTGATACTGCCACATTGCTTACAGATATAAACTCTGCATGTTGTGATGTTCCACACTTAAGAATCTTGGTTGACAAGCCCATTTATCAAAAGATAAGTCAAGTTTTCTTAATAGTAAAATAAGAGTTTTGATGACCTGTATTGTGAGGCTGGTTGTGAAACTTAAAATAATGATCTCAAAACACATTTAAACATCTTGTAAAAAATAATCCAATACTTTTTATTAGAACTTCTAACACTGCATGTGCATTTAAAGTAATTTCAAACATTTTACTTTTTATTTTTTTATTTTGCAGACAATGGACAGCAGAAGAGTGTCACAGAAAAGGTTAAGAACCTCTCAGAGGCATCCCAAGCCCTCCTCCAGACTTACTTGGGAAATAAAGCAAGAAAAGGCTCTGGTCTTCCCAACGTTCCCTTTAACATTCCAAACACCATCCTTGCGGCAGCCCTCTTCCCAGAGTTTCTCAAGGAACTAGCAGCTCTTGCACAGGAACATTCGATTCTGTCCTATAAATTATTGGCTGACCTTGAGGATTACTACCCATTCCAAAACATTTAAAATATGTGCTCACATTTGTTTTAAATGCAGAACTACTCACGAAACAAACCGAACTCCATATTCCTGGTATTACTTGATTCAGGAGAAGTTGTTACTTTTTGGGTTGTGTCTCAATTTCATAAGAAATTGATTAGTAATGAAGCCAATACTTTATTTATGTCCTTGATTTGGCTGACTTTCAGGTTTTCTCTTTTAAACTTTGCTGTTGTGACTCTCCGGGTTAGAAAGATAGAGTTATACAAACAAAGTAAAAATCTTTTATCTCTCTCTTTCTTGCAAAGATTCATTAAGTCCAGCATGACAATCCAATAAGACGATCACTGTTGAAAGGGAAGCTAGCAATCTTCTCTCCAATCTTCTACCTTAGCAGGGATTAGACTTGTGAATCCAAATGGATTCAGTCTAAGCCTGTGATTTGCTGAAAGCAGATGGTGGTGCTGAACACGTACCATGTTGCCTTACGCTGTGGACATGTCTGGTATTCTAAAGCCGGGGGCGGGGGGGGGGCAAACTCGATTTCATTGAGGGCTATATCAGATTGTGTTCAGTGATGAAATGTAAAATTTGTTACTCCTGGTTCTGTGGGTATGGCTTGGTGGTGATGGAGTAATGTGACTGGGTGGGCGTGGCCAACTTTTCCCTTTTTAAAAAACTTTTAAAAGCATTTTTTCTACAACCTCTTTGGCCAAAGAGTTTGTAAAAAAAAATGCTTTGAAAAGCCTCTGACGATCAGGCAACTCAGCTAGGATCATCAGAGCCTTTTAACATTTTTTTACAACCTCTTATGCTGAAGAGGTTGTGGAAAAAATGCTTTTAAAAGCCTCTGACGATCCCAGCTGAGCCGCATGATCATCAGAGGCTTTTTTTTAACTTTTAAAAGCATTTTTTCTACAATCTCTTTGGCCGAAAAAAATGCTTTTAAAAGTAAAAAAAAAAAGTCTCTGATGATCGCGCGGGTCAGCTGGACATGGGGGGGGGGCAGGGATTTTTGCTACTGGTTCTCCGAACCACCCGCTGCCATCGCTACCGGATCGGGCGATCCAGTCTGAACCAGGAGCATTTCATCCCTGGTTGTGTTTGACCTCGGGGGGCCGAATGGGCTCCATTTTTGCTGGGCTGTCGCAGGTGAAAACAGAGCCCGGGAGGGCTGTTCGCAGCCCTCACAAGCTCCGTTTTCACTGGCAGAGGAACCATGGACTGATCCTTCACTGTTTCCAGAGCAGCCCATGGACCAGATCTAAGCACCCCCACGGGCTAGAGTTTGACACCCCTGCTCTAAGATGTTGACTTCTTTGACATTTAGATTAAATGAGTACAGTAACTGGATGTTAAGTGCAGACTGCAGAGTATTTTCTTGCCATTTCTTGGCATTAAAAAAAAAAAAAGATTGCTGCTAAAAAAAAACCTCAAGCCTTATTTTAATAAAATTTGCACACGGTGAAATATTTCTATGCAAGCTGTAACCTTTTTTTTTTTTTTGCAGAATGTTTGTAAACTTTTGTTGACAAGCTAAAAAGCAAAGGTTTTAATAGTCTTAGGAATGTAATTATTCCTAAAAATTGTGATTGTATATTTTGTAAGTCAGTTTAAAAAAAAATGAAAATGTAAATTTCCAAATGGTTTTTAATGAAATTTTATTTGGTTCAAGAAAATCTTTGTGGTACATTCGTACGTTGGTTAAATCTTTTTGATGTACACTGATCTGTTGCAAGATGGCACTTTATAGACATGGCTTTAATATATTGCTCTACTAGAATTAGAAAAAAAAAACCAATTGTTTTCTGGGATATATACAGTGCAACCTGTTACAATTGGTGTAGAATTCCTTAAGAACATTTTCTTTTTTGAGTAATGAGACTCATTAGAAGAGTCCAGACATGATGAATTGGTATATTATAGCTGCATTCCAGTTTGCACTAGTAAGAGTAATTGTCCTTCCAGTGGTGAAGCTAACTTTGAGCAATAAGTGGCCCAACAATTGAAAGCCTTCGGTTTTTTTTCATTGGTGGAAAAGAGAAGCTATTTTAGAACAAGTGAAAAAAAATGGGCATAAAGACAAAGCTGGAAAAAAATTATTTTCATCTGTTTTTAAATTATATTTAGAAGAACTAATAATTGCAGGGAGAGTTTGTAATTCCTTTGGTAAGAGTTAATATAGCATCTCTAAGCATAGAAAGTAAAGGAGAATCTGCCTGTGTATTTGATTATTCATCAAAATATTGCAGGATGTAAAAATCTTCTTATATTCTGTCCTAATTTCCATGTTTGCTCATACCGTATCTCAGTTCTTTGCCTTTCCTTTGGCAAGAAGAACACTGTAGCGACTTGGGCATCTTACATTTTTCTTTAGACCTGAATTTGTTCTCCATAACAATTCTTTTGTGTATAATTACTCCAGACTAAGGAAAGAACTTAAGTAATTTAAGCGCTATACCGATTAGTAGTCAATTGAAGCCAGAATGGTTCCTTTTTGAACTGAAGGGTAAACAGTTAAAAAATAACAATGGAAGCATTATTTCGATATACAAGTATTCCTCGATTTGCAACCATTTGTTTAGCAACTATTCAAAGTTACAACGGCACTGAAAAGAAGTGACTTGTGATCGGTTTTCACACTTATGACCATTGCAATATCTCCACAGTTACATCATCGAACTTTGGTTGCTTGGAGGCCTGCATGTTATCATTTGCAACCAATTTAGAAAGCAAAGTCAATGGGGAAAGCTAGATTCGATTAACAACCCACATGATTCACTTACCAGCTACAGTGATTCATTTAACAACCATGGCAAAAAGTTTGTAAAATGGGGCCTGGCTCATTTAAGATCTGTCTTGCTTAAGCAATGGAAATTTTGGGCTCAATTGCGGTCATAAATCGAGGACTATTACAATGGCAAGATTACTATATGCACAAAGACGAACAGATTTACTATCATGGAGGAATGGTTGGTGAAATTGGTGGAACTTGCCCAGATGATCAAACTCACTTCTTTGATTAGAAAAAGGATAATATCTACATTTGTTGGTGACCTTATTGATTTTTTAACCTAGAAAACGATTTTGTGACTTACGGTTTGAAGATTAGAAGTTATAGAAAAAAGGGAAATATGATTTTGTCAGCAGAGAGAGGCTTTATTAGAATTATATATATAACTGCAGAGGAGATTAGAAGTCACTTCTTTTATTTTCTGTTTTTATTATTTTTTCTCTTCTTTCCTTTTTCACATTTACTAATTTTTTCTTTGAATGTATTTCTTATTATGTATGTAAAAGCTTTTAATAAAAACTATTTTGAAGAAAGTAATTGGCATTGTACCATTCACTACATATTGAGAAAATGATATGATTGACTGGTTATTTATCCGACAAGCAAATACTGTATTTTATTTTTCCTCCATCTATCTTCAACCTTATCCAAATACTAGGATCATCTAAATGCATGTTCTCTTCAGTACCTTCTTTCTGAAATGTCCCCTTGAACATTCTGGGAAGTCTTGTTACGGTTTTATCTAATCTATAAATCATAATTAGTAATAACTAATTATTTTATATTGTTCACAATCCGAAGTCATTTGTTGAGATGGTGACTATACAAATTGAATAAATAAAACAAAACTGCTCAGTCCCCATTCAGTTTACCAGCTAAGCTTTCTCTGAATAGAAACCAACAGGCTCCATTATTCCATTTTCAGTAGCTGCCAAAACTGTCTGATCCACATTATTCAGCGTAAAACCTCTAGCTGCCAGCCAAATTGTTCATAAACAACTTCTCCCAAAAATCCTCTGTGATTTTAACAAGTCATCTTGGAAGCTTTTAAGTGCATCTTCCTTTATGACAACTTCATAGCTGTTCCATATTCTCCTATGGGAAACTAAACTCGTTACCTTACTAACAAACAAAGGTGATGTAGAGAGAGAAATAGTTTTGAGTTATTTTCTGTTCTCTTATCACTCGCTCCAAAGTTCCTATGCATATGTGATTAGCTAGCAACGAAGCTATGGTGGAACGTATTGGTATTTATAGCATTCCCAATTTATTTCAGGACAGGGGAACTAAGGTATATATTTGAAGAGAAGATGACCTAGAATTTTAGGGAATCTGCTTCAGAGTTTGTCGATGTGTACATGCACAAGTCTTTCTGACGTGCCAGAGGCAAGCATACATTAAAAATGTGCTTGGGTAAGAGATTAGCAATTAGATAAAAGCCAAGGTGTGAAAAAATATGTATGCAGATAGTGCAAAGAATGCAAGGCAACAAAACAGGAAATTGAATAACAGGATTTATGTTTGCATGCCGAGTTTGCTGAGAAATGACGAAGAGACTTAAAGCAACTCTAGCACTCTGTGGTCAGAAAAGCATAAGGAGATCCGAAAGCTCAAGACATGAACAGAAGCAAGCCAAACCTGGGAATGTACGAGGAAATCCAAAAATTGAATCCAGCAACTAAAAACTGGCAGTATTGTTCTAGCCCCCTTCCTGTTAAATGTCACAGCTGCATCTCCCTTAGCTGGCTGTGATGATGAGCAGCCAGCCACAGAGTGTTTGTTGGAGGCTTGCTGCTTGCTTGTGAGTTGTTCAGTCTTGCAGAGCACATGGTATTGAACTACTGTATGTAGTAGACTGGATAGTTTGCTGTATGATGCCTACATTGAGTGGCCTATATTGGGGAGGTTTCTGTACTGGCAAAGTAAAAACAAAGTAAACATCAGAGCATCTGGGGAAACGGAGGGCAATCCTGAGACAAATCCTCTGTAATGCTGTAGATTCTCTCCACACTTCAGTGAATGTCTGCTTGTGAAACATGTTTATATATACATATGGTTATGTAGAAGATATGCCAGAAGGCATATATACATAAAGTTCTTTGTGACAAAAGTCATACTTTTAAAAAAAAAGTATTTACAAATAAGATCTAAATTTATAGAAGATATAAAGACAAATGAGGTACAATTGGAACAAAACGAATTAGATAAAATTGTATTTGGGATGGAACAGAAACTAATTAGCAAAATATACAAATTCTTATTACGGTATAAAATGGAAGAGGAAATAGTGAAAGATGCTATGATTAAATGGGCAAGGAATTTCAATCACACAGTAGAATTAGAGAAGTGGGAAAAGATGTGGCAAATAAACATGAAATTGACATTATCAACGGCATACAAGGAAAACCAGTTGAAAATGTTCCATAGATGGCATCTACCACCAGCCAGCATAGCGAAGATGTTCCCCAGCAATTCACCGAAATGTTGGAAGAATTCTTTATTGGCCAAGTGTGATTGGACACACAAGGAATTTGTCTTAGGTGTATATGCTCTCAAGTGTACATAAGGAGAATAAAATACATTCAAGAGTAAAAAGATATAACACTTAAGTGATAGTCAAGGTTACAATAAGCTATCAAATCGTACTAGGAAACAAAAACAATTGAAAGATACAAGCAACATGGTTATAGTAATAAGTGGGAAGAGATAGATACTAGTCAGCCTCTCACTAATCTTTCACTGATCTTCAATCTAAAAGACATATATAACTTTTCCCCTCCTACCAACACAAATAAGAAAAAGAACATTGGTGATTGGGAACGGATATGGTTTAGGAATGGAGAGAAAGCAACAAGGGAAGTCTAAAATGTGAAGAAAAGAGATCGCCATCCTTCCTTGTTCCCCAAAGTCTGACAGATAGAAGGGCTGCTACATTTTCCTTCTGAAACACTAAAAAAAAAATCACCTTTGTGAAACCAGTCTGTATTGTTTTTAATCTCCTTTTGAATAAAAGTAAGCTACTACAGCAGTGGCACTGCAATATACTTATAATAGGAGTTTCCCAAGAAACAAACGTTTTCTCCATTTGCATTTTTCATAAGCCTTAAAATGGCAGGGTGAAGAGTAAATTTGCTTAGTGGTTATATAGTGTATGTAGGACATGAGAATTTTACCATGTTACAGGTAGTCCTCAACTTACAACCACAACTGAGCCCAAAATTTCTGTTGCTAAGCAAAACAGTGAGCTAAGTGAATTTTGCCCCATTTTACAATATTTTTTTGCCAGAGTTGTTAAGCGAATCATCGCAATAGTTGCTAAATGAATCTGGATTCCCCACTGACTTTGCTTGTTGGAAGTCGGATGGGAAAATTACAAATGGTAGTCACATGATCTCGGGGCAATGCAACTGTCCATGCAGCTGGATTTTGGATTTTGATCATGTGACCATGGGGAGGCTGCAATGGTTGTGTAAAACACGTTTGTAGGTAGCTTTTTTCAGTATCATTGTGGCTTTGAATGGCCTCTAAATAAATGGTTGTAAGTTGAGGACTACCTCTATTTTGAATTCAAACCATAGCTTGTGTGATGGGGCAACTCTGATTAAATATTTTCCACACCACACTCGCTGTGATTCTGTTGTGACCTTTATGTCATTTAGGTGCCATTGAGATGGGTGTGGGGCCCTCTAATAACCGCATGGAGAAACCATTTTGATTTGTATGGAGGCTGCTTTGAGTTTGGGGAGTGAGGGAGCTAAGACTCCATAAACAAAGAGACAACAGCAATTTATATTTTCCTTTTACTATATAGAGCTACTGTTACGAGTTACTAGAGAAATCTTTAAAAGTAGAAAACAATGAAATTATAAACATTGGAAAGTAAATATTACAGTCACAAAAATGCTGTGAGCAGACAATATACCTCTGTTAATATAAGACCTGAGAAAACTATTCTGGGCTGCATTTCACACATCAAAAGCCCACAAATCTTTCAGAAGGCTCTGAAATCGAGTGCTGCAGTGTACTGCTGTAATTACCCAGCCATGATTATAGCACTAATTCAAGCTGTAGTGTTGTAATTATTCTGATATAAATGCCATCTCAGGGAAAGGGAAAATTGCATCTTGGTTAATGTGGCTCTGGATTGCTTGCATAAGTAAGCTATTTGGGATAATTCAGTGATGGGTACTATACCAAAAAAGGCATTTAAGAAGTAAGCAATCTCTGAAATACTTTTTCAGTAGTATTGCGTTAACAGCATTCCTTAACTATTTAAATAAACTATTTTACTAAATTCCATCTCTCCAGTTGGAGCCCAGGGTACTTCCAGCAATTTTTTCTGGGTATGGGTATTTATTCGCCTCTATTTAAATTGAATGTCTACATTTTTATATATATTATGTTTCTTTATGAAGATGAGCACCACACACTTTGAGGTAAGTTTTTATCGATAACAATATACAATTATGGTGTTCATAAGTTCAAAATATTACAACAATGCTTTTGCACAGGGTGTTATGCAAAAGCAGCACTACGGAAAAAACAAGTTCATTATGCATAGGTTCAGAAATCATGCAACATGGTTGCTTGGTTTGTTTTTTTTAAATAAAAAACTGGTCATAGAATATGTTTTCACATTGCTTAATATGAAATGGGATATTTTAAATGTAGTATTTTTTAATGGCACCCCTCTGATTTATACGGTAAGTGTTGTTCCTAGAATTATTGCTGGATTAGGTTTAAACGGAAATTGTTTCCAACTGCAAACAACCACATCTCACAAGTTCTGAGAAAATGTTTTGGATGCATTATACTTTTAAGTTAAGCAAAATGAAAAAGTGTCAAGTTTTGTGTCGTCCCACCTGGAAGGATCCAGAGATATCTTATACAAATTGAGCAAAGACAGATTTAGATTACTGCCTTCTGCATCTTTGCACCGTTTTTTTCTTACTGTCCTCATTTTAGGAACTCCCCAGGGCTCCCCATCCCCAATCTCTCTCTGGCTCCTTATCAGGCACTGCTGTTGCTGTCCATTTGGCTGACGGGAAGAAAGAGCATGGCTCCCCCATAAAGTTAAAACAGTCATGCAAAGGATTAGCCTCTAACTTTTAATCTTTCACTGATTGCATACATCACCACTAGCATTATAGGCCCAAACCATAATCAAGAAAGCACCTTGGTTTGGTTTTTCTCTATTTATCCGACTTCAAAAGCAAACAAAAACTCACTTCTGCCTGCAACAACCAAATCAATTTGTTGACCAACCCAACGCAACAATAGCCCGATTTCATTCTGTATCCAGACCAAAATGTGTATTTGGCTTTTAAGCACAGGTTACCTGAATCCAGTTTGTTTTGTGCATGTATTCTTTTGTACATCTCTCTTGATTATCATCTTGCAAAACAGTAAATAGCCTTTATGTATGTAGTAAGGTAAAGGTTCCCCTTGCACATATGGGCTAGTCATTCCCAACTCTAGGGGGCGGTGCTCATCTCCGTTTCAAAGCCAAAGAGCCAGCGCTGTCCGAAGACATCTCTGTGGTCATGTGGTTGGCATGACTAAACGCCAAAGGCGCACGGAACGCTGTTACCTTCCCACCAAAGGTGGTCTCTATTTTTCTACTTGCATTTTTTATGTGCTTTCAAACTGCTAGGTTGGCAGAAGCTGGGACAAGTAACAGGAGCTCACCCGGTTACGCGGCACTAGGGATTCGAACCACTGAACTGCCGACCTTTCGATCGACAAACTTAGCGTCTTAGCCACTGCATCCCTGAGCATGTAGTAGAATACTGTATTATTTTTTTGACAAAGTTGTGAGAGTATCTATTTTGTTAGAAAGCATTTTACAGATGGTCTGTTTTCTTTTTGTGTTACTGTTTCTACTTCCTATCTCTTAAGTATAAAAAGGTGGTAAAATCCCACAAACAGTTTAAACATCAATGGTGAATCAAGTCCAGGGGAAAAAAAGTTCTGTGCAACTGACAGCTCCACGTCCTTTTTTCATTTTTGGTAAGTTGACGAGATACAAATTGGTATGCCTTTCTTTCTTTATTGCGCTCTTATTATTCAATAATTGTTTTTATTCTATTTTTTGCTATTTCATTTGGTCTGAGCCTATTATCTTAAGAGTCCTAAATAATTCCTCTCCTGGTTGACCACCAGATGGCAACACAAAGGTTCAGAAGACGATCTCTATCTATGGGAAATGAAGACTTTCTGTTGACGCTCAGTTTATTTTTGACTTTGAATTGTTGGGGGTAACATAGGAAGGAATATATGTTCAGCATCTTAAGTTATTTACAAAAATAATAAAGGTAAGATAGAATAAATAAAAATAAATAAACTTTAAAAACTTAAAATGTTGGAATAGTGTGGGAACCCTACCAGTGTTTAGGGATGTGCCACAAGGCTTAAGTCAGTAAAGAATTCCAGAATTGAGTCTGTAAGAAATAATAATGACTGGAGCTAGAAGATCCATTATTACGCTAGTTTAGAAAATGATTCTATCTGCTTCATCTGCTAATTCTGTTTAATTCTTTGAAGCAAGACTAGAAATGATTTGATTAATTATAAGAAGCTACATTAGAAGGCTATAGTTAATATCCAGTTATCAAAAATGTATAATTTTTGCTATATACCACGATATTAGAAAAGCAGGTTTCAGAAAACTCATGCACACTGCAGTCTTTTTTCTTCTTTGTAGAGTTTATATTCTGAATTTATAGGAACATAAGAGGACCTAACATGCTCCCCCTCCCAGAAAAATGGCTAAAAATGATAAATTGGTCTCAGCATTGCATTAAAACTTACACAATGGTTTGATGCTATTGAGAATGTTAAGAACAGTAGATCAGACACATAATTTTTAGTCCTCTATGATAGCAGCTTCTCTAGAATTTGTTTCACAGTTACAGGATCTGATCGTCCTCTTGTGGTTCTTTGGACATGTCCAATTATGGAATTCAGAACCTTCAGGTTGCCGCTCTTTATCTCTGCCACCTAAATAGAGAGGTTTCATACATGATGGGTTATGATTGATTGTACTGAACATTATTATATAACTACATCTTTGAATAACTTTTATTTTAAAGCAATGGTGAAATCCGAACCGGTCTGCTACTAGTTCGCTGGCCACGTATGCGCACTGCATGCCAAAAGGAGGCTTGGAAAGGTAAGTAGAACAGCCGGGGGGGGGGGGGGGGCGAATCAGCTGTGATTTAGCTTTGCTAGAAAGCAGGAAATCCTGCTTTAGCAAAGTTAAACCCCGCACCACAGCTAATCGGAAATACCGGTTGGTAGCTTTTTTTAACTACTGGTTCACCCGAACCAGTAGCTTTTTAAACTGCTGGTTCAACAGAACCGGTAGCTAATTACCAGTTTGCCCAAACCAGTAGCTTTTTAAACTGCTGGTTCAACAGAACTGGTAGCTAACTACCAGTTTGCCCGAACTGGTAGCTTTTTTAACTACCGGTTTGACCGAACGGGAGCGAACCGGTAGCATTTCACCCCTGTTTTAAAGGCTTCAGAAAAATCAGCATTGAGCTATATGTTCAGGAACAAACAGGATTGTTTTTACACCGTTTATACAAAAGTGAAATGCCTCTTTGCTGTCCAGAAAGCATTCAAGTCATGTAATCTGAGCCATCCCCAGCAAGCAGGTCTTAGTTGTTAGGTCAGTTTCTGTCTTTTGTGGCCATTTCAGGTGTCAAAGTAATTTGTTCCATTTTTTTTCTCTCTCAAGAGTTGCCAAACAACATAGTAATCTGAATGGTAAAGGCAGTTTACATTTCGTATCTCCATTACCCACCCTAAAGTGTCAAAACCTCTTTCTTCCCAATTTCCCTGGTCTGTGATCAATATCACCTCTTTCTGATGGTCTCTCATCACAGTCTGACAGATGCTCTCAAGTTCATTCCAATCCAGGATTAGATTGAGTTTCTTTTCTTTTACAATCAGAGCTGGAGACTTCTCATCCCTCTTCCACATCTCTTCCAACACCTGCAGCATCAAGATAAAAGAAAATTGATGGTTGAAAAATGCCTCTTGTCTTTCAGAAGGCAAGATCAAATTGAGAAGGCAAAGAAGGTAAAAAAGGCAAGCAGTTAAGGCTTCAAAATTCCCCTTGTTACTCAAAAGAGATACCAGTCTAGACAGGTAGAAAATTCATGGTTTGGTTTTCCACTTAATTCAAATGCTATTCTACTTCTTCAAATAAGGAGACTTCTGTGCAGACTATCAATTTTATAGTTGTGTCCTATTTATTATTTTCATTCCAAATTGTTTTGATTGTTTTAGTTTTGCTTAGGGCCCTCTTGAAAGATCATGCAACTCCTGTTTCATCTTTTCAGTCATGCTAAAACACAGCTAATAGCAGCAGCAGTACCTCTACTTTAGAATTAGGAAACATTTTATCATCCTGAGCTGTTTTAAAGGTTTTCCTAAATTTTAATAGCATTCAGTGACAGTCAGTTTGTTGTAGTTGTTAAGGCAACAGGCTAGAAACTAGAAGATTGTGAGCTCTAATCCTGCCATGAAGTTTTGAGCCAGTCAGTCTCTTTCAGCCCTAGGAAGAAGGCAATGGCAAACTACTTCTGAAATCTTATTAAGAAGACTGCAGGGATGTGTCCAGTCCAGGCGGTCACCAGCAATTAACACTGGCTTGTAGGGACCAAAAACAAAAACTGCATTCGTAATAATTCCTGCCATCACTTAAAACGTATTTCCTGGCTTGAATGGACTTTTCCTTTAGCTCACAAATGTTCTGAGGCTTTATATAAGAAAACACTCCTTAGTTTGGGTTTTCTACAATTCAATCATTTGCCTCCACCTCCCCCCTATTCTTGATAATATTAAAGAGAATAGTATCAATTCATCAGTTAGTTCTATAAAAATTTAGGATTATCCAATTACTTAGAAAAGGAGGTTAAATGAAATAAAAGAACCATTTTCTACATTACATGCTAACCAATGTGTATGAATATAGTCCGCATCACGGTTTGAATATAGTGAGTTGAACCTTTTAAGTTTTAGGGCATGTTTGCACTTAGAGAATTATTTGGGTTCTCTGTTCATCATTATGAATACATTGTGAAGCTTGGACTGGGGAGGATAACACAGATGAGACATTTGTATATGTCACAATCAAATGAAATAGCAAAATTGTTGGCAGAATTGTTGGCTATATCAACTATGGAAGCCTTAATTCACCCAAATATTTTTAAGTTTGGAAATATTATTAGATATAAGGAGTTATTAACGGATAAGGGGGAATTGAAAGAGAAAAGAGAATTGGAAGAGCAAGGGATTGAGATAGATTGGTACATGTATATGCAGATAAGAATAAGATATGAAAAAGATACCAAGTTACCTGGTTTCTATTTGGAAAAAACTGAGTTGGATAGGATATTCACAGGAACAGAAAGAGAATTAAAAAAAAAACTTTATAATTTTTTGCTGTTTATTGATCTGGAAGAGGAGCAAGTAAAAGAAACAATGATAGATCGGGGAAGAAATTTTGGTTACTCTATTGAATTTGAAAAATGGCAACAGGGCCTGGTGGCTCAGCAGACTAATAGCATTGTGATTAACACCAGCTGCCTGCAATTACTGCAAGTTCAAATCTCACCAGGCTCAAGGTTGACTCAGCCTTCCATCCTTTCTAAGGTAGGTAAATTGAGGACCCAGTTTGTGGGGGCAATAAACTGACTTTGTATAAATATACAAAAGTATGAAGGCTATTGCTTAACGCATTGTAAGCCGCCCTGAGTCTCCGGAGAAGGGCGGCATATAAATCAAATCAAATTAAATTAAAATTAAATTAAATTAAAATGTGGGAAAGGAATTATAAATTAATGATGTCCACTGCATATAAGGAAAATCAATATAAAATGTTTTATAGATGGCATATGCCACCAGAGAGGTTAGCAAAAATGTTTAAAGACAAATCAGCTAAATGTTGGAAATGTCATCAACTACCAGGATCTTATTATCATATGCGGTGGACATGTCCAGAAGCAAAAAAAATATTGGAATAAAATTAAAACATGGTTGGAAGAGATGATACAGTTACATATTGAACTTAAACCAGAGCTGTTCCTGTTGGGTATTCTTCCAGAAAAGATTAGTAAAGAAAATACTTATTTGATTATACATGTAATAACAGCTGCAAGAATTGTTTATGCTTAAAATTGGAAAACAGAGAAAATACCTTTGGAAGAGGGGGTGATAAAAAAAATTATGGATTGTGCAGAAATGAATAGATTGACTTTGATGATTAAAGATAGGGAAGAGATACAGTATTATAGGATATGGAACTGTTTTTATCATTGGTTGGAAAAGAGATATAAAAGATAAAAGTTTTATGATTATATTTAAAAATTTGATAGGCAGAATGTTGTCTTAGTAAGGAGATGTTAAAATGGTTTGTATGAAGAGCAAGATAAAAGAAATTTCCTTTTCTGGAAGAAGAAGAAGAACGGCCGAAGATAACACAGATGTCACAGGGGGCGACAGATGTACTAAATATTTGTTTGTTTTTATAAAATATAATAAAAAGTTATATTAAAAAAAAGAATTGTTGGCTAAACAGTCGTGGGAGAAAGTTTCTGATCAGTGCAAGAAAATAGAATAGAGTTATATAATTAAACCAAACTATATATTACAAAGCTGTAGAAGATTATACAGGTAGTCCTTGTTTAGGGACCACAATTTCGAATGGCACCTCCATTGTTAAGTGAAGCAGTCACTAAATGAAACTGCAACTGTGCTTACTAAGTTATGTCACCTGTCCTTTGCTTTACAGACCTAAAAAGGCAAGAATTGGTCACAGTTACATTTTCATTACTGCCATAACTCTGAACAGTGGGTAAACTAGGCAGTCACTAAATGAGGACTACGTGTACTGCAAAATCTATAGCACCTATAACCAATTTATTCATTCTATAAAGCACAACTGTATGCAACAATGTATCAGTCTGCAATAATTATTTCCTAATGTTATGATGCTCTCCATCTTTGTAGTCAAGCTACAACACTTTGTAACAATCTCTAGAAACAACTACTTAAAAGAGAAACATGATTTGAACGTTTTCTATGTTGTGCTTGCTTCTGTTTCAAACATAACACGCTGTGACACAGAAGGTGCCCTTTTAAAACAGCTGTTTCTTCTCAATTTTCCCGTGAAAAAATAATACAATGCTTGGATTATTGCAATCAGCTCATGCAAAATGATTGTCATGCTGGAAATTCTGTACTATTAATTTATATATGCTAAAAATGTTTCAAATGCAGCAATTCCACACATAATTAGCAATTCCTTAACAAAATTAGACAACTGAATTAACAGTTTTACTGTGTTATACTTAAGAATAATAGTACAGTACAGTTTTCTTATTACAGGCAAGAATACTGTCCCAGAATTTAGTAATGTATCTTCAATAGGTTAATAATAGATGTACATTTAATGCAATGATCTGTAGCTGATTCTGTTCTCTATTAAGCTGCACTGGTCCTGCTGTGGATGACAACAGCCTACTAACAATGTAAAGCCACTGTACAAAATTTGCATTTGGTTGGGAAGGAATAATATGTCCTAAAGGCAAAACAAAGTGGTAAAATGGTCAGCAAATTTATTGATTTAAATAAAGTATTAAGATCAAAATGTTTGTACTCCTAAGAAATATAAGTACAGTACAACCAGACTGTAGTGCAAAGATAATAGATGCCTTAAGAATCAGGGCTGTACCAGAGAAAAGATGTTTCAGAGACTGAAATATTTGAAGATAATGATCTTGTGCTCATTAAAATTGACATTTAATCCTTTACTATATAGGACACTGCCTTGCTTCATTGTAAGAGGTCTTCCCATTTGTTTTGGAAGATAAAAGAGCTGAGCAACTTCCCAGTAGTATAATTACAGTCAGCACTATTATATTGGGCACTGATTTTCATTTAATGACATTTAGGAAATTGAATTAATTTTAAATTAAACAGTTTAAATATTCAGTATGATTGCTTTTCAAATATCCCAGGATTTTTATAATTTTTTTACATTAAAAATTAGTTTGGCTTTGGAGGCCATGCATGACTTTGAAAGCATAGGCAGAGCAGCTCACAAGGAATAGATACAGATTGAACCATATGAGCTGGTAGGAGAAGTTGCCCAGGGTAGGTAGTTTTTACAGAAATAAAACAAAGCTAAACATATCACAATTGCCATCCACACTATGACTTTCAGAAATATTCATAAAAATCAAGTCCTATCTGCACACCAAGATATCACTACCAAGTACATTATTATTTGAAGAATGGTTAAAGGTAGCCATGGGCCATATATTTTTACTTTCTGGAGAATATGTTTAGATATGCTTCCCTGTCTTGCCTTATCTCCTTATCTATTTATTCTTTAGAAAATCACATTTAGTAAGGAACCATTATCTAGTATCTTTTTACTGAATTGATTAAGTGGGCTGCCATACTGACAAAAACCTGAATAGCTTAAGGAAAAAAATACAGTCAATAAAAATGGATCTAAAAAAAGAGTGCTGAAGCGATAGGTCATAGAAACTGAAAACTAAGTTACAGTTAATTCCAAACTTTTCCTTTCTGAATTTTAAAACGAGCTAAATAGTAATATCCCTTAGAGAATAGGTGGTTTTCATTCTGATGAACAATATAGTGGATCAACACTCCAGATTAATAAAACAATTCAGGATATTTACTTTCAGCTAAGATGTACCCATTTATTTTATCTAATGAAGGAGCATTTCTTGCCTTTGAAAGTTTGGCATTTCAGGCTAAGAAATTCTATATTATGTAATTATTCTGTTTACAGTAGCACTTTGTTGCTGTATGGGTATATTTATAGTTTTGCATTTTTACTTTTGGGTAATTGTTCACCCCATCTGCATAGGACTCTGTTCTCAAAGAGTCTATATTCTTAATAGTACGAGAAGCTACTTTTGGCAAAGAAAATGAACACGTTGCTCTAGCAAAAATAAATGGCCAAAACTGTGTGCATATATATACACATGCACACACACTTTTCCATAAAAGCATGAAGAGCTATATCTATTAGAACATTCAAATTTAAACAGACACTTCTTAAGACACTTCTTAATAACACTTTAAAATTATATCTTGCTAATCATAAGGAATTGAGTGGTTTAACTCTTGGTAAATCTTATTTGCACTAGCTTCATTAACCATTTTCAGTCATACTAAAAAAAATAAATTTAGTTAAATAAAATAAATCATAGGACATCTTAGTGAAAGAACATTTAGGCAACTATTGTTTGTACACATTGTATTATGTACTGCAATATACACTAAAAGATATGGAACTGAAAATAGCCAATGAAACATTCAAATAAATTAACCTTGTTAATCATATTCTCAAATTAACTGATAAGGCCAAATACATGTTTATAACATCAATTAAAAAACACTCTTTCTCTTAGATGGAACCAAAGTTCTATGTGATGAGTATGTAGAGCTCTGTTAAACTCCCGGCCCGTAGACCAGACGCATCACGCGCTGGCCATGCCCACACCCAGTTTAGCAAATGGGGAAAAAGTCCCAATACGTCATGTGATGCCATGACGATGTGAGTTTGACATCCGATGTAGAGTTTGCTCCTTTTTTTTTAAACTTGAAGACTCCACAGAAGCTGCATTCTTTAATCAAGGAGTAACCCAAGGTAGAAGTGGACACAAATGTCTTCATTACTTTTTGACTGCTAATTTAATACCATCACGTTATTGCAAATTTTCATTTTTGATCATCTGAAGACAATAGGTGAAAGGTAGATAATTGACAGGCAACTTACTGGTGAAGAACAATTAAGAAGGTCAGTTGATCTTTACCCTTCCAATCTCCAAAAGAAATTTTTGAAATCAAGAGTAGTCTTGTCACATTTCATTTGGACTTGAAGCTAGACCATATGTCCATTGTTCAAATAAAATTTAAGACTGGATTTAAGTCAGGGTCATAATATGGAAATACTTATCATACCAGCAACCCACACTGCTTGTCCATTCCTAGTATCTTAACACACATATGAGGTTTGTGGAAATAGCAGAAATCTATCCTTTTGGGTTGTTTAAATTGAATCAGAATTATAAATTATAAATCTGATTGAAATATACTTTGACATAAAGAAGCCCTATGGGAAAATAATAGTCCAAAGAAATACCTGTTTTGCTGCTGAAGATGAAATTTTTCTACTTGATACCAGGTCCAGTAGTTCAGCCAAAAGAACAGGAGTGACTGGACTAAACCATAAAGCATATAAAACGAATTAGACATGATACAACCTTCTTGATTAATAAATATCATAAAATGTTTTGTGTCACATACACAAAAAATATTGTTGCTATTGTTTCCTTGCTGCTGGAAAGGGGATGTGGCAGTTTCCAAAAGTAAAATACCAAAAGGCTAATGAATGTATTTGCCTCCTCCTACCTTTTTCTTCTCTCCAAGAATATTCATTCAACTGCCAATTTATTTCTGTATTCTTTTTTTGTCTGACCATTTATTTGTGAAAATTCTACCCCCATTCACATCAAAAGTAGTCATATAAATTGGCATACTCTACTACTATAAGCTGGCACACAGAAGTATTTTATTTAAATGGATGTACATTGTTATTATTCTACATTTTCCATTCCATTTTGTTGTCTTAAGAAAGGTGTCCTTTTCAGATGACTGTTTTCATACAAAAGGCCACAGTTAGTCCTTCAAATCCATGACCATAGAAAGTCTCAGAAATACAAGTTCAGATTCATAGTACTTTGCTTATATTACACATTAAACTTTTATTATACATGCCTTAATCCAACTTTCATCATGCAGAGTTACAGGTCAGCATTGTCAATAAGTTTGGTGGTGTATCTCATTGGAAATAATACATTGGTAATTGATATCTGCATTCTAATATAAGTGCATGTAAATAGCTGTTCATAAAACAATATTTTTCAGATGTTCAAGTTATAACTCTCATGTTGGCAAGCAGCCATGCTGTCTGCAGATATTGGGAAATGGGCTCTTCTCATCTCATCTGAAAAGCATCAAATTGGGACAGACTCTTATGGATATTCCTTATTTTACATTTTGTTCCTTTCTTTTCTTCCTATCTTGATAATGGGAGACTTTACTTCCCTAGGGGTGGATCTTCTCTCCCTTAGCAAATGTTTGGGATAAGTCTGCTCTAACAAAACAAATATTCAGATGAAAAACTGAACCATGCACTCTGCTGTGATAGAAGCAGAATCACAGAATCCTTTATTCATATGCCCATATGTCAGAAGAAGATGCTATTAGTTTGAAAAAGTAATTATTGGCATAGAAGAACTGTTTGACCAAAATGAAAAATCTAAAACCTCACCTTTCTTTTACAGTCATGTTATATAATTTTAGGTAACTGAGGAAATTATTTAAAACCCAGCCAATCACTTTTTGGGGATTCATTTCTGTGGCATTCACAACACTTTCAAAAAAATCCATTAAGCCATCTTCATTCTGTTAAGAAAGAAAATGTATTTAAACATAGCAAGCAAATTAACTTTCCCATGAACAAACCATATCTTCAGATTTGAACTCATCAGATGTGTGATATAGTCAATCCTTTGTCAATTCCCAGCAGTTCAAGTAACTATATAGTTCCAAAAAAGCCATGGCATGAATCGTCAATGAAGTTGCTTGATTTAGAACAGATCAGTTTCTTGGCCAGCCATGCTGATATTATCTATATAATATTATCATTAATTCACTTCTAAATGGAGATGATTACCACAGGTATGGAATTGATTACAATTCCATGGCTTCCCTGATGCAGATTTCTACAAGTAGCTGACTAAAATTTAGAAACAGTACAAGAGCGGCTAATCAACCAATATTGTTTCCTGCCCAGTGAAATTTCCTTTCTCTGAAAAACATACAGTAAATTCTGGTACACTCTGGTACATTCTGAGGGAAAGAGCCACAAGAAAAAGCTATATGGCTACTGTATCAAGATCTCCACAGCCTCCAAACATGGGAAAAGCAGCATGAGGACATCATTTAATTGACACAGGGTAGAGATGTATAGCTAAATATCATCAGCATAGTAATGATATTTAACTTCCTGATATCATGTAGATGCTAACAGAAGCGACTGGAATTTAGGGCTCTGAGAAACCCCACAAAGTAGGGATTTAGTGTTAGATCAGTCCTACCTAGTGGTGGAATTCACATTTTTTTACTACCGGTTCTGTGGCTAGGTGGGCGTGGCATGGCTTGGTGGGTGTAGCTTGGTGGACGTGGCAGGGGAAGAATAGTGCAAAATCTTCATTCCTACCACACTCCAGGGGAAGGATACTGCAAAATCCCCAATCCCTCCCCACTCTGGGGCCAGCCAGAGGTGGTATTTGCCAGTTCTCCGAACTACTCAAAATTTCCGCTACTGGTTCTCCAGAACCTGTCAGAACCTGCTGAATAGCACCCCTGGTCCTACCCCCAATTATAACTGGAACTGAGAAAAGGAGAACTTTTTCAATACTGATTTCCCCCCCCCCCCCCTTCTAACTCCTGAAGCTGTTTCAGAACAATACTATAAGCAATGATACCAGAAAATGCTGACTACCAGGGGTGAAATGCTTCCAGTTCGGACCGGATCGCCCGATCCGGTAGCGATGGAGGTGGGTGGTTCGGAGAACCAGTAGCAAAAATCCCTCCCCCCCCATACCCAGCTCTGAGGATCCAAGCTGAGTTGCCTGATCGTCAGAGGGTTTTTAAAAAACCCTCAGAGCCTTTTGAAAGCATTTTTTTACAACCTCTTCACCGAAGAGGTTGTAGAAAAAATGTTTTTAAAAGTTAAAAAAAAACATTGGCCATGCCTACCCAGTCACATTACCCCCCCACACACAAAGCCACGCCCATAGAACCGGTAGTAACAAATTTTAGATTTCACCACTGTATACTACCATCCTTGTGCTCCCAGCAATAGTCACAAACAAGTGCAACCTGTACAGGTAGTCCTCGACTTACAAAAGTTCACTAAGTGGCCATTCAAAGTTATCACGGCACTGAAAAAAGTGACTTATGACTATTTTTCATAGTTACAACTTTTGCAGCATCCCCATGATCATGTGATCAACTTCAGATGCTTGGCAACTGGTTCATATTTATGACCGTTGCAGTGTCCCAAGGTCCCCTTTTGCGGCCTTCTGACAAGCAAAGTAAATAGGGAAGTCAGATTCACTTAACAACCAGGTTACTAACTTATCAACTTCAATGATTCACTTAACAACTGTGGCAAGAAAGGTCGTAAAATCGGGCAAAACTCACTTAAGAAATGTCTCACTTAACAACAGAAATTTTGGGCTCAATTGTTGTCATAAGTTAAAGACTAACTGTACTATATTTCAGTATTAAACCCCCATGTTTAAATGTTATACATTATGATTTAAAATATGCACTTGTATCTGTCTAGAGAGAAAAACAAAGTACATAATGTGCCGATTAGCTTTGCTGGAGGTTATATCTGTTATAAAAAAACGTGAAGTCGTATGCAAATATTTATAATAACAAAAGAGTACAGAAATATATATACATATATTAATTTCAAGGTTGATAATAGGACCTGGGTGAAATTACCATATGTAATGTCTGGTTAAAACTTAATTTCCTGTCACAAGACCCCACTGATATTGGGAACGGGATATGACTATACAAGAAATAAAGACTAATTCATGTGTGCAGACAGTTGACCAATATAGAATTCCTGCAAGCATAGTTTAGCGTAACTTCCCCCTCATTTTCTGAAGTATCATAAAGTTTTTACCCTTTCTCATTTTGATATGCTTAGGAGTTCCAAGACAAAGCAATCCTTAAGGGTAGATATTACAAGATTCTTCATAATAAATATTCTGATGTGGGGACAGGGATTAGAAACACTCATGTCTTCTGGCATTGCTACATGTACATGGATAGCCATATAACTTTAATAGACCCCTTGCTGTGAAAAATTCTGAATGTCCCAGATAGTATTCATTTGAAACTTTTACAGCAAGGTTTCAAAAATTACCAGAAAATTATCAGAATTCTGTCTGACAACATGCCAAATATAGAGATCATTTTAGAACTTCATATTTAGTTACAAAAACATTTAAGGACCTCATATATACCATATCATATTGAATTCATGGAAGCCTAAAACGGCATCTTAAAATTTAAATAAAGAACTCAAATAAAATATCTCATTATTGAACAAGTTCTGACTTTAAATATTTTAGAATTTCAAATTTTTAGAATTCTAGTTCATTGGACTACTACCCTGTTTCCCCCAAAATAAGACATCCCCTGATAATAAGCCCAATCGGGCTTTTGAGCACATGCAATAAAGCCAAGTGCTTATTTCAGGGTTCAAAAAAAATATAAGACAGGGTCTTATTTTTGGGGAAACACGGTATTTTAGTTTTAAGTATTGTTTTCATTAAGATTTTATAGATATAATAATTTATCAATGTGGTATTCTAATGTTTCGGGATGTTAACATTATGCTTTCAATGTATTAAGTGTGAATGAATATAACTTATTGAGTAAATATTTCCTAAGTATTTTAGTTCTGTTTTCCTTTGTGTGTCTTCTCCCTATCATCTCACTATTAGCATGTACTTTTATTTTATTTATGCCATTTAATGCCTACTTTTCTTTGGTATTTATAATTTTAGCAATAAAATTGTAGATTGTATGAGTCAGTGACCAAAATAAAGGCCAAATTTATAAATGGATTTACTACATTTTTGAAGACAAATCACAAAAGTTTTGGGATTCTTTAATGGTTTAGTACAAATCAGGTTTTCTTTTACATTTATAGAAGGTGTGCTGATGCAAGTAGAAACTTGTGGATACTTCTCAAACATGAGTTTTTATTTAAAAATGCTATGTTCAGTAAACTGGCAAAATATAAATCTTTTTTCACTGTCAAGAAAATTATGCACTAAATTTATGTTGGTATGGACACATGATATTTTGCCTATCTACTCTGATCATTTAATTCCCTGGACAAATATATACACACACACATTCTCTCTCTCTGTCTCATATCTTCCTTCCTTCCTTCCTTCCTTCCTTCCTTCCTTCCTTCCTTCCTTCCTTTCCTACCTACTTACCTACTTTTAATTAGTTCCTGACAAGTATAATGATCATTCAAAGTTACAATGGCACTGAAAAAAGTGACTTACAAACAGTCCTCAAAGATACAGCATCCCCGTGATCACATGGTCAAAATTTGGGTGCTTCGCAACTAGGATGTATTTATAATGGCTTCAGTGTTCTTCGCAGGCAGTTTCCAACAAGCCAAGTCAATTGGGGAAGCCAGATTTGCTTAATGATTATATGATTCACTTAACAACTGCAATGATATGCTTACAATCATGGCAAAAAGGGTCATAAAATTGGGCATGATTCATTTAATAACTGCCTTACTTAGCAACAGAAATTCTGGTCTCAATTGTTGTCATAAGTTGAAGACTACATATACGGTACTCAGTATATCATTTCTTGCATATTTTCAGCACACCACTTACGTTTATACCACCGTTTTGTTATTTTTATTATAGACTTACTGGATATAGTATGTAATTAATTAACACAAGTATTTATGTACTGCCCTAATTTCAAGGACTTCTTAACTTCTCTAATTATGCTGATGTTTAAAACGTTATAAACAACATGGGACATGATGGGGAAGAAAGACCTGTTGTAGCAAGTGGTGATTGCAATTAGGGTGATCTAGTGGAAATTTAATAATATATGCTTTGAAATCCATCAAAGCATGAATGCAACATTAAATGTAATAAGCAAAGGGGAAATATATATATAAGTACTGACGTCTGTACTTTTTTAATGAAGTTTAGAAAAACACACAAGTCAGATGAATTTAGATTATCTGGGTGTCTCGATGTATCAAGATAATTGGGGGTGGGGACGTTCTTATATCTACATTTAGAGAGAATGGATGACAAGAACTATTTTTCGTACCAGAAATATTAATATATTAATCCTGGCTTCAAGTGGTTGGTATCTTTATTCAATTTGCAATGATATAAGACTGTGATGGTGAACCTATGTCACGTGTGCCAGAGGTGGCACGCAGAGCCCTCTCTATGGGCATGCACGCCGTCACCAGCTGGTCTTTGTGGGTGCCAGAGTGCTTGAAAATGGCCCTGAAAATGGCCCCCAAAAAAACAGGCAAGTGTGCGCTGGCCAGCTTGTCTTCAGGTTTCTGGTGCTCCAGCATGTGCGAAGAGCAGCTGGCCAGCATACATGCACCTGCCGGAAACCCAAAGACCAGCTGGCCGGTATGTATGCGCGTTCTGGTTTGGGCACTTGGTGCCAAAAAGGTTCGCCATCACTGATATAAGATTTCAAGACAAGTCTGAAGCCTATCAGAGACAGGTTTACATTATGAGATTTACAAATGGACTATTGCAGCGCTCTCTACATGGGGCTCCCCTTGAGGAGCACCCGGAGGCTCCAGCTGGCGCAGAGTGCGGCCGCATGGGTGGTAATGGGAGAGACATGGCGTTCCCACGTAACACCCCTCCTGCATGGGCTGCATTGGCTCCTGGTGGTCTTCCGGGTGCGCTTTAAGGTTTTGGTTACCACCTTTAAAGCGCTCCATGGCTCAGGACCTGGGTACTTGCGGGACTGCCTACTACCACCAATAGCCTCCCACCGGCCGGTATGCTCCCATAGAGAGGGTGTCCTCCGGGTGCCGTCGGCCAAACAATGCCGACTGGCGGCCCCCAGGGGGAGAGCCTTCTCTGTGGGGGCACCTACTATCTGGAACGAGCTCCCCCCGGAGATACGGAGGATCTCGGATCTGCACACCTTCCACCGCATTCTAAAGACCTTATTATTTCACCAGGCGGGCCTGGCCTAATTTTCTCCCTCTTTTATAAAAGATTTTTAATTTTTTAATATCTTTTAGTATTTTATATATTCAAATTTTAAAATTGGTTTTAAATAGTTCGGGGTTTTAATTTGTCTGGGCCAAAACTATTTAATTTGATTTTAATTCTACTTTTAAATTTTGTATGTATGTGTTTTATTGTTTGGCTGTGCACCGCCCTGAGTCCTTCGGGAGTAGGGCGGTATAGAAATCAAATCAAATAAAAATAAAATAAATAAAAATGTTTTATGAAGCACTGAAACATTTACACTCTTTAATTTACTTGATCATTTGATCAATAGAGTTACCTGTAAAATAAAACTGTGTTGAGTCTGAATCCCGTAACGTTCAACAAACTTTGCTCTCTTGACACTGGGAAGGTCTGGAAGCGTCTCCTGAATCCAATCAATATTTGTCACTTGCTGGTCACTTATATGAGCGGGCAAGGATTTAGTGTCATAAAGAATCAATGGAGGAAGATTTGGCTCGGGCATGAACCTTGAGGAAAACAACAACAACAACAAATCATTTATTTTGATTTTTTAAAAAATTAACTTTGCTACACACAAAAGCACACGGTTGAGGCTCTATATAAGAACAAACTGACAATACAACCAACCACACACACAAGGAAGTCAAGGCTGAGAAGAATCCTCTCAGCAGAAACAGATAAACCCCAATTTATAAGGTATAACTGCCTTCTGAAAACCATTAGCTTTTAAATGGCTGCCATTCAGAGCCAGGAATAAATGGACACCATTTTAAATTCTTCAGAAAAGCAATAAAATATAGATGCTGCTACTCATCTCATGCCAAATGGGATTGGTTATTCAATTGGTACCATACTTTGGCGAAGAGTGAGATGAAGTTGCTAAGAACATTTCATGTGGGGTGAACTCCCCCCCCCCTTATTATGAATCTCTATGAAGATTTAATGGAAAAGGAAAGTTGTGCTAAGAATCCAGTTGCTATCTTTGGTGGGGTGCCCTGCTAAGTAAAGTGAATGACAGCATCAAAGGACAAAGGCTTTATTGAAAAGGACACTGATTCAAGACGTCAAGAAAATATAGTGATTAAACCCAAGTTCCAACCTTGTATAACCAAATGATGGATTTGCAAACTTAATTCAAGGTTTACAGCTCTCTGCAAGTGATTGGATATATTCTTTACAGAAGCTGTATTTATGCTTCAGGCGTTGATTTCAAAAGCAACTTTAAATAAAGAAAAGCATTCCCCCCCCAAAAAAGTGATATTCAATACAAACATTTTCTCCATTAAAAAAAAATGCATCCAAATTTTTGAGAAACAGATTGAGAAAAAGGAAGGAGATTTAGAGAATTAGTTACAGCATTATATGCAGCATGAATTTGCTTTAGTTATACAAAGGAAAGGAAATTTAATGGGGAAATGTTAGGATATCTTTGTTGTGCTTGATTTTTGTTGTTATTTCCCATTTTGGTTTTATAGGACCGTATTATGTTGTTTTGGTCTTTGACCATGCACAAGTAATGAAATAACAGCAGTAATTGTAGTAGACATACTTATAACTAGGTTTGATTCACAAAGTTATGACATGGAAAAGATGGAGAAATTCAACTTCTCATGCTATTTCTCTCCTACCCTGTAATGTGCTTGTCCCAAAGGTGCTTTTTTTCAAGAGGCAATGGACTTTCTGGTTTTTCGTTGACGACGTTTTGCTTCTCATCCAAGAAGCTGCTTCAGCTCTGACTGGATGGTGGGAAATGGAAGTCAGAGCTGAAGAAGCCAGAAAGTCCAGTTGCCTCTTGAAAAAAATCACCTTTGGGACAACCATGACCTGGATGACTGAGAACCTCCATAGACATCTATAAAGTGCTTAGAAAGTATGTTTGGAAAATAAAGTGGAACTTCAGAAAATTGAGTAGAAGAATACCTGAAAGCAGGAAGCTTCTGCCTATGTTCAAATCTGACCCTTTTCTTCAAACCTTCAATCCTCAGAAGGTATTTAAGGTGAAGAAAGGAATTGAATGGGTGGGGAAATCATAACGCATCAATACCATCACATATATTTTCCTGAATGCAACAAAACTTAAATGAAATTACCGATAATCCTGTTTTCCTTCTTTGTCCCTCATTGGCACAGTGCATCTATAGAAACAGAAAAGAAAGAGGCAATCATAAGAACTGGATTTAGCAAACCTGATAGTTACTTAAGTGATTCTACCTCATGTTAAGAGCTTTCACCTATTCTTATCACAATGTTTAATATCATGTGACCTAGATCTGCCAGTGGATGGTTTTCTTTTGCCATATAATCCTTAAAGGCATGAGTTGACTCTTTAAAGGTCACAGCAACTAATTGTAAATGAATATGTTGTGCTTACTTGGTGGGGTTTCTATCTTCTTCTGTCTCCAGATGGAAGAAGACACAAACCATCAAGTTAGTACAACATATTCATTTACAATTCTTCCATAAAGGCATGGTGATGGAGTGGCTTAAGGATGCTGACCTGCTGACCAGAAATAGTCAACACTAGCAATTTGAGCCCTGGTAGCACTGTGGGATGGGATGAGTTCCCATCACTCACCTCTAGCTCGTGCCCTATTCACCCAGCAATTTGAAAGCATTATTGTGATAATAGATAAATGAGTACCACCATGGTGGGAAAGGCTAGCTGTGCAGGGAGAATGGGAGCTGGCGCTAAACCTGCCCAGACTCGAGGTGACATCGGCAGAAGAGACCCTGGTCAGAAGAGCCACTGCTAGCCAGCTGGTGCAAGCCAGGTCATGCCCCCATGGCACACTGTGGAGAAGTGTGCAAGCACGAAACTGAACAAACTAGTAACTCACCTGCCCGGACTATTCTGTAATGAAAGAGTGTGGATCTCCCTGACAAATGTATGCTATATGAAATAAAATAAAAAAACCTTCCATGTAAACTTGTATAACTAATTGTGGTTGTATACTATCCTGATCTGAGTAAATGAAAATCTTGGTATATCCTAACTCAAATTTAAAGAGCTAACATTGAGATAGCATGTTAATTTAAGTATTAAACATCTTAGCTTAAGTAGTAGAATATTTCATTTTCAATGCTGTGGCAAAACCTGCAATATATGTGAGCAGCAAAACCCCAGAGGTGCAGCATATGCCTAAAGCCAGACTACCATAGGGTGAAACCATATAGAGGACTTTAAAATGGTTTCCTAAGACAATCACAAGTCCAAAGGTTGTATCAACAGGTAAAAGGTACACATTTTTAAGAAGCACAAGAGTGCTGAGTAGCTAATAATTATGCTTCTGCTTTCAGATGATATTGTAATTTTCTTTCTTCTGTGTACTTATGGCTGCGGTAAATTAGAAATAATCCCCACAAATACTAAAAGGGAAGGAAACCTCTTACCCAAGCTTAAAGTCAAAGGATCTCGTTTCATTTAGAATGGTCCCTCCATTCTCCAGCTCTTCAATCTGCCTGTGTATTTCATAGTCTTGAAGAAATAAACAAGCAGTCTAGATCAGCTGTTGCAAACTCACCTCTCTTTTTATCATCCCAAACATAAATTATTTTTAAGCCTTATTAAAATCAGGATGATTATTAGCAAGAGAGATATACAAAGCTATATTGTAAGAGCCAAATGCTGTGAGATGTATGCATAGGCACATTTAGGGAATTTCATTTTGAATATAACTGTAAGCCCATTCTTTTAATTCCTCCATGATATGGATTCAGATTGCTTATACATTCTTATAAACATCTTTATTTCTTAGGCTTTTATTTGGCCATTCTGTGTCTCTATGTGTAAGATGCTTCCACCTCTCTCTCTCTCCTGCTTGTTTTGGGCGACCAGAGGCCAGTTTGCCCCTCCCTCCCTTTTTATTTTATTTTCTGTTGAATCTTGCCCCATCCAATTCTTTTTTCTTTCTTTCTGACTGAGGGAATTAGGACTCAGTAATCTCCATCTTGTCTTTGGCTGAATCTGACATTTCTTCTTTCTTTCTGGCTTTTCTATATGCTCCCTTCCTCACTCTAGACAGCAGGCAGCAGAATGGAATTCCCATCTTTTCTGTGTTCTGCATCTTCTGTGTTCCTTGTTGGGAGATCTCCCACACATTCGTGCTTCTCAGTTCCGCTGCTTCCTCCAACAATTCTCTCCTCCCACAGAGTCAGAAATACTAGCAGGTGTTGAAACATGATTATGCAACCAGTCAGTGAACTTTGTCATGCAAAGATACTGCAGGCAGAATTATTGAAAGGAGATGTGGCTGACTTTGTAATTAAAGAAAATAAACTTGGCATTGGTGGGGCGGAGATGACTTGCTGTCAGGGTTCCAACAGACGCCCTAATTAAATCCTGATCCTCGAGCCAAGTTTCAAAAGAAATCCAGTTATTTATTAGGAGCAACATGTCAGCACGTACCCAAGTGAAGTCAGCTCTGCCCCACGTAATTTACACCCAACTATGACCCCGTTTCCCCCCTCCTCCCAGGGTGTGTCATAAATCACATTCTCCAACGGAGCACTTTTGCGGGCTGTACAGTTCACGCCTCTCCGGCTGGTTCTGGTAACCTAGTATGCAGCCTTGAGAAAGGTATGCATGGAATGTGCTTCTGGTTGTGGATGCCGTGCTGCTCCATCAGTTTTTTCCCCTCCTGCCTATGGCAACTCGAGAGCAGGCCAGGAATGCTTTATGAGTTGACATTTTCTTCATTATGTAGAGGAGAAAAATCAGGTAGAAAGCCAGAGTGGTTTCCAATGGATGGGGCTAACAATGAAAATCATCAGAAATTTTATTTATTTGTTTGTTTTCTGTGCTGCCCATCTCACTGACACAGCAACTCTGGGCAGCATAGAAATTAGGAATCTAGAATGCTTATAGAAAGTTGTGGCATCATCCAGCTGATTCTTGAGAAGATGCAGAAATCTTAATAAGATGTTAAATTTCCCTGTTGCAGAAGAAGCTCTCCTAATAAAAACAACAATCATAAACTCAACTTTGTAACATGACTTTACATTATCATTGTGCACCTATGGTGTGAATTTGGTGTGTATCAGAAAAGAAGAAATAAAATCACTAGGCAGATTTAGGTATATTTACAGCAATGATGTAAGACCAAGTCATTCTTCTCAAAAGGAAAGATAGCAATATAGTTCTCCTTGAACCATTTATCAAAATTCTTCCACTGTTTCAAACTGGGAGTTCAAGACAACATCAATAACCATTTCCTAATAGTTTTATGGGATAAAAAGTACAGATCACCTTTGACTTATGACCACCAGTTGGCACCAGAATCTCAGTTGTTGAGCAAAGTAAGTCAAGATGCCCACATGACTGCTTCACTGAATGACTACAATCCTGGCTCTCCCAGTTCTGGTTATTAAGCAAGTGCATGGATCTTCAAGAGGGTGGAGCACTGCCTGGCAAAGGAAAGAAGTAGCATTCCTCCATGCGTGGAAAGGAACATCTGTGCTGGAGGACAGGAATGGAACTCAGACGTTTGTAATCTGAATTTCATTTCTGCAGCCTGCCACAGGAGTTCCCCACCCTTCTATGTACAGAAGGAACACCTGCAGTAGATTGGAAATGTTCAGATGCTGAAAATCCAAGCTTTGTTTATACAGCCTGATGAGCGATTTCCCCTCCCCCCCCACATGAACAGAAGAGAGATGAAATCTTTTGGCAGGAGGCAGCAACTTGCAACCTTCCTTGCTGGTTTCCCCACTCAACTTTCTGGGAAAGTTGGCAGAGAAGATTGCAAATGGCGATCATGTGATCGGTGTGTGTGTTGGCAACCAGTGTAAGTGTGACCAAGTTGCCAGTCACCCAGATTGTCATCATGTGACTGTGCAGAGGGGGACAGCACAATGTTTTATGATGGTCAGAAGTGTTTTAAACAACCGGTCGTAAGTCAAGGACTATACCTATAATGTAAATTAACTTTACATTCTACATCAGGGGTGTCAAACTCAAGGCCCTCAGGCCAGATCCAGCTTGCGGGGTGCTTAAACCTGGCCCGCGGGGCCAGCCTGGAAATAGTAAAGGACCGCCCACCAGTGCCTCTGCTAGCAAAAATGGGTCACGGGGTGTGTGCATGCCCTGTTTTTGGTCTGGACAGCCTCCTGCAGCACCCTGTCCCGTTTTGCCCAGCAGGGTGCTGCAGGAGGCATCCCTCCTGTTTCCTCCCTTCCCCCCGGCCGGCCAGAGAACTACAATGCTGATCCAGCCCTTGAACAAATCCAGTTTGACACCCCTGTTCTACATTAACAAGGCAGAGATGGGAAATTACATATGCAGTTTAAAGACTTAATAGATTTGTATCAGTATTAACTGCCTAACTCTACAAACAGATTTTGTTGGGTATTAAATTTCAAATTTCTAGGGTTTCAGTTAGGAAGAAAAGTTTTATTTACCTATTGCCTTTGCAAGAAACCGAGCACTGTTGATATTCTTCACTTCGGTCCTTACTCCATAAAGTTGGCCAGGGTGATGTACAGATACATTTGCATCTACTCTCAACTGGCCCTCTGAAAATAATATCAGCAGTTGAATAAACCCATAGCGCTTGCAAAAAAATATATACATGCAAAATTGCCCTAGAAGATTATATGATAGTTATCCAAGGCTTGTATTTCCTTAGGCTCTCCAGAGGAACCTATGGCCCTCCAGCTATTGCTAAACTACAATCCCAAACTACATCATCACTGGACAATTTAATCAGAGAGCCGTAGTTCAGAAACAACTCAAGGACCACAAACTGCACTTTTACATCTAGTCTAAAATTCTATGGATACCTTAAAGAGATTACTACACTTTTTTTTTTCAAATGAAACACACTCCAGAAGCTTTCCTCGAGGCTTATTTCAAACAGGAATATGTGCATCCCTCTCTGTGTGGCATTTGTACACACCTTAAGGCACTGATGGAGAATGCTCCCAACAGGTTCAGCATTTATGCACAAACCAGCCTTTACATAGTTTTTAAGACTCCACAGTCAGTTGAGAAAAAACTTTGTGACTTCTGAAACAAAATTAATTTTGCTTGACAGCAGTATACGATTTGTGTAGCTATGGTTTTTTTTAAAAAAGGTTTTACAGATGCAAACTCCTGGCAAAACTACATGAAGGGGAAAATTATGAAAACTGCTGTGTAAGCACTGAGCTACATTGTACCTATTTTTCTCAGATGTTGCTCTGAAGATTCTTTCCTAATCAACAATCCAATAAACTGTAACCAGCTTCCTATCTTACTAATATATCCACTATGAAAAATCAATGGGGCTTTTCTTTGGCAAAGTTGGACAGGTTGCCCCCTGTGACAATGTCAGATTTTATAGCATGCTTATTTTACACAGCCTATTACCCTGTACAGGACAGGAATTGTTCAAATTGACTCATATAATGTTTTATTGCCCATTTTAAAAGAATTCATTGTCCCACTGATTTATTCTATTCTAAGAGTTCCAGGCAGTGAGCTTGATTACGGTCTATGTTATAAGTTACCTGATTGCTATCTGGAGTTACTAAATTTTTCACCTCTGTATCTTCATCGACACATTGCTGCAAATATTACTGTAAAACTTATATTACATGTTTACCTTGGACGTATATTTAAATTTGTTGTAAGTTTATTAATACACATAATTTGATGCATATTATAATAATGCCAACACAATTATAATACCAACACAGTTCTGAACAAATATCCAGAAGACAAAAAGTGAAACAACTAAGCTAAAAAAAGACTTTGTCGAGGATTTTGATTGTATGAAACTATCATTTGAAGGCTTGGTAGAATTCTATCACAAAGGCAACAGCAGTCCAAAGAGATTTACTCAAGTGTCCTTGAAAATTTATAGCTCAAGGACAGGTGAGAAAAACCCATTTTTTTCCCCTTCAATCTTTGCAACGAATACAACTGAAAACCCTTTCAAACAGCCAAAAACTAATATAGATTTCCAAATAAACTGATAGAGCAATCAGACAGTAAAACAACTACTAGAGACAGAAAATTGTTTTCAGGTGTATACTACTTTGTTTTTGCAGATACCGTAGTACTTCTGCAGATCATCAAGCCTGTAAAAATCTAGAAGTCAAACTGATAAAGCAATATAAAAATCTCCTCAATAATTCTGTACCAATAATGGTGGTGTAAGAGGGGAAGGCTTTTCCCACTCTTCTTATCTGCTGTAAGATACTATTACAGGGGTGTCAAACTGGATTGGAGGGCCGGACCAGCATTGTAGCTGTCCTCTGGAGGCTGGCCGGGAGGGGCAGGAGACGGGATGGACAGTCAAAATGGGGCGCAGGAGGGCCACCTGTGGCCCTCCAGTGGCCTGTTTTCAGTAGTAGAGGCACCGCGGGCCAGTCCTTTGCTATTTCCAGGCCAGTCCCGTAGGCCAGATCTAAGCACCCCACGGGCTGGATTCAGCCCGCAGGCCTTGAGTTTGACACCCCTGCACTATTACATAAAGTATTCAATAAAAAATATGAACAAACTTGCTGTCAGACATTTACTTGAAGCTGAATCTCAAATATTTCCATTTTGCAACATTCCCGGGATCTCTTGCAACTAGCAGTATAAAACTAGAAATTATTTAGTCAGGTTACAGTTAGTATTGTCCCAAAGAATTTGCATTTGGGACAGCTAATGAGGAAGCAAAAGAAAAATCCACCCAGGAGCCATCAATCATTCTGTTCCCACTTAGGTTTATCGTGCACAATTTCAAAAGGCTAGCAGTCTAGAAATAGCTGAGCTGAGTCAGAAGCACTGATGTCTCCAAGATACCTAAGGTAGGAGTACCATACACAGCATCAGAAATCTTACGAAGGAGAGAAAAAAACTACAACAAAAGGCAGCCCAACAATGCTAAATGATTAGTAGTTGAATGGCAAAGAAAACTGCTGTGAAAGTGCCTTTCTTGTAGAAAAATCACAGGTGAGGAAAGATATGCCCTGCAGGCAGGGGTGAAATCCAGCAGGTTCTGACAGATTCTGGAGAACAAGTAGCAGTTGTTCTCCAAAGTAGCAGTTTGAGCAGTTTGGAGAACCGGCAAATACCACCTCTGGCTGGCCCCAGAGTGGGGTGGGAATGGATATTTGGCATTATCCTTCCCCTGCCATGCCTACCAAACCACGCCCACCAAGCCACACCACATCCACCAAGCCACATCTACAAAACCAGTAGTAAAAAAAATTAGATTTCACCACGGCCTGCAGGTCCCCTACCTGCCATGTTTGCCTGGCTGCTCCCGAGAGCCTGCAGGATGAGCTGAAGTTCTCTCACCGCTGCTGCCGCCTCTTCTCCACAACACATATCTGGTTCCATGACAAGCTCCATGAGGCCGATCCCTACCAGAGGCAGAGTAAGGATAAAAACAGCAGCTTTTTCATCTCATTGTATCAGTTCAGCCATAAATGTTGAGCCTACTTGAAGCTGCTCTAGGTTTTATGCAAGGCAATTCAGGATCATTTATTATTTAATCACTGTCAACGTTCATACAACAGTAGAACTGGCATTCTGTCTTATGTAAATTCACATCTCACTAATATTAAAAAAAGAAACTATATGTAAAGTCCCCCAAGAGAAATGTGGGATGCTCATAACTAGCTGTAAAAGACTGTCCTTTTGCAAATTTGGTAGCAAACAGAGGAACGTAGATTCTGGCTTTGAAATGTAACATCAACAGACAGATCTATGGGGAAAATCCTGTCTCTGGCAAATCTTCTGATCCCTGAACACCTGATACAGCAAATAGATCTCTGTGTAGGAAGAAAAATGAAGATTTTTGTGCTCAAACATCTTGATGATACATGATTTTCCCACCTGATGATACCCATATGTATTCCAAGACAGCCTGATCGAAGAAACTGCCTTCATTTGGAAAATGCTACCAAATTTCTATTTGGTCATTTAATTATTCAATTAAATTTAAACGGCTAAAATATTTTTCCATCTGGGTTCCATTATTTTTCAGCCTGGAACTTCAGGCTCCCAGAAAAGCATCTGTGTTTGTGTATAAATAGAAAATGAAATGGGAGGTCATGCTTGCAATTTTTTTTTTACAAGATATAAGTGAACGGTGACACAGTCATGAGTTTCTTTAGACATCTTAAGTATAGATGATACAGTCAAGTCTTTCTTTGAAACTTTGATCTTTGAAACTTTAACTTGGCATCAAATCCAGTTATTTTAATTTGAGAATATGCATTCAGTTGAAAACACATAAATATTTCTTGCAACAGTTTAATGCATAAATATGTTTCAAACATACCTGCTCTGTTGAGGTCAATGAGTGTTTGGTTTCTAAAATCATCATGAAGACTCTTTCCACTGTCTTGCTCCAACTGTATTTGTTTGATCCTCACAGTCTTGCTTACCATTTCATTTGGATTTTTATCGGCTTGCATAAAGTATTGTAAGCAGCCATTCACCGCAATGGGAATCCTGTGCTGAGTGATCTGATATCCAGCCTGCATTTAGAATGTTAACAGATAGCTCACTTCAAATGAAAGCTGATCATCTTTGCCTTTTAACATTCAGACTCATCCTTCTTGAAAACCCACGCTTCCTTATGGTATGGGAAAAAACAGGATACATGGATACTTCCATAGATATTATGTAAGAAATGGTTTATTAACAATGTGGGAGAGAGTGAAAGTACTCCTTTCATTCTGAACACCCCTTCCCTCAAGGTACTTCTTACTGAAAAGATTAAAAGACAAATAAAAGTGACAGCGAATAACCAAATTTCATTTTCTATTACTGCTCAAACATTCACATTTAGCCTTCCAATGTAATTTATTATACATAAATGTTACGTTAAATGCCTTCAGTCTATCAAAAAAACTACATGGAAAGAATAACTGGAGGGAGAGAAAGATTTGGATGAGAGGACTAATTGGCAAAAAAAAAAAAAAGCTAAGCCCTCCCTTCCTACTTGGCTAGCTCGCTGCTTGAACTAGACTGAATACCACCTAAAGTGTGGTAGGCACGGCTTCATTTTACCGGGGGTTTTCACCGCTGGCATCAATTGACCAATGATGAGCTTTTGCGGTCAAGCTAGTGAGTAGCTTAGGATGCGATCTAGTTTTCAGATGCTGAATGAAACTGCTGTTTCATTCGCAGTTGGGCTGGCATCTTCAGAAACCAAGGGACCCCATCCAGACAAAGTAGGAATCTCAAAGGCATACCTATAGTTGTGCCTACTGAAGCTATCCTGTCAAATGTCAAAGCAGCTATTTGAGGCCTTCTGAAGGATGCCATATAAGGAATCAGATACAAGATAGCATATTAATTTAATAAATAAATTTTACAAAAATCCTGTCCTCCCAACAGCAACATGCACCTTATGTTGGGGAGAGATTCCCTGCAAGATTTAATGCAATACCACAAAGCAGTGACACCACATTGTGACACAAGATCCACCCCTTTCATATGTACATGCAACTTCATGATAATTGTACAAAAGGGACAGAGCTCACACTACAATGGCGAAATGCTTTTATAATTTTCCCACTCACAATACCTGGTTTCCTGATGAGTTCTGTCATCTGTGGGTTCTGACCTGTGCACTTGCGTCAAGTCTTTTTAGTATCAGCTGCTGCAATGGGGAATGTAGACTTGTTTGTGTCAGTTGTGAATTCCCTTTGACGAAAGAATAACACCACCATACTTAAGAGATGGGTGCTGTTGTGGCTCCGTTACCTGAGCCTGTGTCATCGGCAGGAGAGGACTCCGAGAGTGAAGGAGAGGAGTTGGCAAGGCCTACCTCTCCAGGACCCTCCTCTCTGGCAAGGCCTTCGGTGTCCGCCGAAGGGCAAGAGATAGGGCCGGGGCCAAGCACGTCCACGCAGCCACAGGTGGACAGTGATGAGGTTAATGAGTCTTGGCTGGATCCACGCCAGCATCGCAGAGATAAGCGCGCGCAAGAGAAGAAAAGGCGTGCCCAAGATTAGGCTGAGTCACTGGACCACACCCCACAGGTATAAAAGAGAGCGTGGTGGCCAGTCAAACCTTGTGACGAACAAAGCTGAAAGCTTCCACACCATTCTGCATTGCCGGACTTTTGCTATAGACTTTGCTGGATTATCTTTGGACTTGATTGACTCTGTAATTATTGAGCTGTTTCTTTTGATGTACCAGAAGCGGGGAGAAGTTATCTCTCCTCTTCGTAAGTAATAAACTCTTGGCAGGCAGCCACTAGGTTGTTGCCAAATTCCCGTTATCATAAGGAAAAGGATTTTGCCGGCTGGTTTAGTCTTTAACCCTTGAACGTCTGTTGGTGTGTGTGCGTGTGGGACGGGGACAGAACAGGTGCTTCCTCTTCTAAAGAAGTCATAGCTAATACTGTGGACAAATATTGGCCCATCTGCCATCTCCCCTTCTTAGAGAAGGTGATGATGCAGCAATTACAAAGCAGCTTTGGTGAAATGGGTCATCTGGTTGAAATTCAAGCCTGTGGCTTAGGATCAGGAGGAAAATCACATTTTCACATCACATCACATGTAACCATGTAAGTTACCTCTGTCAGGTAAGGGAGTGCATCTATCTTTATATTGCTTCAATACTATCAGTAATAAAAATTTACAGTTGTTTCATTCCTTCCTGAGTGATCGGTTTCAAATGACGTTAACAAGGGAATTAAATTCTTTTCTTTAGATGATTTAGTTTCCCCCCCCTTGTTTTTCTTCACACTACTTTTTGCTGAATTTCCATTTTAAATTATATAATTGTATATATTGTATATGGTATACTATATATTGTAATGCTATTATAATTATACTGCTCTTTAGTTTATCTACATTACTATAGACCACTGAGGATTTTAAAAGAAATTGCAATGTTTTTGAAATGTAATAAAAAATTAAAAAGGAACATCTGTCGGAAGAACACTAATCTGACTGAAGATAGTCATTTAAACCTCAGTGATATTTGCCAACCTATCACACATCATATATCATCACTCCATCTCATGGTGTTTTTAAAGATACACTGTGAGCCTAGGGCATCCTTTCTCATCTGTTGTGGGGAGGACAATGGGAGCTGTTTGCCAATAAGAACCTCTGCAAAATCCTTATTTAAATATTATAATGATGTATCCTGTCTTTCTGATGGACTGGGCAGCTTCAATTTGTTAAATGTAACAACTCAAGCCCAATCTCAAACAAGTCTGACTTAAACATAATATCTAGTGTCATACAGTGAATATTACTGTTTTAGTTTGCCTTTATTTTCTTTAGGTATCTGAACAAATTAAAAACAAAACACTGTGTTTGAAATTCTCAGGCGTAATGACAATAAGTGCTTGTGAAGTCACTGGAGCACCAATAGGCGTCTGTAAAACATTCATTTAAAAAGATTTGTACCGTTTGTCTTAATCCTAACAGGCCATTAATGGGAATAAAGGAAGGCTGGTCCTAGCAGTACCTTCCCCAGTTCAATTACTCCCAAAGCCCTGAAAACACGAGGCACAACCATCAGAACAATCATCGTCAATCTGCAAGCTCCTGGCTACAGCTGCCCATTCATCTGAATTCAGGGCTGCATGCAGCTTGGACGGGTAAGCAATGGCTGAAAAAAAAACAAAGCTTCTCTTTTGTTGGCCTGCCCTCCCCCCCTCCCCCCAATCTGTTCTTCAGGCATGTTCCTCTTCCGATTTGTCAAGGACAAAGCGTGATATATACTCACAGGCAGATCTGCATAGAAATAGTGTTTTCTGTCAAACAAGGACTTCTTGTTTATGGTGCAGTTCAGTGCAAGGCCTGTTGACACTGCTGCTTCCACGCATCGTCTGTTGAGAACCTAGAGAGACACACAACACACAACTTGATTCATATCTTTTTAAACAGTGTGCGTTTCCTTTTTGATTGCTTTAAAAAAAACAACCCACGATTTCCTTGCAAATGGGAAGTACAAAGGGTAATAAGGGAAAACTTGTTCAAAAAAATGTTTTTCCATTTTATGGTGCAGAGCACAATGGTTTTTAATATTGCACACTGTACGTTTACATTTGGTGCTTTTGTTTTAGTGCTCTTAACTACACTCATTGGAAGATGACACAGAGCTGAGTTTTAACCTCTAACAAAACACTGGCCTAAATTAACATGGATACATGGACTTAAATGTTTTGCTATGTAACAATTCTAATATGTTCTAAACCAGGGGTCGGCAACATTAAACACTCAAAGAGCCATTTGGAGCCGTTTCCCACAGAAAAGAAAACACCGGTAGCCACAAAACCCTTTTGATATCTAAAATGAAGATAACACTGCATATATCCAATTTCTCACCACATATTAAGCATACTGGTAAACCAGTTTCGTCAGCAGTGAAAGCAAATGAATCTACCCACGTACCATTAAACGTTTTGCTTTCTTCTGAAACTTTTCTTTTCTTGGATTTATCCATGATTGGCCTACTGGGGGTCGAAAAGCTCAATAAATTGTGTGCCAATGGGTGTCACACATTGGTGGTTGTGACACATATTTTGAGTGACAGGGAGCCGCAGCAGAGGGGTGAAAGAGCCACATGCGGCTCCAGAGCCACAGGTTGCTGACCCGTTCTAAACCAATGGTCCTCAATCTTTTCTTCACCACGGACCCCTTTTAAATACCTTTTGTGACCACGGACCCCCAAAACTTAACTCAAGATTTAAATCGTAATATTTCTTCAAGCTTTTGCAGAACCCCTGTGATGATATCGCAGCCCCCCAGGGATCCACGGACTACAGGTTAAGAACCACTGCTCTAGACAACTGAAACAGTAATCAGGAAATAGCTAGGTAGAGAAAGAGCTATTAAGTTATTTGCTTGCTTGCTTATTAAATTTCTTTGCTGCCCATCTTGGTGTGGGGCTACTCTAGGCAGCTTACAACAATAAAAACAGAGAAATGAAAAGAAATGTAAATGTAACAGTAGCAAAATAAAGAAACAATAAAATAAACAATGATCACGCCGTAATTTGAGATTATTACTGAAGCAGGGAATCCATGTGTATGTGTGTTTGCTACCAATCTAGTAACCACCTTCACTGTGGTACTCCCCCATTGGGTCCATGAATCAAGTTATACCTTAATACAAACATTTCACTATTAAAAGTTATCTGGCAAAGTCCTCCACTGCATTCAAAAAATATTTTTCAGACTTGCCTACTATAGTAAATAATACAAAACCGTTTGGACATATCTACCAAGCACTGTGTAGTTTTCCCCCTCCCTAATTCTCTGTCATTATTTTAAAAGCAATAAAAGAATAAATAAAAAGAAAGAGACCCTCTTTGTATAGACAAAAAGCTATAGCTGAAATTGCAAATCACCAGATCCATTTCCCCCCCCTCACAGGTTATCAAGTAAATCAGGAGGATTTATGATTTAAAAAGCCAGTTTGGGTCAAAATAATCCACTACTGAGCAATTGTAAAAAAAAAAAAAAGTCCTCTTAAAATGCACTGAAGCCAGATAATCTGCACACAGCCAGTATGTGCAGATAGGAATCTGCTCTTCTCATTTCGTGGAAAGAACTTGTCAGAGATATAGCAACATTGCGTCACTTCTCAGACTGTCAGGGTACACAGTACATGCAAGCTAAACCCATAGCTGAAACTAGCAGCTATATTCACAAAATGTGAGTATATTTTGTTATAAGGTCAATATGAAACACCCTATCCACAAAGGACTTCTATGAAACATTCTAAAGTAGTTTATGTTATAAAAATAAAATATAATTCAAAATAACGGAAGGATTCCATGAGTTGAGGGCTTAAATATTGTGGCTATAAGATACATAAGAAAACAGAAATAGGTTCTTATTTATTTATTTATTTATTTATTTATTTATTTATTTATTTATTTATGTATGTATGTATGTATGTATGTATCATCAAAAGCGTGTTTGGAAGTAGCAGTCCAACCTGATGGTTACTATTTCCCAAACTATCAAGATAATACCGTTTTTCTGAAAATAAGACATCCCCTGATAATAAACCCAATCGGGCTTTTGAGCACATGCGCTAAAATACCCCCCCCCCCCGAAAATAAGCCCTCCCTGAAAACATTTAACCTCATGCACAGCTGGTCCCTGCCATTTCCTCGGGTTAAGGAGACAGAGCTGGAAAACAGGTAAGACGGCAAGAGGAGCCCGTCTTGCTCCATGTGCCCCAAAATAATAAGACCTCCCCGAAAATAAGGCCAAGTGCTTAGTTCAGAGTTCAAAAAATATAAAACAGGGTCTTATTTTCGGAGAAACATGGTAGCCAAGATTATTTTAAAAATAAAAACAACCTTAAAGGAATCAGTGGACTCACACTGTCAGCCAACCTACAGAAAAATGGACTTTATAGAATATGTTTGATGAAAAATGAGGACTTTGATCATACTGGTCCAACAAAGATAAATTGGCATTTTAGTCTTTGTCTGACTTCTGTGCCTATTTGGGTTTTGTGAGTAGAATGCTGGCTTATTTATCAACTCTAAGGATAGTCTGTTCCAGTTATAACCAATTCCTAAATTAATTATATGCCCTATTTATGTATGTAAGATTTAAAAGTGGCCGTCTAAAATACAAATATTATGGAAAAAATACCAGGCAAAAATATTTATTACCTTTCAGATTACAGATTATTTTATATGAATATTATTATTATTATTATTTTTGTAAACAAACATACAAATACAAACATAGACATTAAAACAAACTACATAAACTAACTATACAGAAAAGTCAAGTCTTACAGCTTGAACTTTAAAAGTAGAGCTACTTCGGTAATTATATATCTATGTATCTATGTATATTTATCTTTCATCATGTACCAATATTTATACAACGATATTTCATTTTATTTCCTTATTTTTGTGTCATTGGGTGGTATTCCCTTATTTCGTGTTCTTTTTATCTAACCATTGTACCATTCCTGCCAAATTAAATAATACTCTGAATCCTCTTTTCCCTGTATCTCTTTGGTAAGTTTGTCCATTTCCGCACATTCCATTGTTTTTTGTATTATTTTTTCCTCTGTTGGCGTGTCCTCTAGCTTCCACATTTGTGCGAAAGAGATTCTGGCTGCGGTCAGGATATGTATTGTGTCTCTTTTTTATAGTCCTTTGTCAGTATTCCTAGTAGATATGTTTCCGGTCTGAGGGGCACTTTTTGGGTGGTGATTTCTTCCAGCTGATTCTGAATTGTTTTCCAAAATTTTTTGGCCTTTGGCATGACCACCACATATGGTAGTAGGTCCCCTTCTGTGTTTTGCACTTCCAACAGTTCTGATTCGCGTTAGGGAACATCCTTGCCAAGCGTGCGGGGGGAAGATGCCACCTATAAAACATCTTTATCAGCTTAGTATTTACCTTCCACATTTTCTCCCAATTTTCTAAGTTGATATTATATCCAAAATTTTTAGCCCAAATAATCATATTTTCCTTCACAACTTCTTCCAATTTGTATTTTAATAGATAATTATATATTTTAGTTATTAATTTATTATCTGATTGCATTATGATTTTATCTAATTCATTCCTTTCTTTTTGGATTCCAAATTTTTTTATGTCGATTTTGTATCTTGATTTTATCTGTAAATACGGCCACCAATCAATGTCCGTGCCCTGTTGTCTCAGTTCGTCTCTTGTTTTCATTTCTCCCTCGGTGTTCAACAATTCGTCATAGGTTTTCATCTTGTCTATATCCAATGTGTTCGGATAAATTAATTGAAGCAAAGAAGAAACAGAACAACAATAAAACACCAGGTCCAGATGGCATCCCGGCGGAATTTTACAAAATTGAGCACCAGCCAATAGATGATGTTTTACTACAAGTCCTGAATGAAGCAATTCTAGAAGCCAAAACTCCCAAATCATGGACAGAGACAATTATTACATTGATACCCAAAGAAGACTCAGATCCCACCCAAACCAAAAACTACAGACCCATATCGCTTCTAAACGCAGACTATAAATTATTTACATCAATTATGGCCCAGAGAATGAAGAAAATTATCGTGGATTATATCCATCCAGATCAAAATGGATTTATTCCAAATAGGCAAATCAATAAGAACACAAGAACAATAATCAATATCCTGGAATACTATGAGCAAAAATCGGATGAAAAAATGGTCTTACTTTTTCTCGACGCACAGAAGGCATTCGATAACCTTAATTGGGGATTCTTAATATTACAATTAGAAAAGATGGGAATCGGCGATAAATTCCTAAATATGATCAAAACAATATACTCCGACCAAACCGCAAAGATATGGATAAATGGAGAGACAACAGACCAATTTAAAATATCCAAGGGGTTGAGACAAGGATGTCCCCTCTCTCCTATACTATATATATTAGCATTGGAACCACTGTTAAATGAAATTAGGAATGACAATGAAATAATTTATTTATTTATTTATTTATTTATTTATTTATTTATTTATTTATTTCTGTATCATCAAAAGCGTGTTTGGATGTAGCAGTCCATCCTGATGGTTACTATTTCCCAAACTATCAAGGTAATACCCTGTTTTCCTGAAAATAAGACATCCCCTGATAATAAACCCAATCGGGATTTTGAGCGCATGCGCTAAAATCCCCCCCCGAAAGTAAGCCCTCCCTGAAAATATTTAACCTCATGCACAGCTGGTCCCTGCCATTTCCTCGGGTTAGACAGAGCTGGAAAACAGGTAAGACGGCAAGAGGAGCCCGTCTTGCTCCATGTGCCCCAAAATAATAAGACCTCCCCGAAAATAAGGCCAAGTGCTTAGTTCAGGGTTCAAAAAAATATAAAACAGGGTCTTATTTTCGGAGAAACACGGTAGCCAAGATTATTTTAAAAATAAAAACAACCTTAAAGGAAACAGTGGACTCACTATCAGCCAACCTACAGAAAAATGGACTTTATAGAATATGTTTGATGAAAAATGAGGACTTTGATCATACTGGTTCAACAAAGATAAATTGGCATTTTAGTCTTTGTCTGACTTCTGTGCCTATTTGGGTTTTGTGAGTAGAATGCTGGCTTATTTATCAACTCTAAGGATAGTCTGTTCCAGTTATAACCAATTCTAAATTTATTATATGCCCTATTTATGTATGTAAGATTTAAAAGTGACCGGTCTAAAATACAAATATTATGGAAAAAAATACCAGGCAAAAATATTTATTACCTTTCAGATTACAGATTATTTTTATATGAATGCATATAGCTGAAAAAACAGGTATTGCTGTTTTACTGTATTTTGCATGAACAAGACAAACTTTTGCAACAGCAGAAAATAAAAAAACAAAACAAAACAAAACAAAAACAAAGTCATATTATACTGCAGAAGAGTCCATAAGAGACCAAAACGTAGTTCTAAATACTTACTGAAGTTTAATATTAACAGGACAAAAAAAAAAAATAAGATGAAAATTCTCAATGAAGTCCAGTAATCCATCAAAATAGTAGAATCATGGCCTTGGCCCTTTCAACCTCTTCAGTATTAGCAAAACTCTAAAGCACACACATTCACACAATGATATTACCTGTCTTCATTTATCCAGTAAACTGATTTCTTTTTCAAGCTATGGGCTTACATATTAAAATAGAACACCACATTAAATTAGCGTTCATGATGCAACTGGTATCACAAACCCTAATGTATCCATAACAAAGGATTTTAAAAACAGCAGTAATTTACTTACTTATCAGTAGGTAAGCTCTTTGGAACAACAGAAACAAGAGAGCCGACCCCATAAAGGACATAATACAAATCCTTAATAACTCTGAATAAATTTAACATTCCAGCCTACATATTACACCACCCTATGTGTTACTCCATCGAATCTATGCCAATAGCAACAGGAACATCATATATAACACAACACATAACATGAGAAAAGAAATATAAATATACACTCAAATCTTCATTATAGGTCCTGCGTGGGGCTTCTTATTTTCAATAAATCAGACAATAAATTAAAAAAATAGAAGGTAAACCTAAGAATCTGGACAACCATTTATCTAAAATGATAGAGGGTTTCCTGCTTGAGTAGGGGATTGGACTAGAAGACCTCTAAGGTCCCTTCCAACTATTTTATTCTGTTATTCTTAAATTGTCAATGTTCTATTTGGTGGTAGCCAAGCTACTCTTACCTTGTTAACATTCTTGCTTCAACACATAGCACAATTTCCAGTGGAGCTTAGCTGATACCATGGAATTATCTCTATGGAATTCCAGAAGCAGTTGGTACCTGTATAGCTTTACCTTAAGTACAAATGGGCTGTTTCACTTCAACTTGTGGGACAGAATCTGATTTGCGGTCTTTATATCTGTTATTTTACATTTCTTTGATGTATTTTATGTTCTGCCTTGGGATCTGATAGGTGTTTGTAACCATGTTTCAATAAAACTGCATTTTATATTTTATATACTCCACATTGCTTTGAGCTTATTAAAGTTTGTTTCTTTCCTTAGACAAAGATAGGTTGATCATGTTATATTTCTACTCAGGACTGAAAAAACCTACCGGTAGAGTGCCAGGAAGAGAAGCATCCAAGAATGATACTAGAGAATTAGGTGGAGCTGCAAACTGAACTTGGGAACCAGAAAAAAGCTTTGAGTTGGATGAGATCTGAGCATGGATTTCCAAGCCAACAACTGCTGCCCAGGAAACATCACTTAAAAAAGAAAGCCAACATGTTTAATCAGTAGTTAGATAAACAAAATTAAAATTTTAAAGCACTTGGGAAAGGGGAAAGAAAATCAAGCACAATTAATAGTGGAACAAAATGACAGGACATTAAAAGAAACTCAAATTCTGAACAGCTTAAATAAATTAAAAACTGAAAGGTTTCTAAAAAAAAACCCGATTTAATCATATTTATTAATAAAAGTGGACATTTTCAGAATTGTTCAGTATTTATGTAAGTTCCTGATCATTTTACAGAATACAGAATAACAAAGTTGGAAGGGACCTTAGAGGTCTTCTAATCCAACCCAGGCAGGATTAGGATTTCCTGCTCAGGCAGGAAAAACTATACCATTTTAGACAAATAGTTGTCCAATATCTTAAAAACTTCCATTATTGGAGCATTCACTTCTGCAGGCAAGTTGTTACACTGATTAATTGTTCTGTTGGAAAATTTCTCCTTAGTTCTAGGTTACTTCTCTCCTTGATTAGTTTCCATCTATTGCTACATAATATCTGTCCATACAGTGTGTTCAAAATGTACTTAAGACCAGATAATACAGAAGATATTTATTTAAAAGCACATCAAAGCATGTATTTTAGGTCAGTGCTAATTTAGAAAACAATTTAGAACAGATTTTTTTCCCATCCTGTATAAATGTTTGCTGTGTGATCTTGTAATTTTTAAAATTACATTGAGTTTTAAAACTGTTGCTATAGAGAAAGAAAAACCTTGATATATGAATATTAATACCATCATTTAATGTTTTTAATACAAATCTTCTTAAAAGATGGTGTGTGTTACAGTCTCATACAATAATGCAAACAATTTATAAATGCATCGCTGTTATCCGTAGTAAATGTTTTTCGTTCTCCATTCTGCAAGGGAAAAGTGCTAGTTGTGAAGCAGCCCACGAATTTATGCAGCAAAGCAGCATGACATTAAGATCTGCCAGCAGGTAAAGATAACAGTTTGGATTCTATACTTTAACTGCATCTTCTATTTCAAATTTGAGAAAAATTGCCTTCTTTTCCTTATCCTTTAGCGCTTTAGTTTATTATATTTTCATCCAATACACTAATACTAAAATTAATCAGTATTCTACATAGAAGGACATTTGAAATCTAGTGAGATTGCTTTCGCGTTTCAATCCGTACCAGCAAGCCACTAGAAGAGCGGAAACGTGAAACGCGAGGAAAGTTTTTTTGTTTTTTGTTTAAATCAGCCAAGAGCGACAAATCGGAATATCGATAGTCTCATACCGGTTCTCTTTCGTTGTAATCCCCTTTGAATTCCAGCAGAGAACGCTGGTGGATACCGGTCTCTTCCAATCTCTAAGTACGGTGTCATTCGCAAAGCTAACTTTGCCAGCTCGAAGCCAAGCGCGGTAGCGCCGCATTATGGGGGCCGCCATTTTGTTCGGCGCTGGGGAAACATCAGGTGATCTCGTTCTTATAGCAAGTCCTCTTGGGAAATGCAGTCCTGAGCTTGCTTACAGAAAAGGGGATGGCGAGAGAAATGCAAGCCTTCAGTTCCCGTGATGCTCCATCACTCAACTGCTCCACTCAAACTGGGAGGCTAGCAGGGAAGGCGAGCAAAGGCTGCGGGACTTTTATGCGAGTTAGGTAGAAATGAGTCGGTGATTCCCGTTCATTTGAGTAGGCAGAGGAGCCTTAGATGCCTATGGGTAGAAATTAAAAAGAACCAGAGAAGACGTTGTTCTTGGTGCTCAGGCACTCATATCGTGACAGATGTTTAATAAATGTTAACTAAACAAATAGCATGCCTGTAATTAATGGCTGATTTCCTTAGAAAATGGAAAATGCTGTTGTTTATTATCAATTCCATCCTCTTGTAATGGAGAAACCCTCTGCATTAGGACTGAGGCTATTCATGCTTGGATTATAAAGCAATGTGCACCCAAACAATTGAAGGCCAATTCATTGTTTGTTAAAATGTTACTAGATTCTGTATTTTATGGCAACAAAGCATGCATAATCACTAGAAATGGAGCAATAATTAAGGAAAGCTGACATTCATCTATAGGTCTTTTATTATAGGGCAGCAATGATGTTTTTAATAGATATTTCCTATTAAGGAAAAGCATTCTTTTATTTCCCTATTTGCATAAATAGTTGCATTTCTATGTAGTTAGATATGGGAACATCTTAAAGATGAATAGCTTGTCTGCCCTTGAAAAGAAGAACGTTTTGCAGGTTGTGCTACAAGAATTGTTAAATTTCCTCTCGTGGTTAAATGGAAGAATGCTACTGTATAGATATTCTGATACTGCTGGGTTTTTGAGCATTTGCCACTTGAATTTATTTCTGACAGCCTTTTAATGATGTGCAAATAATAGCCATAAGAGATTTCTTCACTTTTGAGCACAGCCATGAGGTCTTATTTGCCCATAAGCAACTGAGTTTGGAGAGCCATAACCCTTATGGTAAATTGAACATAGTCCAATGGAAGACCCTTAAGTGCTATAGCTCAACCTATAATCCTTCTCCACTGTTTACCAATAAAATTGTGACGCGGTCCAGATCAGAATATTCTTAGGCCCTCGGGCTTGGAAGCGAACGCTAACTTTATCTCACAAAACCCACTAGATAATAAGTAACAGTGCAGATGCCAACTGTAAGGATTGATATATAGCAAGAGCATTTAGACTTATATACTATTCCATAGTCCTTTACGGCACTCTTTAAGTGGTTTAAAAATATTCTATAATACAGAGCTCCTACAACTTCACTGAAATGTTCTTGTCATCCTTGTAGGAGGCTTCTTTGAAAAGATGATGAGTCATGGGCTTGTTGAGTCAGCAGCCGAATTTTTATCCAGTAGAGGTCAGTGGAGTACATAAGCCCTCGACGGTATTTCATATCTCTACAGAAATGGAGATCAGCACTGTCAGTTTCTTTCGAAAAGATGACAATATTGTATAGAAATTGCCCCTGTTTTCTTTGGTGCAAAATAATTATGACATGGAAATAATAATAAATGATTTCATATGGATGAAAGCAATGAGCTATGCAATGGAAATAAGATTTATGGAAAACAAGATTGGAAAGGTGAAGTATTTTACATTACAGATGCTGCCTAACCAGTACATGCCAAATTATATTTTTCCATAATGAATGGTGTTCCTGGGTGAGCTGGCAGCTAGATGTAGCAAATACTTGTTTATGTTTCACTGTTCCATCCAGATTTAAGCTGATGTTTGTTTGTTTCCTCAAATTCTCCTCTCTTTCTGCTCAGGATGAATTGAATTTCTATAATAGCAATAAAGGAATTGGAGGCAATCCCTCTGTGACACTTCAGGAAGGAATAAAGGCCATTTTAGATCTTAAATCACATGCATTTGCAGAGTTTTGAAAGGTTTATTAGAGTTTCTGGCATTTTTATTATTAACGGTAAAAAAGTTTTGTGCTCTAGCGCAGTGGGAACATCTATATAGGCACCAGGTATCATCCTATCCAATTTATTATTGGGCTGATTATTACAGTAAAGAGGAATATATTGTTACATTTGTTTTTCTTTTTTATTGTGTTCATGAATTTAGCAGCATGTTGGGCAATGAATGTAAAACAGTGATATGTAATTGAATATATATATGAATATATTGCTTCTGAATATGAATGAATATATGTATGTATGTATGTATGTATGTATGTATGTATGTATGTATATATGTATTTCTCTTTAGACAGGTTCTACCTACGTAAACCAAGATATTATGCAGCCCTAGTTCAGTGAAATCACAATTCACTAGTTTCTGGGCTTTTTTTTTTCTTCTGGCAGCCAGCAGACCCTTTGCTGCCCATTGGGAGACTAAGATAGATCTATTTTGGCCTTATAAGGCCAAAATTATATATGTATATATATATATATATTTATGTGTGTGTGTGCTTAAGTTTTCGCAGGTGTGTATATGCAAAAAATTAAAATCTCGGGCGTTTTCCCGCGTCATGTTAAATAAATTAGTTAAAATGTTTAAAATTCTGGTTAAAATCCTAGCTTAAAATCTTCTAAAAATCCTTACAGAGCACTCTGCAAGGTCCTTTAAAACCTTAGCTAAAATCCTACCAGTACCTTAAAAGTTTTTTCTAATAGCAACGTTTTGACAGGCTCACAACCCTGTCATCTTCAGGCTCTTGTTTTAAATTGCGGCCAAAAATATTTAATTATTTTTAAACTGTTTTTAAATTTTGTATGTTCTGTTTTATTCTGGCTGTTCACCGCTCTGAGTCCTGCTGGAGAAGGGCGGTATACAAATTAAAACAAACAAACAAACATACATACATACATACATACATACATACATACATATATGCATACATACAGAAGCAATCACTTCAATTGGATTTGTTCACAAATACATATGGTTTAATAGAGCATCCTTATGGTATAAAACGAAAAGCTTCAACTTACTTTTCAAATTGATCATGGTAATACAATACCAATAACTCTGAAACCGAATGTTATAACAGTATAAAACAGAATGTTATACAGAGAATGGAGTAAAAACAAATCATAAGGCTTATCTTTAAAAAGTTCTACGTGGAATCAATTTTGCTTTATGCTTAGCCTGAAAAATAGTAGGTTCAGTTCTTGGCACCTTCGAGTGGGGCTCTAAAAATACATGTTGAATCTATGGTATTAAGTGATCATAATATATTGGGCAGATGGTTCAATATTCTGTGTATGATGGGTGGGGAAATTATGACCCTTCCAAAATTGCTGAACTACAATTCCAAGCATCCCTCCCTTCAGGCTACATTATTGGGACTGCTGGCAGTTGTTATTCGATAGGATCTAGATTCTAGAGGCTTTAGATTCCTCACTCTTGTGGAGTAAAATCATGTTTTAATTGGACAGTTTTAAATCATTTGTAGAGAATTACACTACAGGTGTACTTTTCAGAAAATACTATCTCGTGAATAATAATAAGGGGAAAACTTTGGGGAAAATGGCTTTCAAATGTTTATTGTATTTTACAAAGTGTTTATTCTTTTTTCATTTCTTGAGTTAAGTCACAATTGATTCAGTTACATTATTTCTATTAAGAAACGTGTGAGCATGTGTCAAAATTCCAGTGTTCTAGAGCTGTAACGTTAGCTATCTTAAAGAATTTAAAAAGATAGGAGGTAAAAGCCCAGCTTTCCTGATGTCACTAACTGTTCCTTCTAAAGAATTATCAAATTAGACATTTTGGTTAATGTTTTACAATGGTAAAATATTGTAATATAAATATAAAATATTTATATTGATGCTATTGATTATAATGTAGTCTTACGAATTATATGTGAACATATAATTATAACTATCTATTTTCAGTGCTTGTGATATCTACAGAATTATTAAATACCTGACTTAAAATTTTGTGATACCAGCTGCTATTATTAAAACTCTTAATTTGCCAGATTGTTAAAATGGGGTTAAACAAAGATATGTATTTGTAGCAGGATTATCATTACAGTTTTGCATAATAAAAGATGCTAGTCTGTTCTAAGAATAGCAAGTAACTTCCAATACTACAGGAGAATTATTATAAAAAATAGACAAGGATTCTACAGAAATCCTTGAACAGGATTCAAGTACACAATATGAAGAATATGAAAGTTTCCATTTAAATTTCGTGAAATGTGTAAGAGACAACTTATGTTCTGCAGGCATGTATGATGATTAACATGCTTACTTGATCCTTATAGCATCATGAAGACCTGTACACATGACATTCAAAATACAGATATTCATCCTGAGGATTACCTAGAAAATATCCAGAAAACTTGAAGTATCTGTGATAAAGTGTAAGGAATATACTAGAATTCCTATTAAATTTTTAAGAGACAAATTTGGCTTTGGGACAGTCAATTCTAGTTTTAGTTGAAAAGCCTACACAATTACATAAAAGGAAAGAGTAGGGTAGAGACCAGAGGTGGTATTCAGCAGGTTCTGACCAGTTCTGGAGAACCGGTAGCGGAAATTTTGAGTAGTTCAGAGAACCGGTAAATACCACCTCTGACTGGCCCCGCCCCATCTATTCTCTGCCTCCTGAGTCCCAGCTGATTGGGAGGAAATGGAAATTTTACAGTATCCTTCCCCTGCCACACCCATCAAGCCATGCCATGCCCACCAAGCCACGTCCACAGAACCCGTAGTAAAAATTTTTGAATACCACCACTGGTAGAGAGGGGTATTAAATGAGAAAACTGGGTTGAATATTACAGGATTACATTTACAACCAACATTTTAACAGGTGTGTAGCAGTACCTGGTTTAGACAAATATCAAGTCTTTAAAAATAGTAAATGTATGTTACCCAATAAGCAGAAATTTGCCTAAGTGGAAAGGAAATGAGAGCATTTAATAACATTCTTCCTTATTTATGTAAATATCTGTCCATAACAGATAGTATATATACAGGTAGTGTCATTGTTCTTTTATTTACTAAATATCCCATTTACTTATCTCACATTAATGATTACCTTTCAATGATAATTTTTGAAGAGCTCTTGGAGCCAGATCTAAGGTTGTGATGAGTCACATGGCTTGGGGCCTCAGATTACACACCCATGATATTGGGACTGCTTCTGAAATGAATTAAGTCTGGAACCAAATTGACAGTTGAACATTTCTAATTACTCAAATGTCCAATTCCTTTCTAGTCTCTTGAAATGGAGGTTAATTCAACCTGAATTGATTCAGTGAATGACTGAATAAATGACTGTTTCCTTCATCAAAACATTCATATGAATTCTAAAACGCATATTCAGTTTTCCAGATGACTAGAACTGGCAAACCAAACTAGTCACTCATTTATAGTAATTAAGTTTGTGAATGACATCATTACACCTGGATTAACATCTTCAATTACAAAAGATTTACATGATAGCAGTGTTCCAATACGTAAGGGGTTGCCACAAAGAAGAGGGAGTCAACCTATTCTCCAAAGCACCTGAAGGCAAGATCAAAAGCAGTGGAAACTAATCAATGAGAGAAGCAACCTAGAACTAAGGAGAAATTTCCCCACAGTTGGAACAATTAATCAGTGGAACAACTTGCCTGCAGAAGTTGTGGATGCTCCAATACTGGAAGTTTTTAAGGACAACTATTTGTCTGAAATGGTATAGGCTTTCCTGCCTGAGCAGGAGGTTGGACTAGAAGACTAAGATTCTTTCCAACTCTATTATAAGAAATAAGATTATACTATATTTCACTACTGGCCTTGGTACAGATTTAAATATTTATATATTTGGAACCCACAATGAAAAGAAAACAGTCTCAAACAAAAAATATATAAGATATCTTCAATGTTCATCTAAACATGTACAGTAAGAGAAAAATAAGTACCCGTTTTAATGAGAGTTGTCACATTTCTTACAACCCCACTCTTGGAAAGTAGAACAGAGTTAATGAGTAGTGAAAACCAAAAGCCTATTATTTATTGAGCACTTGCTTGCTGCTATTTTTGTTTCCATTTAATCCAAGTAATATCACTGTTCATAAAATGTTCAAGCTCAATTGGTCCTCAAAAATCTAATAAAAGTATATTACCCATCAAATTATGTTGCACTATTCACATAAAAATGCACCAAAACCAACAGACATTAGTAAGATGTTGATGTAAATGTTTGAGAACCATTTAAACAAATATCCATAATATGTATTATTTTCTATAACATTCCCCGTAATTATGGTACATGAGAACAATATTACTTCCTTAAAGTAAAGCAATGTAATATTTGTCATGATCCTAAACCTTGATTACCTTGACAAGACAAATGTCAGTCATCCACTATAGAGATCTTTCTGGGGAAGTGTTACTCATTAAGAAGGAAGCAGAAAAAGTCTGCCAAGGTGAAAGGAAGCTAAAGGTTTGATTAACCTTGCTTTGTTATATCTTGGGTTGCTATAATCCTGTAATAGTATTGCCTTTTACCTATTCTTGATTTTAATTAGTATATCCACAGCATTCGGATAAGCAGTTGATGCTTATCTTCCTGTGTAGTACATGCCATGATT